CTGTGCCTGCCGGGCATGCGAAGAAGGGGCCCAGATCCCTCCCTTCTGAGCTCGGCCACTCCAGGTGCCTGTCCCTTCTTCTAAAAGGCTGGGGTCTCCTCTGAAGTGGTGGGGCGTGAGAGGGCCCGAGCTGCCTGGCTGCCCTCCTGCTGGAGTGGGGACTTGATGGCCAGGGAGGACATGGAAGCCAGCTGTCCCAGTGCACTAGAGTGCAAGGGGGAGCAGAGGGCAGCGAGGGGGAGGGGCAGACAGTTGACAGCCAAGCCACTCTCTCCTGCAGGGAAGCCGCGTCAGGTGCTTCTCCTCTGCCTGACCCGGAGAGCGAGCTATAGGGCGTCAGGTTCAGAGTTCACCCAGCTAAAGAAAAACCACCATATTGTGTGACATGGAGGAAATGACACAACCTGGAGCTTTGGTGGAGAACCTACAGCACGCTTGGTGCAGCGGGCTGTTTGTATCATTGAGAGTTCGGAAAGGTTCCCCTCACTGAAGGATAAAGCAGGAGGAGTCCTATGCACCATACTTAGGTGTCCTATTACAGGCACTTAGATTTGCCATCACAGGCACCAAAGTTAGGACAGGCAGTGGTGGCAGAGAGACAGACACATAGAGCAACAAAACAAAGCAGGAGACTTGGAAATAGATTCCTATAAATACCTCTAAATGATTTTGGCAAAGGAGTACCGGCAGTTCAGTGGGAAAAAATAGACTCTTGCCAGACAATGCTGAGACAGCTGGCCATCCACTGGCATGGGGGAGCCATCATCCACAATTCAGACCTGAAATAAAACTCAGGAGTAATCGAAAAATGTGCAACCATAAAACATTTAGGGCAAAAATCACGGGGGAGCTAGCACGAAGTAAGCAGAGTCTCAGCTTGGCACTGTAAGCGTGATACAGAAAGGAAGCATTGAACCATTGGATCTCCCCAAAGTGAGACACTTTCCCTCTGCAAAACCGGGAGACAGGGCTGGAAAGACAAGCTGCAGACCAGGAAAATGCATGCAAATTCACATTAGGCAAAGGGGCTGGGCCTAGAATATAAAAATAACCCTCAAAACCCAACAGTGAAAACAATCTAGTTAGAAGATGGACAATAGACCTGAAGAGATAGTTCATCGAGGGCAAGCCAACTCACGGGGAGATGCGGGACACGTTTGCCTTCAGGGAAACCCAGATTAAAACTGTGGGTACCAATCGGTGTGGCTAAACAGAAATCGTGATCTCTCCAGATGCTGCCAAGGGCCTTGGAAATGGCATCCTTTGAGCCTTGTTGTAGGGAATACAGGGTGTTTAAGCCACTCTGAAAAACAGGGGGGTGGGCTCTTAAAAGTCAAATTATTCAACTATCCTCTCGTCCAGCAATTGCACTCCTGGGCCTTTCTCCAACAGAAATGAAAACATCCACCCAAGAGCAGGCTCCCAGGTGCTCAGAATCACTTCTTTCATGGTTGCCCAAACTGGATCAATCCAGAGGTTCTTCATCAGGGGAATTTTGTCACACTGCGGGACATCTGACTACAGAACATAAAACAATGAAAAGGAACAAATTATTGACACACTCGACTTGGATGAATCTCCAGGGAATCACTCTGAGCAAAAACCACTGCGAAATCGTAAGAACAGTTCCTCGGCGCCCCGCATCTCACTTGGCGCTCAGGCAGAGGCTCCGAAGTGAGTCTGCGGGTATGGACGGAGCTCTCGTCTTCCCAGTGCTTTTTTCACTGGAAATTTTGTGGATGAGATAAATGTAGAGTCGCAGGCCATGCTAGGAAATAACACAGCGGGCTCCCCTGTAAACGTTGCCCAGCTTTCCCCGGCAATAGCACGTGGCAAGTCGGGGTTACATACGGTTTTACGGCCACGGCATCCACAGTGAGACAGCCCAGCACGGCTCGTGGCTCGTGGCCCCAGCTCCCCCTCCTGGACTTGGTGCCTGTCTCCTGCCGGTAGCTGGAGGCTGGGCACCGGGAACCCACACCTGTGGAGAGCCGTGGGGCACGTGCACTCACAGCCCCGGGGGCCCACGTGAGGGACACTTCCGTACCCCCACTCAGCAGGGCCCTAGACTCGGTGCTGTCTGTGACCCGTGTGCCTGCACCAGGCACAGACAAGGAGGACGCAGCCCTCCCCTGCCACCCTCGGATTCAGGTGACAAGCCCTGCCCACGAGGTCACGCAGCAAGGGTTGGGTTCCCACGGCCCCCGTGGTATTTACATTGGCCAATGTTCAGTTGTCCTTCCTTCAAACTGACTGAAAGCCTGTTAGGCTCTCCATAATTCATTCCTTCTAAAATGTTCAATAGAGCCCTCGAATACTAAGTGAGCAACAGGGAGTGAGACTTCTGTCCCTGTGGGCGTGTCCTGGATGGCTGGGTGCTGGGGGCTCTGTCCATCCTTCGGCTCAGGACTCTCCTGGCCACAGTGGTCCCTCCAGGCCCCAGCGAGCCGGCACTGTCTCTGGCCATCCTTCCAGCTGTATCTCCGGAGGTGGCTGCAGGTCAGGAGTGCTGTAGGTGTGCTTTCTCGCCCGGCTCCCATCCGGCCTGGCTCTCAAGCCTGGGGAAGGTTTGAGGCAGTAGCTGTGGAAACAAGGAGGAAGAACTCCACCCCCAGACCTCCATAGAGTCTGAGGCTGTCTCCATGGGAACCAAACATCTCCTCAGAGGCAGGAGAACTTCATCAGGACTCTGAACCACACATAGGTCTCAGATGGCCTCAAATAGGTGACATGAAGCCCCTCGCAATTCAAGTAACAGAGTTTCCATTGTCCCTTGCAACTTGGACTCCTGCTGGTATAGTGAGCCGTTCCAATCCCAGACACAGCCCTGGCCGGATGTGTGTCTCCCTCCTGACCCAGTGTCCTCACTGACAGAAGAGACATGCCCCAGGGGAGCATACCCTGTCCCCAGCCCGTTTCCCCTTTCTCTCTGTGCTTCCGGCCACCATGATGTGAGCAGCTTTCCCTCCCACAGGCCCAGCAGCAGCGGAGCCGGCCAAGCACAGACCAAAGCCGCAGAAGCTGTGAGCCACAGAAGCCTGTCCTCTTGTTAAGTCACTTGTGCCGGGTATTTTGTCACAGTGACAGAAAGTTAGCTCACCACCTGGTAGGACTGTTACAGAAATAAAACGGGTAAATGTGAAGTGCAGTACACACTGATGAATTGCCCGCCGTCTATATAATCCGCCGCATGTTGTACGACATCAAACACTTCCTTAAAAATTCCGTGGCATTAGAGAAGGGAAATGCACATCTGCTGGCCCCGCGGCCCATTTTTCTCCAGTGAGATGACTGCACGGGAAATCTTTCCTCTCCCTGCTGGCTGGCTATGTGATTCTGGAGCTGTTGTTCCTTCTAAAGACGGCTGGGCAGAAATACTTGAAATAAAAATGGTCTTGACCTTTTTCTATTTGAGTAATTACCCTTATCTGAGGTTTCAGTTACGCAAGTGAACTGCGGGCCAAGATTATTCGGCGGAAGATTCCAGAAATAATCAATTTATGAGCTTTCAGAGTGGCCCTCCGTTCGGGGTGCTGGGGTGGAGCTTCATCATCCCCCTGCACCCGACCCAGGATGTGACTCATCTGCGGGCCACCGTGTCCACTCTGGATACGCTACCAGCCCATTCGTCACCGTTGCGATTATCGGATCGAACGTCCTGGTATTCGAGTGGCCCTGGTTCCGCTTATGACGGCACCAGGCACAAGCACTTTGACGCTCACCATCACAGTCACCAGAGAGCAGCCTCACGCTGCTGCCCTTCAGTGAAGGAGAAAACGCAGTCGGGTGTTTTGCGAGAGGCCACGTTCACACAACTTTTATTACACTGCGTTGTTATAACTGTTCTATCTGATGATTTGTTGCTTTGTTCACCTCTTCCTGTGCTTAATGTATAAATGAAACCTCAACACAGGCGCGTGTGTGAGTGGGAAGAAGGATCGTATCTATGGGTTCAGTAGTGGTCAGGGTTACGGGCGTCACTGGGGGTCTTGGAGCGTCCCCCGGTGCAACGGGATCCCTTGCATGCAGCAGTCCCTGTCCTGACTGACATGCGGTGACCTCAAGCACCTCCCCCGCCCTCCCCCGCCCTCCCCCTTGCACCCCCACCTCCTGCCCCTCTCCCTGGCACCTAGATGGCTCTCCTCTCTTGAAATTCATGGCTTGTGCCCAACTGATTCATGTCCTGGTGATTTAATTGGTGCCAAGCGCCAATGCCACCTCCAGCGACAGCAGAGCGGACAGCAGCTGGCCTTGATGACCTGTGACCTGCTACTCTGCTTGCTTCCGGACCCAGGGGGAGGGCCAGGGGTCCTCTTACCCTGGACCAGACTAGGCCCTGTTCCACCCTGGCCTTTGTCTCTTCTAACTTGACTGGTGGGTCTTAGGCTAGAATATGAGGTCATTCTACTCTGAACAGATTTCTGCTGAGAAACCTGTTCTAAGAGAAAAGGTCCACTCCCCAGGGTGGGCAGGAGAGACCGAAGTCACCCAAGTCCCAAGACTCAAGGTGATCTGGGTGTGTGTGAGCGGTCAGCCCTCGTTCACGGAACCCAGCGCCCACTACAGAACAGGACTGCTCTTTGGGAACAAGAGTCAGTGATGCACCAAGCACCAAATGCTAAGGAGAAGTAACCAAACTAAGCCTCGGAACGCCTGCATCACAGACAGGTCTCCACACGGAAGAGCGTCCTGCACACAGGAAGTGTCCGATAGGTTCCGGCATCGAAGATGGGATGTGTGCAGAGCCATCCAGGCTCGCAGTTCTGGGCGCTGCCCCTTGGCCCAGTGACTGTCCCCGGCTCTGCTTGTCTCATCAGGAATCTCGAGGACCCTCGCAGAGAAAAGAGAAGGGAAAGGAGGGCAGAGGAAGGGCTGGAGGGGACTGAACGCAGCTGAGATGTGCTGTATACACGTCCCAAGTCCCCAAGCACAGGTCACGGTTATATGTCCCAAACATATACCAGTACAGTTAACTTTAAAAAACCAAATGGACAAATGGGGAAGGTAGCACATGGGGATGTTCTGCTTTAGTTCTTAGTGAAGGTCAAGAAGGAGCTTCAAGGTCATCTCCGCCCAAAGCCCCATAGCTCAAGGCATGAGAAGCAGGCGGTACGGGTGTTCGGGGTCAGGCCAGCATCTCCCTTCAGCTCCGAGAGAACCCACTCGTGTCACCCTGCCCACGCTCAACTCCGGGGAGGGACCAGCCATCGCTCGGGAGCTCAGTAGCAGCGTGTCCCAGCCTCTTCAGGTCTTCAGGTCCCTCTAAAAGCAAGCACAGAGAAGTCACCCCGCTGGCCACAGCTCAGATGTTACGATGAGTGGGCAGCTGCAGGCTCCCCAAGAGCTGCCACCATCCCTGGGGACAGGGGTCCTCTGCGGTGCTTGTCACTGCCCAAGGCGGCCCCAGCACTGCCCTGGGGACGTCCCAGGTCCTAGCGCCACCTTCCAAGCTCTGGTTTGAGTCAGAGCAACTTCATTTCAAGTCCCAACTAGACAGAGAACCCTCCCGGCGAACACAAAGCAGGGCGGCGGCTCCGGTGGGCCTTCAGTGGTCAGGGTCAGCGATGACTAGAATGCCCTGCGACAGGGTCCTCAGACAGCAGAGCGGGCAGCAGCCCTGGACACTCGCACTCACCCATGCTCTGAACACCCCGTGCTTCAAAACCAGCAGGGCCCCTTTAGAAAATGCAAATTAAAACAGCACTGAGATTCCATCCTAGCCCAGAAGGGACATCATCGAGAAATCAAATAATGACAAAAGCTGGGGAGGCTGCAGGGCTGGGGCTTCTCCACTGTGGATGGGAAGGTGAACCAGCAGGAAACGCCCAACTTACAAAGTCAGATTCGTTCCTGAGGCCAACCAAGTGGCCGACCGAGCACTGAGCTACTGTCCACTGTCACACTGCAGGGTGAGCACCCAGCGCCACAATGTGACAAGGCCCAGCGGACACGTGAGCTGCTTCCGGGATCTGTTCGAACCTGTGGGTATCCGTAATGTGAGGAGGTCTGTTCGTACTCCCATGCTCGTAATTCAGGGGCTTACTGGACAACCACTACGGAAATCAGTATGGAAGTCCTCAAAAACCTAAAACCAGAAACCATTGACCCAGCTACTCCCCATCTAGGTATCTTCCCACATAGTACAGTGACCCATGCACACCCATGCTGAGAGCAGCACAGCTCACAACAGCTATAGCTCGGAAGCAGCTTCTGCGTTCATCAGCAGATGAAGGGATAAAGAAAATGTATTTACACACCATGGAGTACTACTCTGCCATAAAGAAGGATGAACTTGAATCATTTTTTTAGAAAAACAGGTGCACCTTGAGACCGTAATGTCAAGTGAAATAAATCAGACACCCACGCCTGACTGTCACATGGGTTCTCTTGGATGAGACACCTGAATTATAACTAAATAAAGAGCAAAGTGAAACACAGGAAACAGGGAGATAGATCTCCCCCTTCTCAGCACAGCCCAGGGACCTCTGCGTCCCTGTGGGGCCCCGTGACAATGGGGTCTTTGTCCCTGGCCAGCCCACCTAGAGGGCGAAGGGTCGGGATGGTCTCTGGTGTCACGGGCTTAGGCTTTGGGATCACCAGCTCAGGCACCAAGACTGGCTACCCTCAAGCAGCCACAGGGCGCCACGGATGCGTTTCTGTGGCTGGTGCCGGGGACCTGCTCCTCCACACCCACGTGGCCATCTGTAGCCCTGGGGCCTCGCAGCCCCAAAGACCCCCAGCTCAAACATCTAAATGCTGCCCGCGGGGTGGGCATTTGGTACAGACCACGCTTGCACACCAGACTGTTGCCAGTGGCCTCCGCTAGACCGAGGCCTTGCTGCACCGTGTGGGAGCTACCTGCGCCCAGTCACGTCTCATTCACAGTGAGAAATCGTGAGGAAGAAACAGGAGTTAACAACTCCTCAGAACACCAGGAGCTCGAGCTCCTCTCTGAGTCTGCATGCAATTCCAAGAGCAGTTTTACGTCCTAAAGCAGCTTGGTTGCCAGGAGAGATGCCACATGCTTATGACCCTAGCACTTGGGAGGCTGGAGCAGGAGGATCCCAGCGAGTTCAAGGTCATCTTGGGCTACATGGCAACTTCAAGGTCAGCCTGAATAACTTAGGGAGACTGTCTCAAAAAAATAAAATAAGAATAAAGCAGCTTGGTGGCTGCCAGAGGGTGGGAAAGGAGGAAAACCTGCTCAAAGGGTGTGAGGGATGGGATGAGGGGAATGCTTCAGATCTAGAGAGAGGCCACACAACATCAGCGTCACAAATGCCTCAAAATGGTGCGCTTTGGAATGATGCACTTTGTCATGTAAACTTTAGCTAAGAAGAAGGGTAGAGGTCTTGGAAACTGGTCCGAAGAGTGGTGGGAGACTCAGCCTGAGATTAAGTCAGCAGACACTGGCTGCCTGCCCTCCAGGCCGGCCTCGCTCCCTGCCCTGTGATCCTGCAAGCACACCCGTCACCCCGCCCGCGCACCACCGTCCCCTGGTCACCTTGCAGTGAGGCCCAGAACTCCCTTCCCCGGTGTCCAGAGGCAGGGGGCCCGGGCCCTCCTGCCCACCCTGTGTCCCTCCTGGGCTCCCAGCAAGGGGCAACGCCTAAGGGGATATTTGGGGTCCCCAGCCCCTGCCTGGCCACCGCCCACCCGCTGTGGGAGGGCCGCACCCACAAAGGGCCTCTCCCGGCCCAGAGATGAACTGTGCCCTGAGCCACCAAGTCACTGCTCGTGGGATCCGCAGCACCGGCTCCTCCCAGGTCCCATTTGAAGTCTGGGCCTCACCAGGAAGCAGCCTGCACGCACCTCCATCTGCTCGTGGATCCAGTCCAGGAAGGAGGTGATGCGGGTGTAGACCCCGGGCTTGTTCACATCTGCGCAGCCGATGCCGAAGCTTGTGGCGCCCGCCAGCTTCCACAGCCGGCTCTCCTGGCACACCAGGGGCCCGCCGCTGTCTCCCTGGCAGGCAAGGGGCGCAGTGAAGGGCCCCGGCACTGTCCCCTTCCCTGGAGCAAGACTGGGGGAAGCCTTGGGAGCGATGCCCTCCCCCACGCCTGTGCAGATAGAGAGCCGGGGACACAGCCCCGCCCCGGGGAGCACGGCTGTATCTCCAGCACCTTTCTCCCCTGTGCTGAGTAAATTTGCTTTGCGTAGTCACGGGAAGCACGGCAGGGCCCATCCCGCGGGCTGGGCAGTGCACTGGAGGCCCCCCGCGCGGCCGTGCTTACCTGGCAGCTGTCCACGCCGCCTTTCAGGTAGCCCGCACACATCATGGACGGGGAGATGATGCCGCCATACACCTCCCTGTGGTTGCAGATCTTGTTGGAGATGAGTGGGACAGCCGCGTGGTTCAGGACGGGGGAGGCATCGCCTGCTCCAAACCAGGGCAGGCCGCGCGGTGAGCAGGGAGGGGGCACCAAGGGTGGGTGCCCGGGGCCAGGGGTGATGCTGAGGGCAAGGGCAGACCACCGGACACAACTTGGTGCCACAAGACGGCAGGGCTGAGAGGTCAGGGGCAGCTGTCGCCAATCCCCCAGCTGCCTGAGGAGCAGCCGTGGTGAGGGACATGGGTAGGGGCAGCAGGTGGAGCCCACACCTGGCACCAGCCGGTCGCGGGAACCTGGGCATGGTGCACGCATCCCTCACCATATGTCCCGGCTCATGCGTGTACACAAGGACACCCCACACGGGATGGGGGGCTGCTCTGCAGCTGAGAGCTCCATGTGTGAACCGAGTTTCATTCACAGGAAGGGTCAAGCCCACAGCCAGACCTGCACAGGAATAAGGGTGCCGGGGCCTTCCGTGGGACACAGTAGAGCGTTAGGGAGCGAGTCTGCCCAGGGACCCTGACCTCTGCGGAGGAAGCTCTTCTCCAGCCACCCTCTCTCCAGAGTCCAAAGGGATCAGAACCACGCGCTGGCCGGTGTCCCCAGTGAGTGCCCCCAAAGGAGGAAGGGGAGCAGGGGTGGGTTTTCCTGATCTGCCGGGGTCACAGTTCAGATAGAGCCAGGACCCTCTGCCCCACCACGCTGGCACCGGCTGCGCTTGGCCAAGTGTGTGCTGGCTTGAAACTACCAAGCACCAGAGGGTGCTGAGCCGGGGTGGGCACCGCCGAGGGTGCTGGGGGAGGGTAGACAAGGAGGGGCCCACAGCCCGGAGCTGGGCGAGCCTCATGTGCTTTAGGAGAGACAGACGCAACTGATAGGTCTCCAGAGGAAAATCCTGAACCCCTGGAGCTGGGAAGCGCGATCTTATTTGGAACACAGTCCACAGTGTAATTAAAGTGGCAGTCACAAGGCCAGCTCACCCTGTACTTGGCGGCCCTAAATCCAGTGGTTCGTGTCCCCGTCAGACACGGGAGAGGGGGTCTGCCACCCCGAGACTTGCGGGAGCCGAATGAAGATGGAGACTGAGACTGCCATGACTCGTCCTCCAGCAAGTGACACCGAGGATGCCTGAGCCAGCAGGCCCTGGACAGCAGCCCAGGCAGGTACGCCTCTGCGCCTGCAGAAGCAGCCTGCAGAGCGGCCCACACCGTGGTCGCAGACTTGGGCCCTCAGAACGGCAGGACAGCGCGTTTTACAGTCAAAGTCCTCCAGGTTGGATTCACTCGTTACAGCCCTACGGGAAGCTAATACTCTTTGGGCCAGCTAGGAGGGCGGCGGGTGGGAAATCTCAGCCTGGCGACCCTCCCCGTCCCTCACCAACAAAGGATGCGGGCTTCATTTTCATCTGCTCCGAGCACCCTCAACACTGCTGCTGCCCTTATTGCTACAGCAAGGGGGTCACCTCGGGTGGCCTGTTCTGCTTGATCTTCGGAGGAGGAAGTAACAACTTCCAAAGTCCCACAGGTGCACACAGCACTGGTTACCAGGCGCAGATTCTGGACAAAGGTGTCCGGGGGCTCCATGCGTTAGAGGAGGAAGGAGGGCCCCAGTGTGTGGGGTGCCCTGTTGAGGATGTCCCTGTTCCCTTCCAGTGCCAGCCCCCTCCGTGGTCCCCAGACAGTGGAGAGCAGCTAATGACCCTGAGCTGCAGGGATGGCTGTGATGAACGGTCCACCCCCCCCATGGACTTCTAGCTGCCCCTGAGGGCATCACGATGAGACGTGGGAGGGACCCCTCCCAGCGCCAAGGTTCTGAGGTCCTGGGCTCAGAACCTGATCTCAGACCACTGACCTCCGTCCTCCGTGGCCCCCCATCCTGACGTCCAGCACACTTTGCCGTCAGGAAAATTCTCTTCCGAGTTGGGCAGGCAGACGGGCTGGATCACCTCTGTGGGCAAGGGGACAGTGACCTCACTCGGCAGACAGTGCTCTGACCTGCGTCTCCGGGGAGCGTGGCGATCGTGATCGTCCGCTGGCACCAAGAGGCTAAAACCCCTCCGAGAAGTCGCTCCGTGAAGCTGTCCACCCCGCACACACTGAACAGTCCTAAGTTAATGCCCTGACACGAGAGAAACGTAAACCTTTCGTGCAGGGAGAGGGGGCCTTCCAGGTGGCTGAGATAAGTGGTCTGTCAATGCGAAATTTTTATATACAACTTTAGCTGCGGTGCAGGCATTCCTGGAAGGTTTAATAACGAACCAGATGCCCCAGAAAATGCACTTCTGAGACATCCCCGTATGCGAACTGGGACCCTTCCCCAGCCCGCGTTCCCTTGTAAAGCCCCAGCCTCTCACCCCAGGGATGACTCCTCTCTTGGAAACACCACGCTAGCCTAGCCAACCCCCTTGACAGTGTACTCTGACCTGAATCAGCCTTTTCTTATTCTGACCTTGGTGGATTCTTTGACCCTGCCGTCATCGCCCTCCACATCTAGTCTTGCAGGGCAGGGGGCTCTGACTTTCTCCTGGGGCAGCTCGGGCCTTGGGCAGGGAACAAGCAGCTCAGAGGAGGGACCTGTCACCCTGTCCCCTGCCCAGGGGCTCTGGACAGTGTGGCGTGTGTGAGACTAGACGGGTAGCCTTTGGAGCAGAGGGCGGAGAATGCACGGGCTTCCGCAGCTACTGTGTCTGCGCTGCCCCAGGATTTTCACAAGAGGGTGAAAGCAGCCCCTGGAAACGGGCCAGGAAATGGGTGTGACCGGTTCCAGAGATTTGTATTAACCAAGCTGAGCCATGGGTCAGATCTGGCCTGTGGGGCCCCACCTGGTGCAGCCCTAGCCTGCGTCCTATGCCTCACAGAACATCGACCCTGGGGCCTTCCTGTCCCTCCTGACACATCGACAGCCACCTGGGCCTCCAGCAAAGGCAGAGGACCTGCCTGCTCCCAAGGTCTCCCTCATGCACCCTCCAGGTAGGACCACAGGAGGCCCCGAAGCAATCGGACACCCACTGAGTTAGCAAAGTCCAGGTGCTGGGGCCTCGAGTCCGGGGAACAAACACCGTGAACACTGCCCCTGGTGGCACCCACAGCAATGTCTGCCTGGAAATGTTTCTTCCACGCCACTCCGTGCCACCAGAATCAGTTCCAAAGAGGAGGGACCACCTTGGTCATGAGCCCCCACCCATCTGCCAGGTGCCTGGAGTCACCTAACCCTACACGCTGTGGGATTCAGCATCTCCTAGTCAAATTTTCCAGGGTACAACTGACAACACCTATCATCCCCAGAACCAGGAAAATCACAGCTTTAATGACAAGCACTATCAGCAGGTGCTAACACCCACATGAATCAGACTCTGGGCTTTCCAGTGAGGTTCAAGCCGCTGTCATAAAAATACTTCCACACATAATCACAAACCCTCTTGAAACAAATGAAAAGCCAGCAAACCACCCGGAAACCCAGAGGTACCGTCGAAGGTGAGTGGCCCGGCCAGCTTCATGAGGGCGATGTCATTGCCCAGCCTCTTTGGCTTGTATTTGCTGTGGTAGATAATTTTCTCCACCAAGTGGGAGGGCGCTGGGCTGTCCAGGAGGGATACCAGGCCCACTTGGATGGTCCAGGACTTGGGGAGGTACAGGCTGAAATAGACACGCCAGGGGGTGAGGCCGAGGACAAAGCCAGCCATGGGCCCGCTAACTTCAGGTGCCCTAAAGTGTTCCCAGGCAGGAGGTGGCCCAGGGCCTGACATCTTGACCACACTCCCGGGCAGTCCCTGTGGAAACTCAACCCAGGACCCGTAGGTGTCTGAGACAGGCCTCGCTCCACACCCTGTGCAGATCATATTTGCAAACAGGGCTCAGCTCTCCAAGCGGCCCCCAGGACCCTCTATCAAGAACCACCATCAGAGCTGGAAAAGGAACAGGGGAAGTGCATCCTTGTGCCTAGGGGTTTCTTACCCCTACACCCCTAAAACAGACTGCCCTGGGGGGCTCAGGGTCCTTCACGTGCTTTTGCTGCACCCCACACTGCATAGCCTCACCCTGCCTCAGCCTAACATGGTCCCCTGCCTGCAGTTCGCTGCTGAAAGCCAGGGCCTCAGCGCTCCCTTCTGCACGTGTGCCTCCTGCCTCCCCGTCCCTTGGTTGAGCTCGAACATGAAGCCCTGCTTTGAGCTCAGGTCCCTGTAACCCCGGCATGGAGCTAGGGTTGTGGGGGGGAGGGCAGGAATGCAGTGGGGTGTCTGGGGATTTAGCTCAGCAGCACAGCGCCTGCCTGGCAAGCGCTAGATCGAGAGTTCGATTCCCGGTACCGGAAAAAAAAAGGAATGCAGTGGGACACAGCTGCCTGCCTGGCTTCCGGGCCTGCCCGCCGCCCAGTTTGGCCCCGGCCCACGTGGCCTGAGCCTTGAGGACGGGAGCCGCGCCGGCGGGCACTCACTCGTAGACGCAGTGTGCGGCGGTGACGATCCACAGGGGCGTGATGACCGAGCCCCCACACAGGTGGTAGCCCTGGAACTGGAGGCTGACCTGCCAGGGCCACTGCGCCAGCGCGGACACGTTCCCACCCACGATGCGCGCGCTGTAGCCGGTCCTCAGCCCACAGACTGCGGAGGAAGCGCAAGGTGCACGGGGAGACCGCGGGCTTTCCAGACTGCTCCCCTCAACCCTGCTGCCCCCCACCCAGGCCGAGTGCGGGGTGAGTGGGAAGAGCCCCCTTGCACTGGCTCATCAGAGCCCATGTGACAGTGCCCCCTAGCGTCCAGTGTCTGTAATGACAACACCCATGATGTCAGCCTCAACTCCCAGCCTTCCAAAGTCCCTGGCAATGCTGAGGGTGCTGGTGGCATCTCCCCCACCCCGCTTTCCCCAGACCCCACCCCTGCAAGGGGAGCCCCTGCTGGGAGCAGAGGCAGCTGGCCGCCACCCTGGGTCCTTGCAGGTTCAAGGAGAAAGGGGCAGGAAGCCAGGCCCCTGGAGACTGCACATGGGGACAGGACCTCTAGGCTCTGGGTCCTGCCTGCTGCTAAGAAGTCACCCACCTGGGCCACTCCACACCTGACAGGTGAGGCTGGCCCTGTGTCCTGCTCCCTTCTACCTGGCACCCTGGAGAAAGAGGCTCAGAGCCGTGCCGGGAAAAGAGGGACAGGACGCCATGCACACCGCTTCCACCCGTTTCCCTGCATGTACAGGCCGCTTACCCGTGCACTTCAGGGTGACCACGCGGCCTGAGGCGCATCCCTCCCTAATGTGGAGAAATGACAGGCATCATGGACAGTAGAAGGTGTGACAGCAAAACACAGCAAAGTTTCACATTTAAAACCTTCGTTACAGTGAAAGACACACTGCCACGGGTGGCCTGCACAGTCCTCGCCCCAGTTCAAACACTCGTGTCCCGTCCTGGCCCTTCCCACAGCGGCTCTGGAGTGATCTTTCCTGAGGGTCTTTAGCTGCGCTGTCCTGGCTGGACAAAGGCCTGTATGGGTTCAAACTGTTTCCCTGTCATGGTCACTTTGACCTTGGGGAGGAGCCGGAAGTCAAGGGTGCCAGACCGGTGAATAAGGTGCACAAGGATGCAGTGAGCCTGCTCTTCCACTGGGTGGCGCTAGGAGGCAGCAGTTCACTTTAGTTTTGATCACAACTAGAAGAGACCCTCAGGAAAGAGAACTCCAGAGCTGCTGCAGGAAGGGCAAGGACGATGGGACCAGTGTGTGTGAGGAGGGGGCGGAGTCTGAGGGGACCCATGCAGTGTGTCTTTTACTGTAATAAATATTTTGTATTTAAACATTCACTGTGTATTTTGGCCTCTCCTTGTATCCAAAGGCTGTAGAGCGAATGTTTTTCCTTTTTTACTTGGTCTTGTAAATGAAGAAAAATAAACTTCATTCCCCTTGCTCTTGAACAAAGATTACAACTTTAGCCCATGTTGAAATAGAAGCAGGCACTGCCGGTGGGCTGCCAGGATGCACTGGGACACCCCACATGCCCAAGCAGGGCCCAGGGTGGCCTCAGCTCCACACCTCTAGGGCATGCAGGAAGCGTCTAAGTGTCCACTGGTGCCACGTGTGTCCGTTTCCCATCCTGACCTGGGTTCACACACTCGGACAGGACTCCTCCCGGGGCAGTGAGCCGCAACTGCCCCAGTGACACCCTACCCCGACCAGGAGGGTCAGGGCCTGTCGTAAGGCCTTGTAATGAGGGGACAGGGGTCCCGCGATCTCTGCTAGTCCCAGCTCATGACATAGCACGCTCGGGACCCCACACGGCACACGGCCTCCGCTGCTCGCACCAGGCAGCGGTGGCCCCAGAGTGGAGGACTCCGTCCCAGGAGTCGGGGAGAGTGTGGGCTCCGGGGCCTGGCTGCGTCTGCTCCTTACCAGCTAACCTGGGCACTGCAGGTGACCCAGCACTTTGGCCCCCCAATGATTGTCATAAAGGACACCAGTTTCCCTTCTCCATGGTTGCTGGAGAAACACGCAGAGTAAGCGCTGAGCACTAATGCGTTCTGCAAAGAGCATGGCAGTCGCTTCCTCCCGTCCTCCCTTCCTCCCTTCCTGTTCCCATGTCTCAGACACAGCTGGCGTCCCCGCCAGGTGACCGCACGCACGTCCAGTCTGCGCTCCAACTGCTCTCCCTTCCCTCTCTCCACCCAGCTGTCCTTGCCTGGGTTGGGGTTCAGCTCCTGCCCCCCATCCAGGCCCACTCTCCCTGCCCCCATCACCGCTCCACAAGCCCGGGCAGCGGCTCAGCGGGGTGTTGACAGCAGCGTCTCCCACTCACCTCACGTACACCGCGTGGTGTAACACGGTCACCTTGTCATCCGGCAGGAGGTGGTTGATGGACACGAAGGCCCCCTGGAACTGAGGCTCGAGCGAGTCCACTCTGAGGTCACCTGAGCTGACGTAGCTGCAAGCACACCAGACACGGTCCCCATGGGGCCCTGACTCTCTGCACCTCCCGCCAAGCCCTGCTCAAGTCACAAGGCTCCCGGCGGCGTGCTCGGGGACCTCACGCGTCCGCCGGCACCGTCAAAAGCACACACAGCTTAGCAGGCTTCCCCGGCCCAGCATGGATGGGCTGATCTGCTTTCTGGTCCAGCACCTCTGCCCTGGCCACCCAGCTTCTCCTGCTGCCCGGAAAAGACCCTTCCTGAGGCCCTGGGGTCCCACTTCCGTTCCTGCGGCTGGGCTGGCCTTCGCTTGGCTTGCAGCAGGAGCACAGAGCCGCACGCAGAATGAGGGTTGGCACTGTCAGCTGGCATCCGAGTAGGTGCCAGGCACTCCCAAAGGAGGGGCTGGGGGGACCAAGACCTCCCTGGTCAGCCCGGAGCCAGCCCAGAGAGAGGGAAGTCGGGGGGTCAGTGGCCCAGGCACCCCACGGCCAGGCAGGTGTGAGAAGTGTCAGGAAATAGGGCGAAGGAGGTTCGGCTTTGAAAACATCACGGCAGAGGGCTGTGTTTGAGGGAGGGCGGGACTCTGAGGGCCCTCATGGCATGTGTCTTTTACTCTTCTGTGTAAACATTCAGCGTATTCTTTGCTTAGCCCAGGTGTGATGCAGAAAGCGGGCTGGGCAGAGACAAGAGACGGGGAAATTGTGCTCTGGGCCCCGTGCCCAGAAGGGTGCACCACAGGGTCCCTGCTCGCTGGCGAGGTCCCGTCCCCCTCAGGCTGGGGTGGGGATACCAGGGGCTGCCCGCCTGGCACGGTGCCCGGTCAGTGAGCCGGGTCCCTGAGGACCAGGAGATGGGACGTGGGGTGTAGCCATCGCCCTCGAGGGAGCAGAGCATAGGGCTCGGCGGGAAGCTGAAGTCTCTTCCGGGGAAGCATCGGCCTTTGCTGTGCATGCGTGTGCGCATGTATGAGCGTGTGCACGTATACACACGTGTGTGTGCGTGTATGCACATGTGTGTGCGCAGCATGAACTTCCTCCTCCTGGGCTCTGAGGAGCAATGCATGGCGTCCCAAAGGGGTCTGTGTGAGTGGCATTAAGACTGGAGTCCCAGCTGGTGTCTGAACCCGGGTGGTGGGCAGGGGGCAGGGCAGCCTCCAGGACACATGTGGGGGGACATGCCAGGGTCCCCTGGCTTTGGACAAAGGCAGCCAAGCACACGGTACATCAGCTTTGACAGCCGAGACTCTGATGGATGCACATCCAAGGCCGCCATGGTCCCCTCGCTCTGTCCCCAAGCTGCCTGCTGGGGGTGCTGAGGTGAAGGGCAAAGAGGGCAATGCCAGGGGCACCCACAGAGGCAAGGGAGCCCCCAGAGGCCAACAGGGAGGTGGACCCTGTGTGTTGACGGAAATGTGGCACCCCAAAGCCAAAAGCCACCTGGCAATGCCAAATACGGGAGCAGAACATCCAAAAAAATATTTCTTCTTCCAGGAGTTGCTAAGCAGTGCCGAACAACTATGTTCTCCCAGAATTACAGGCTTTGAAAACCTGGTTCAAGACAGACACAGGGGTGCACACCTGTGATCTCAGCACTCTGGGAGGCTGAGGCAGGAGGATGGCAGGTTTGAATCCAGCCTGGGTAACTAAGGAAGACCCTGTCTCCAAAAATAAAAAATGAGGTCTTGGAGTGTGACAGTGTGAAGACCCTGGGTTCGACTGCTAGTACTACAAAAAAGAAAGAAATGAAGAAAAGAGACGAGGACAAAACCTAGTTCTTTGGACCGTCAGGGAAGCGTCCCCCCGCCCCAGAACCACAGCAACCCTGTCCAGCTCCTGCTGTGGCCCGGGAAGGGTCCTGGCCTGGTCTCATAGAGAGACCTTAATTTTGTCTGGCCTCAATTTTCCCTTGCGACGGGGTGCTGGGCTGCAGACAGAGAAGCCGCCCTCCCGGAGCCCTGCAAGCCCTGGCTGCCCTGGGTGGGGCCAGAGCACCGCGCTCACCTGGGGAAGCCCAGCTGGGCACAGGCCACGCCGGCATAGCCGCCTTTCCAGTCGTCCGCGCACATGGTCCTCCAGGCGGCAGCCGTGAAGACCTGCAGCGCCGCACTGCGGCCGCTCACCCGCACTGCGCCGGGCAGCGAACGTCAGGGGCGCAGCGCCCGCTGGCCTCGCCTCCCCCCGCCGCCCTGGCACCACCCCTCAGCCCCGCAGAGCAGGCGAAGAGCCCTGTCTGCGCCCCGATCTGCAGAGGCCTGGCCTCAGCCACGTCCTCTCCCAAGAACAGCCCCCCTGAGCTCCGACCCAGGCCCCGGGGCCAAGTGCCGGTGGGTGAGGCCGCGCCATGACACCCACGGAGGCCGCCCCCCACCTCTGCGGGGAGCAGCCGCGGCTTACCACACCGGTACTCATCCTCCCCGTCCTTGCAGTCGGACACCCCGTCGCAGCGCGCTGCCAGTTCAATACACTTAAAAGACGAACGACACCTGTACTTCCCGGAGCAGTCAAAGTGGACTAGGAGCAAGGGAGACAAGAACGTTCACAGGCGGCTCTCTCAGCGCACAGCACGGGCAACTGTCCACCTGCCACGTGGCGGGCGGTAAGCTGACCCATGAATAATGAGCCCTGTGTTGAAACTGCATCCCTGTCAGCAGCCTGTTTCCTCCAGCTCGGTCTCTGCGCTGACTTTGGGGGTGGACCTGCCGTGCCCCACTTTGCTGCGTGACGAAGGTGAATTTAGGCTCTGGAGGGCTCAAGGCCAAGTAAGAAAGACATAGCAGAGCCAGGAGCCCTGACTCGCCTCCCTGGGCCGCCTTTGCTTCCTGGACGCTGGGCTGGAGAGGAGCAAGCTGGGGGCCACGCAGCCACCGTGGGCGAGCTAAACCCCTGTGTGGTCCGGCTCTTTGAAGAAGAGGAGAAACTGTTGCGGATCAGTCCCTTCCGCCAAGTGACCCACTTTCCCCTGCTCGGAGAGCGGCCGGTGCCCCGCGCGCGGTGAATGGGGCCTTTGTCTCCTCCACCCTCCACCCCGCCCCACGCGGGCAGGTCCCGTTTCAGTGTCTAAGTGACGGACACATCTCCCTGCGGGGGCTCCTCGGTGACGCGGCCCGAGCATGGCCAGGGAGGCTCCACAGGTTCGAACCAGCCCGCCCGGCGCCCGCGGAACAAGGGACGGGACTCACCGCCCAGGCCGATGGCGAGCGCCAGTATCAGCGCGATGACGCCCACCACGATGATCGGGAAGAACTTCAAGGGCAGCAGCGACAGGATCTGCGCGGCCACCGCGTCTGCGTCTGCACCGCGGCAGGAGCCAGAGAACACTGACCGTGAGGGGCTTCAACCCCGCTCGCCCCCTCCCTGCACTCCAGGCCCCGGAAGTTCCCGCCAGAGAGAGGGGCTCCCTCCAGGAGGCGAGTTCCCTCACTCCTCCCACCGTCTGCTCGGACCCGGCCTGGTCCATCCAGCCTGGGCTGGGTTCAGGGCTTTGCATTGAACAGTGTCCCCCAGAAAGATGTGTCCTGGTCCTAACCCCCAGGACTTCATAAAGTCACAGCACTTTGAGGGGCTTTGGGGGAGGTCTGAGGGATTAAGCCCCAGGGCCTTTGCACTGAGCTGTAGCCCCAGCCCCTTCTTTTTTTTAAAAGACAAGATTTTACTAATTTGGTAAGTGTCCCAGATTGGGACACTCAATCTTGAGATCTTCCTGCCTCAGCCTCCAAAAATGCTGGGTTCCAGACATGTGCCTTCTCGCCCAACTTGGAGGGTCTTTATAAAGCAATCTGAGTATGAGGAGGTTGTTAGGGTTGGCCCTAATTCAATGTGCCTGTCATTGCTGTTAAAGGAGAAATTGGAAGCCGGGCATGGTGGCCCACCCCTATAATCTGAGCACTTGGGAGGCTGAGGCAGGAGGATCACTGAGTTCAAAGCCAGCCTGGGCTCCAGAGTGGGTTCGAGGCCAGCCTGATCTGCAGAGTGAAACCCTGTCTCAAAAGATAAAAACTAAAAAAAAAAGGAGAAACTGGGACAGAGAGACAGGCTCGCACAGAGGGGAGAGGATGAGGAAGGACAGGAGAAGCAGACAGCAATTGCAGATGAGTGCAGAGGGCCACGTGGACAGCTCTGGGGACGCCAAAGGCTGTGAGCAGGTGGCCAGAGCCAGGAGCAGTTCAGGGAGGAGCTCTCCAGCTTCCAGGGGAAGCAAGGCCCAGCCACACCTGGGTTTCAGACCCGTGGTCCCAGCTATTTTAAATCACCCGGCTGGTGGCACTGGGTTCCTGCAGCCCGGGGACACTGGTCTCTGCCCCAACACACTTGCATAGTCGGTCTGCACCCACAAGGTTGAGGCAGCCTGCCTGCTGCTCATAAAGAGGTGGATTCCCAGGCCCCCACTGCACACAGACTGAGGTAGGACATCGAGAAGAGCGAGGCACACCCCAACCCAGGAGGGAGGGCTCTGGCAGCCCCGTCCCCTCAGGGGCCAGACCTCATCATACTGATTATCCCATCAACCTGGGAAGCACAGCCACACTGAGGCTATCCTTAAAACCTAAGAGAGATCTTGGGCATGGTGGCACATGCCTGACACCCCATGCTCGGGAGGCTGAGACAGGAGGATCTCTGTGAGTTTGAGACCATCTTGGCCTAGATAGGAGACCCTGATTTTAAAAACAAACAGAAAAATAGAGGCAGGATGGAATCTACAAAGGGGACAGAGCCCCCCTATGGCCCTCGGTGACAGTTCAAAAGATCTCCCTGCCTCTGCCCTCAGAAAACACAGCTTCGCCCTCTTAACCAACACTGGAAGGGTCCAAACACGGCCAGGGCCATCAGAGCTGCCTGAGACAGGGGTGAAGGCAGATGTGGCAAAAGAAATGGAATGGGCAGGAGAGGGGTGAGAGGGAAACAGGAGAAGAGAGAAGGAAGTGAGGCCCAGGCACTCGGAGGCAGGAGAGAGTCTGGAGGGCTTGTTCTAGGCCTGGATGAGCCCAGCCGTGGGTTCAGGACCCAGAGCAAGAGAGTCCACAAACATGTGCTGGACGAATGAACGAACGTGTGAGAAATCTCTCTGCCTGTCTGGAAACGAAGGGATGCCGGCTAGACATCTCTCCATCTCAGCTTCCCCCGGACTCTGATGGTCATCTCCACTGCCGTCCAGGGAAGGCAAACTGGGCCCCCCGATGGCCATTAGGACCCAAGCTGGGGCACGTGTCCACCTGAGTCCACTTGGAAGTGACACCAGAAGGCTGAAACACCGAAGAGAAGTGTAGCCCAGGAGCTGCACTTCTGGGAAGCAGTCCTAAAAGGCTCTCGGCTATGTACACAGAGTTCTACCTATGTGAACATTGGGAAGCGTGACATTTATAATATGAGCACTAAGTGGGAACTGGGGCAATAAGAAGTAACCTGCACACTCCACGGGACCCTCACGCACATACTTAACGTGGTGTGGAACCGAGTCAGCAAATTTGGGTCCTCTGTGAAGACCCAGATAGTAAGGACCTTAAACTCTAGGGGTTGTCTAGCCTGTCCAAAACTCCCTCTGTTGTGGCATGAACTCAGCCACATACAAAATGTAAATAAGCAGGAATGTGTGTCTCAATAAAACTTTATTTATAAAAACAGGCAAGGGGCCAGGTGTGGTGGTGCACACCTGTAATCCCAGCATGCAGGAGGCTGAGGCAGGAGGATCGTTGCGAGTTTGAGGCCAGCCTGGGCTACATAGTGAGTTCATGACCAGCCTGAACTGCATAGTGAAACCCTGTCTCAAAAAGACAAAAAACAGGCAAAGAGCCAGATTTGACCCATGGGCAATACTTGAAAAATATTTAACTATTTAATGCCATGGAAAAATGAATTATTAAGTTTAAAAAAAGCTTCAGAAGGCAAATACATAGAAAAAAAGCAAGAAATCCAATAATAAGGGTTAATAGGCTTCTTTCTGAGTAATGGTACAAATGTGAATAATTTTTGAAAACCTTTTTGGTTATCTGTGTATTATCTAAGTTTTTACTATGAACAGTATCACTTTATTTAAAAAGGAAAGGTTTAAAAACATATTTGTTCCAGGGAGGACAGAGAGAAGGGAAAGGGGTTTTAAAAAGAGAAATTAAAATGTTATTATGTAAATGTATCAATTCCCCACAAGGAATGTAAACATTGTGTACTATAGACATGGACTCGTACAAAAATAAACATGTGAATACAAAAAAGTGTGTTCTTTCACATTCCTAGGAATTAAACATAAACAAACATCAAGAATTAGAAGACTGGCATGTGTACATCACTCTTTGTGCTCATATTTATATTATAAAATATTAGAGACAGTTACAAGTCCAGCACAGGTTACACACCTAGATCACAAATGTTCCAATGACGTCCAGATCCTTATAGATGCCAGATAGCCTGTCAAAAAACACGGTCTCTCGCTATGCTATGTGAGTCCGTACTCACAGGCAGATGTAAAAGCCAGGTAAGACCCGGGGGTTAGGGGATTGCACAGCTTTTTCTCTTTCCTTTGCTTTCATGCTAATTTTAAGGCACATTTTAAAATTGTGTATCTTGGGCTGGGGATATAGCTCAGTGGTATAAGTGCCTGCCTGGCAAGTGCAAGGTCCTGAGTTCGATTCCAGGTACCAAAAAAATAAAATTGTGTATCTCCTCCCCCTCTTCCCCCTGCTGTCCTCTGCCCGTCCCTCCCCTGTGTCAGTGGTCCTGGTGGCTTACAGACCCATCAGAGTCATTGTTTCACTTCCAGAACCTCGGCCAGCGCTGTCCATGCCCCTGCTCCCAGCCCCACTTCTGGGACCTGCAAGCCCCCAGCGCCCCTGGACACAAACCGATGGGCTTTGGCCCAGCTGGGCAGATAACTTAGAGTCCAGTCTTCACCAGACAGGCATAACCTATTTACAAAAGCAGCTTCTTCCGCCGGTTGCTGGGAGCAGCTGTCAGGTGCTGTCGGATTTTAATCTAGACTCTAACACTTTTGGTGGTATATAGATAGCTCGTTTTAGGGTTTCGGGAAGGGTTGGTGGCCACTGCTTCTCAGGACTTCCTGGAGGGCTCAGAGCTCTCCTGGCCAGGATCTGCCCTCCTCCAAGATGGAGCAGGGAGCCCCATGGAGCCCCGATTTCTGGAAACTCCCAACCACAGAGTAAAACACCCGTCTCCAGAGCTGAGCAAAATCACCCCCTTGTCTCCCTGGGACTCTGTAAACCAAAGACGCAGGTGTCCAGCCTCGGGGTGACAGTGTACAGGGAGCAACCCTCCCTGTTCCCTCAGCCACATTTGTCATCTACGCAGAAGGCAGACGTCACCGGGCCCCACCAGGTGCCACCTACCTGGTGTCACAGGATTTATTTTCAAGTCATCAAGGCCGAACAGTGACCGGAAGGAGAAGGGCGCCTCGGCTGCTGGCGGGTCGTTCTCCCCCATGGTGACGATCTCAGGGCCTCTGAGACCGGGCTCCACCTCCACCTCCACCTCCACCTCCTGCTCCAGGAAGAACAGAGGCGTCGATTCCCCGCGGACGGCGCCGGCATCCCCCGTGTCGTTGTCGTATTTTAAATCCTTCAGGCCCACGCAAAGGGACTTAGGGCCAGTTAATAAAACATGCTTCTCTCCCTCTGAACCAAAAAGCTTCTAGAATTAGCAAAAGACCATACACTTAATCCTCCTCCAAAGAGCTGTGTTTCCATTGTTGGTTTAACCCATGTTAAAATCAAACAGCACCTTCAGAGAGAAGCCTTTTAACCACTCACAAGTGACTGTCAGCACTCTGCAGAAGATAAGAGACTTTCAAAGCCGTAGCCCATGTGAGTGTGATTCTTTGTGTAGCCGTAAGAGCGGTCTATCACAAAGGTGAGACGTGTTGACACTCACATAATGCCGGGGTCCCCAGAGGTAGGTGGCCCCAGGGAAGGGACCCCTGCACGCAGTGTCAGGAGCTCCCGGTGAATACGGCCCTACCCTGCCACGCACAGGCCTGACCTAATTAAGGATGCAAGCATCCGGGCCTGTGCGGCCAGCCGGGGCCTCCACATAGCTGAGTGAGGAGTGGCTGGAACCTGAAGCTTGTGCCAAGGCCTCTGCAGGACACAGTTTCCTATGAGAAGCTGGGGTTCCGTTTCCACCCGTGCAAGGCCAGGGAGGCCGAGAGCCAGGTGGTCATTCCTGGGACTCTGGGAGAGGCCGTGTCCCCAGGCATGTTCTGGTCACTCTGGGTGCCCTACCCTGCTCCTTGGGCACCTGCAACCCGGGACTGAGACCTGCCCTCCCTACAGGCTCGAGAACCCCTACCCTCAGGTCTGTTTTGACTTCCCTTCTGGCTGCCTGCAGTAGAGTTTGAAACTCCAAAGCGAACTACGAGCCACTTAAAAGGAATTTTGCTTTCCGAGGTCTTAGTAAAACTTAACCAAGAGCTGTTTATTTGTAAAGCTGTTTCTTGCCCTTTGCACACAAGCAGGCTTTGAGGGCCGCCTCAGACAACTAACCCGTGCACACCCAGCACTTTATCTTCGGTCCCTGCGGAGACCCACGCTCCCTGCCAGCACATGGCCAATCACACAGTTCTTCTTCATAAAAAGAGTAAGAATTCACAGGAAAACGCTTCCCGGAAGATGGCCCTGAGTGCGAAGCACGGCTGAGGAGCCTGTCGGGGCGCCGTCTGTCCCACCCCACGACACTTACCGCATCTGGAGCTGCCATGGTCTAAAGCAGGAGGAATTTCCTTGTTCATGATAGAAACCGGCGGGCTGGGGAGCGGCTGCCACGCGAGAGTCCGGCAGCGGGAGGCTCCTCGCGGAGTCACTGGGCCTTGTCGCTGCAGTCATCGCGGCCAATGGCGTTGTGGCGGAGCCTGTGTAACCCAAGCCCGGGGTGGCTATCGGGTGGCCCAGGGGGTTCGCTGCAGGGGCAGCAGAGGACTGAGTCACAAGGGAGGGAGCCTTGGGCAGGCTCTGCAGAGGAGGCTGTGGCACGCAGGTGCCCCGGCTGGGCTGGCGGCCCCCAAGGGCAGAGACCCCTGAGAGTGGGCTCTGTCCCTCTGTTCGACCGAGGACAAGTCTCCTCCTGCAGCTGCCCGAGGACAAGGGCCAGGCCGGCGTGCTTGTCTCTGAGCACTGTGCAGAGGAGAGGGGCGCTCTGGTCGCCAGGGCGACGTCCGCAGGGGGAGGCACAGGAGCAGGTTTGGACAGCTCAGTGCAGAGCCCTGGCCCCCCGCGCCCACTGGGAGCCAGACTCGGAGGGCGCAACGGCAGCCAGGCCTGCCGGGGAGTCACAGGTGGCCTTAGCCAGGGACCAGGCAAGGCAGGGGCTGGGGTGACGGCGAGAGCTGGGATGGAGAGACCTCGGCCACAGGACGAGCAGTGCCCTGAGCAGTAGAGGGTGGCTGTCTGTGTCGGGGGAACCCTCAGCTCAAAGGCCGGAGGAGAGGACGCACCACCCCTCAGGACAGAGTGGAGACGGAGACCCCCGGAAGTGAGACCAGCCAGGCTGATGACCAGCTCACAGAGGCTGGGACTTCGAAGGGATTCCAGTTTGCTTCCCGTGAGATGGCACCAGAGAGGACCCAAGCCAGCCAAGCTGGGCAGATGGAGCGCTGGGGACCCAGGCAGCCTGGCGGGGTCGCTGCGGGGCATGGGCCATGATGGCCGCAGTGGCCCCTCCCCGAATGTGCAAGAGGTGAGAAGGCTAGGCAGAGTTGATTGACAGTGGGTGGGTAGGGTGAGCCCATGGCAACCGCCCAGGGAGCCTAGGGACAAATTCAGGCTGTCGTGGTGTGACCCCACCCGTTTTCCTGCCTCCCCGCTCCAGCCCACCCAGCGATGTGTCCAGGTCCTCCGAACCGGACGTGCCAGCCCTGGACCAACCTCTGCCCCCAGACAGGGGCAGGCGAGAACACACAGCACTTCCTTCGCTTTAATCTGTGTGCTGGAGGTGAGGGGTATCTCAGAGGATGTGTGGGATGTCCTCTCATTCCTGAGCCCAGGGCCAGACACCACCATGACCGTGCAAAGCGGACCGTGTGCCCAGAGTGCTGACCGCAAACCCGTGTGGACGAGAAACACCGCAGAGACACATGGGTAACCAACAGCCGTCGTGAGGTCACGCTGACAGTGGTGTCACACACAGGTCCAAGGTCAAACTGATCTCCCGAGGCGGCCATGTGGGCAGCGGGACACCTTCCCTGTAAAGTGCACTTGGAGAGTCCCCTACAAACCAGTTCCACCTGGGTCAAGAGAGAACCTTCCAGAATCAGAGCCATGACCACGCCTGGGGCTGGCACATGACCCTCAGAAGAACAGGCTTCCCGTCCTGATGTCCCCTGGGTGAAGAGCCAAGGACACCACCTGCATGTGGCTCAGCAGCTGCTGGCAGGGAGCCCCTCTCCTTGCATTGCTGACCTCGGAAGCAGAGATTCTGCGGGGCATTTCCTGGCGGACACAGGTAAGATAATTTCTTCTTTAAGAGAAAGAAGTGGAAACATGTAATTACAAGTTAGTAGGCGGTAGCACAAACACAGTGTTCTGGAAGTTGTTTGTTATTTACTTTAAAGAGAATTTTAAAAAGAACAAAATAACAACAACATGGACAAAAACAATAAAAATGATACAGGGTTCCAAAATGGAATGACAGGAATTAACATTGGTTGTTATATTACATATTGTTATCCTCAACCAAGTTGCTCAGATTACCAGATGTAAGAATGCAAGATTGATCAAACAATTAAAGAGAAAAAAAATTTAAAAAAAAAAAAACATTAGAAATGATACAAAGCGATGTTGCATGCTTATAGCTGGTCATCTGAACAACTAACTTGAAGATAACAATATGCAATATGACAACCATTGGTGAATTCCTCCCGTCTTGTCTAGTGAAGCTCTGTATCCTTTCTAACGTGTTTGCTATTTAGCAGAGAAAGATAGATTAGAGGTTCTCCATCAGGCCCCACATCCGTTTTTTCCTCCTCTGGGCAATGAGCTCTATTTCCAGACTTTCAAATTTAAGGTGAATAGTTTGATTGTGGAATTATTGCATCTCTTGGATCCCTCAGAGAAAGGACAACCGCCCAGGGAAAGGCAAACACCACTGCTCTCGCTGACGTGTGCCGTCTGGAAAAGGAGGGAGAGAAAAGAATACAGGGAGGAGGGTGGAACTGGTGGCCACCCGGGCAGGGGCAGTGAGAGGCGGTGGAGGTGCGGTGAGACGCATGGTGCAGAGTCCAGTGGGCGCCGTACAACGCGGGAGCTGCAGAGCGAGGGTGAGTCCGGGCTGGCACTCCCCTGAGAGGGGATTCGATACTGTGACAGAAGGTAGTTACTTGGGACGTCGTCGGCTTGAGCCTCACTGTTGGACTGTTTTTCACCAACAGCAGGCTGCAAAAGCAAGGTCGTGGCTTAGTGCGGTGCAAGACCCTGGGAGCGTAGGGTTGGGGGTCAGAGTGTTCACCCTAAGGGTGTGCAATTAGAAAGGAAAAAGATATTACCAATAACGCAACAAACTCCCACATATAGGAGAAATGTTGAACCTTTGCCCTCTAAGATGGGGAATAGTACAATGAGCTTCACTAAAATTACACCGATTTAGCACCTTATCGGAGGTCCAGACTAGTTCCACAAAGCTGAAAAGAGAAAAAGAGGAAAAGACAGGAAAGAAGGGGAAAGGAAGGGGAGGAGAGAGGGAGGGAGGGGAGGGAGTAGACAGAGAAGGAAGAAGGGAGATAGAGAGACATAAATGGAAAAATTTAAGAACAGGTAAGAAAAAATAAAACCACCATTACAGACTAAGTCATTTTAATATAAAATATCTTTAAATTCTAAAGGTAAGTTATTTTGTCTACCATATATGTGCATAATACATATGATGACATTTTATGACCAAGGGAGTCAACCTCAAGAAAACAGTTTGATTTAAACACCACAAAAAAATCCACTTTTGCCTGTTTTGGCATTATATGGTAAGAATATATAAAGTTCAGAAAGACTAGAAAGAGGAAAACTGCAGTTATTTAGAGATGGTATACATGAAAATCCACGCGAATCTCTAAATTTTTTAAATTAATAAGTGGGTTTAGAATTAATAAGTGAGACCAATATAAAATTATATTTCTATTGCTGGCAACAGACAATTGAAAACAGAAATTAATAACATCATTTACAGTAGCATCAAAAATACAAGCAAACATACCGAAAACTACAAAGAGAAATAGAGAAATACGTCGTATTCATGGGATGGAAGGCTTAATAGTTAAAATGTTGATTCTCCCCAAACTGATCTACTCATTCAATGTAATTCCAAACAAAATCCCAGCAGCCCTTTTAGTCTGGCAGAAAATAATACGTTACTTTTTGTTGTCCTTAACATTGGTTTCATTTCTTTTTTAAAAACAATCAGTTTTGTTAAGGTCTAATTTGTACACTAGGAAACACGCCCATTCTAAACATGTAGTTCCGTCATCTTGAAAAACTGTGCACACCCACATAACTCCCACGGAATCATGTTAGAGAATCATCCTCACACCTCCGTCGCCCCTGACCTTCACCCTAGCCCCAAGCAACCACCAATCTGCTCTTTGTCCTGTAGATTAGTTTTAGCTCTTTTAGACCTTCATTGAAACAAGTCACAAAGGGTAATAGGACGGACTTTGTGGCTGGCTTCTGTCACTCAGTAAAATACTCCTGTGTCTATATCCACATTGCTTCATGAGTAAACACTACGTTCCTTTCTGTGCATGAGAATTGCTCTATTGGTTAAATATTCCATAATTTGTGCATCCATCCACCAAGTGACTCTGTTTAGCACTATATACATGGGCTGTTTCCAGGTTAGGAACAATTAGGGACAAAACTTCAAGTAACATTCAGAGACAACTCTCTGTGTGTGGATATATATTTTTATTTATGCCCGGTGAAAGCTAAAAGTAGAACTGGTCATATAGTAAATGTTTGCTGGCCTTGAGAGAAAGCTATCAAAATGATTTTCCAGCGTAAGTGGATGATTTGCATTCCTACCAACAATTAGGAGGGTGTCTATTCTTCTGCCACCTTGTCAAAACTTGGTGTTATCAACTGTGATGGTTAATCTTGGTTGTTATCTTCACAGGCTTGAAAGATGCCCAGGAGATCAGCAGAGCACACTTCTGGGTGTGTCTGGTTGACTCAAGGGGTGCCACCCTGGGGACTGTGTGACCCCTTATTTTCAGTCTCTTTCCCCTTTGCTTTGCTTCCTGGTTACTGAGAATTGAGCGGCTTTGCTCCCCCACACCCTCCCACCGTGAAGTTTCTGCCTTGGAGCCGGCTGACCATGCACTGAACCGAATGAAACCACAAGCCAAAATAACCCTCTTCTCCTTTAAGTGTGCAAATTAGATATTTGATCACAAAAATGCAAAGCTGGCAGATGTATTGGTCTTTTCAACCTTAGCTTATAATCTAGTTGGTGTTCTGTAAAGTCATATGTGTTAGCATTTTCAATCCCCAATGACTAACAATATTGAGTATCTCCTTGCCCATTCATGTATCTTCTTTTGTCAAGTGTCCATTTAGACATATTGCCCATTTTAGACTGCCTTGTTCTTATTAGCTATAAGAATATATTTTATATGTTAATGTGTATAATATTTTGGGTACAAGTCCCACATCAGTTACATATGTGGTGATAGCCTCTCCCAGTCTATGACTTGCCTTTTGGTTTTCCTTATGGTGTCTTTTAAGGGGCAGAAGTTGGCAATTTTGATGACATCCAGGTTATCAACCTTCAGTTTATGACCTCTTATGGGCCATCCTTTTTGTCCTAAGAAAAGCTTGCAAACTCCAACACACCTAGTGTTTTCTCTCAGGTTTCCTTTTAGAAGGTTCATAGTTTTAGATTTTGCATGTAAATCCACCGTACATTTTGAGTTCGCCTTTGTACATGCTATGAAGTGCAGATTGAGGTTCATCCCATGCAGATGTGCAGTTCCCAGCACCACTTATTGTAGCATTACCCTGTCCCCTCTTGAAAGTATGTCGGTGCCTTGTTGAAAGTCATTTGGCCATACATGTGGGTGTTTCTGCGCCCGCCAATGCACACAGCGACACCATGATTTTTAAATGGATATGAAAAGGCAATGGGCCTAGAAGACCCAAGACAATCTTGAAGAAGACAAAAAACCAGAGAGCTCAACACTACCATACAAAATAAGCACAAACATTGACAAATGAAACAAGAGCACTTAACAGAGCCAGAAACAGACTAATACATATACTGTCATGTGATTTACAATACACATTCTACTGCAATGCACTGGGCAAATAATAGACTTGTCAATGGGAAAAAATGAATGAAACTTGATCCCTACCTCACACGATACATGAAATTAATTCAAATGAATAATAGAGCTAAATATGAATGGTAAAAGTAATAAAGCTTCTCGAGCAATACACAGGAGACCATCTTTATCAATGTGAATAAACAACAATGTCTGGAACAGGATGCAGAACACACTAACCAGAGCACCCACAACTTGATAAGAAAAAGCAAGCAACCCAATGAAAAATTAAAAGAGTAGATGATATGAACAAGCACTTCCCCAAAGAGATATTCAAATGGCCGACAAGCCCATGAAAGGGTCTCAGAATCCTTATCCATCATGAACGTGGAAGTCACAACTCCAGTGAGGTACCACCACCCCTTGACCAGAATGGCGAAAGTCAAAGAGGCTGACAATTCCAAGTGTTGACAAGGATGCAGAGCAGAGAGAACGCTCATTTTCTGCAGGTGAGAAGAGAAATCGTTATATCTGCCCCAGTGTACAGCAACCAAGAGATGGACAGAGGCATCCTGCCAGACTGATCTAATTAATACTAGATAGCAATGATGGTGAGCTCACTGCAGCCACAAGCAGTAGTGCTAGTTTCACAAAGAAACCAGATGTGAGGAGCACGGGATCTGTTTGCAACACTCAAAACGACCCACAATTAGTGTACAATGGAGTGCAGCCACCGCGGCGGGTGGAGGGCTCCAGAAGGGGCCTGGGCGGGGCCCCCAGGAAGTTCCAGAGTGAGGCGTCTCCACCTTGTGCCAGACACGGGGGGGCAGGCCGCACTTTGTTGTGCAGACTCTTCACACTCCTGGCCTCTCCCTGCTGCTCCTCTCCTCCCACGGTCGTGACAACCACAAATGTCTCCCAAGGCCCCCTGGAAGAGGATGCTCAGAACTCCCCTGGTTGTAGCTCACTGGGAGGCTAGGGAGTGTGCCCTCACTTTACGGAAATTCCTCAAGTTGCACACGAGTGATTCTTCGACTTTTGGCATGTTGGAATTTAAAGAAGTTTTTTTTTTTAGAAAATCAAAAACAAGCCAGTGAATAACTGAATGAACAAAAAGGTTTCAGAGCAAACAGAGACAATACATGTAGGGTAGTTTAATGTCTCGCTTGCAGACATGGGGACCAGGAGAAGGGCTGCTAGGGCAGGTGGCCCCTGGGTGGCCCCAGACAGAAGCCCACCCTGACTTCCGCTCCCTGGTCCTGGGCCCACACCCTCCTACACCCCTGCTGGGGTAGAGCAGGCCCTGGCACCCTGCAGAGAGGACGCTGAAGACCAGCACTCCTGCAAACAGGATATCGGCTGTGTCAGAACCATCAAAAAGGGCTTGAGGTTTTCTTCGCAGCCCAGCCTCCTCCTCCCCCCACCCCGAGCTCTGCTTTATCTGCAGGCGCCTGGTGCACAGCAGGGCAGGAAGAGATGGCAGCCGGAGAGACGCAGCTCTATGCCAAGGTCAGCAACAAGCTGAAGGGCCGCAGCACCCCCTCACTGCTGGACCCACTCCTGGCCCTGGGCTTCCCGGCACACACCGCGTGAGTACGGGCAGCTGAGACTCTGGGTGTCCGGGCCACACCCTCAGCCGGGCCAGACACTTCAGCCATCAAAGTGGATGGGCTGGCGGCGCTGACTCCCTGTTGAGGGGTGAGGGAGTTCTCAAAAGAAGGCCCTTTCTCCTTTTCCACTCAAGATGACCTTAGCCTCTGAGAGAGGAGCTCTGCCGGCCAACTAACGGGGGACCCTGAAACGCGTGCATGTTAGAAGTCACGTGTTACTCTGGCTGCCCCCATTGCTGGGGGGTTGGAGGAAGTCGGGGCCTTTGGCGACCTCTTGAAATGAAGGTGACATTTCAAGGTCTCTCAAATTCCAGTGAGTGTGTCTGATGCCAGGACCATGGAGAGAACCCTAGACAGGGTTCCTAGACTTCACAAGGAGAGCCATCTGTCCCTCCAGAAAATGCCCTGCTCTTGGGCGTTATTGGATGACCAGTCACGAAACGCCACGGTCAGGAAAGGACAGAAGCACGCTGGGTGTGGTGGAGCACTGTGTTCCCAGCACTCAGAGGGCTGAGGCTGGAGACTCGCTTGAGCCCAAGGATTTGAGAGCAGCCTGGGCAACAGAGTGAGACCCCTTCTGAGGGAAAGCAGGAAGGGAGGGAGGTGAGCGGGGAGGGGAGGAGCGCAGGAGGAAGGGCCCCAGGGTTTGAGGACGGCGCTCTCCATCCCTCAGTGATGGAGCCGAAGCTCGCACACTGGAGGAAACAGCCCTGAACCAGGCCCTTGCTTCTCCCCCAGGTCAGGGCTTTGTTGTCGCCATGATGTTTGTGACAACGGTGCTCCTGTCAAGCAGGAAGTGGACGCGAGCACACGCAGGAGGCCGCTGTGAGCCGCTGGGAGGCTCACGTGTGGGCCCTGCAGCCAGCGCTTTCCTCCTGGCCCTGGACAAGGATGCCAGGGTCCGGGGCAGTGGCTGGTGGCCAGGCCAGGCCTTGAGCTGGCTCCTGGTGCTACCAACACTCTCTCGTGCTCGCCTCCCAAGCCATGTTGTGTCCTACACTCCCTCTCAGTTATGCGACGCACACACGTGGGTGTGGAGAGGCGTGTCTTGCATTCCCCTGTCACGGCCTCCCCATCCAAACCCTCCAGAGGGCCACAGTCTTGTCAGGGTCCACCAGGCAGCGGCAGGCCTGGCAGCAGCGCCCCAAAGCACCCAACCCTCGTGCTCAGACAACCACCGGGTGCCACGCCAGTCTGATCAGCTTGGTCCAGTTCACTAAATCCGGCTCAGTGAACTCAGACCTGGTACAGCAATGCCAGGCAGCTGGGGAGCAGTAGGGGCTGGGGACCCATCTGCGGGGAGCCCCTGGGGAAGCCCAGGAGCCGCCGGCGGCACCCGTGCTTCGCCCTGACCACCCTTTGCATCCGCAGGCTGAAGGCGCTGGCGGCCACGGGGAGAAAGAGCGTGGAGGAGGCCTCCAGCTGGTGAGTGCGGCGGGGCGGGGCCCAGGGTGGGCTGGGCATGCTGCTCTGTGCTGGGGACTCTGCTCCCGGAGACCCCAGGCAGGGCTCAGGACCCTCTGGGCAGGAAGGGACCACTGCAAGAGTGAGACAAAACAGCTCACATGCCCCCAGCACCCAGCGCAGGAAGCACAACACTCCTGTGAGACAGAGAGAGAGCGGGCTTCAGCGAAGATTTCCTCCCCCGAAAACCTGATTTGGGGCTGATTTGGCATGGGTGAGCCCCCGAGTTTGATCCCCAGCACCACTTGAAACTGACTCAATTCAAATTTGGCTGCCAAGGAAACAGCCAGGTTCTGCATTCACTGAACACAGAGCAGCCACTACGCCCATGTGAAAAAGAAAGGGCACAGCCAGGCATGCTGGCGCATACCTGGAATCCTGGCACTCTGGGAGGCTGAGGCAGGAGGGTTGCCATCCACGCCTACGAACTCACTGCATGTACTTGTGTCGGCGTGCTTGACCTGCAACAGAGTGTGGGTTGCAGAATAATTTGAACAATAGCTCATGATTTATATAAAACACACACCGTGCTATCTATAGATCTGTTGCTTAAATTTCTATTAGAAAACAAAGCAAATTCCTCAGTGGGATTAACTTCACAAAAGGATAAGAATGAACTCAAGATGTGAAGGAGTGTAACTGCCTCTATTCATATAAAATGTAACCAAAATATACAGTGAATTTTTTTTTTTTGGTGCCAGAAATCGAACTCAGGACCTCACGCTTGCCAGGCAGGTGCTGTACCACTGAGCTACATCCCTGGCCCCCAGTCAATGTTTAAATTTTTTAAAAAGTTATTACAGTAAAAAACATCTTGCCATGAATCTCCCTCAAAGTATTCCCCCTGCCTTCCAACACATGTGTTCCATCTTCCTGGCCACTTCCTGCAGCAGCTCTGGAGTCCTCCTTCTTAAGTGTCTTTACGAGGTGTGATAAAAAATACAGTGACTGCTGCTGCTGAGTGCCGTCCAGTAGAAAAGCAGCTCATAAAAGCACCACCCTGTGTCCTCATCCACCTTAGTCACAGGATCTGGCACCGTGTGACTTCCGGCTCCTCCCCAAAGTCAAAAAACACCATGAAAAAGAGATGTTTTGGATTGATTCAGGACATCGAGGCAGCCAGGACAGCGCAGCTAAAGACGCTCAGGAAAGAGGACCCCAGAGCTGCCGCAGGAAGTGGTAGGGATGATGGGATGAGTGTGCTTAAGGGAGGAGGCAGTGTTTGGGAGGGATAATTGACAATGTGTCTTTTACTATAATACATTGTTTAAAATGAAAGCATTTACCATAGTTATTGATCACACCATGATTACCATATTAAAGAGAACAGATCCAGTGTAGCCAGCATCTCCCATGTGACCACACGCTGTTCCCCTCCCCGCCCAATACCATGTCACGAGCAGGTCTGCATCATTGGAAAATCCTCAAAACTGTAATTTTTAATGACTACATGATAAACAGATTTCCTGTCATTTAAGGATTTTTTCTACTTTCCATTATAAATAGCCATAAATAAACAGCTCAGGTGTGGATCTTGCTACACTCTTCTTTCTTTCCTGGGGAGCTGGTCCCAAAGTAGACCATTAGCTGAAAGGTTGGGGTATTTGAAGGTTCTTGTCTACGGCCATACCACCCTGAACGCGCCCGATCTCGTCTGAAGGTTCTTGACACGTGGGTGAATTGCTTTCTACAGATGCTCACAGCAGCTTGCAGTCTTGCTGAACCTTGGATGCACTGGGCATTTTTATTCCTTGGAAAGAACTTCATTAATTTAATCAGTGGGAAAAATGACTTCTCACGGATGTTTTCATTTCTGTATTTATTATTAAAGAGAATGCGCTTTATATAGCATTTTGCTTCTGTTGAAGGTAACTTTGAACTGAAAGAAACTATAGTCTCCCAAATTCACCGACTTTTTCTTTTCTTGGCCTACGTGCTTTTGATTTTTAACATTTAATTTGAAATTTGTCCTACAACAAAAATGTGAATTTTTTTCCATAAAATTTTCCAACACCACAACAGCACGGCCCAGACCTCACAGAGGTCACCAAAAGCCAGGTCGGGGTCCTGTAGCTTTCCTTCTTTCTCTCAGATTCTGCTCCAGCGTGGCCCAGCCCAGGGAAGGTGGGGCACGCGTCACCAGTGCCCTGGGCCTCGGGGGTCCTCCAGGGCACCTTGCGTGGTGGCGCCCGGTGAAGGTGGCCCATTCTCTGTTGCAGGCTGCGCTGCCACTGCAATGACCCTTCCCTGGATGACCCCATCCCCCAGGAGTTCGGCCTCTTCCTCTGCCCCTCGGGGCCACTGCTCGAGAAGCTGCAGGAGTTCTGGAGCGAGAGCAAGCGGCAATGTGCCAAGAACAGAGCCCACGAGGTCTTCCCGCACGTGACGCTCTGTGACTTCTTCACGGTAAGTCCGCTGGCAGCCAACAGCCTGGGGCAGCGAGGCCAGGGCAGGACGCAACTGACTTGTTCTAAGGGGGCGGTCCAGATCTGTAGTATCAGCTGGTTCTTTTGTGTGTGCTAACCTGCCCTTCCTTTGGTCCACTCCTTTCACCCTGAAGGAGCCCACTCATTTATTCCCTCTCTCTTTAAGTCCTCCCCAGGTCTCCAGGGTGGGCGCTGCTGTCTTGGGTGGTGTCCCCTCTCTCCGTGTATCCCCACAGTGGCATTTGCTATCCTGTGAAGGTGCAGCTCTGTGTTCTCCCGCAGCCTGAGTCCCTTGCAGACAGCAGATGAGTTCCTTGTCCTTAGACCCCAGAGGCCAGCACAGTCCTTAGACAGGGTAGGAACTTCCTCACCACGTGACGGGTCAGCTGAAGAACGGGTTGCTGAGAGGTGGTCACAGATGCAGGATCTATCCCCCTCCCGGGGCCAGCACTTTATGTAGAAGATGGTTAAACAGGAGGGTGGGGTGGGGGGCTAGAAAGCTAGACCTCTGTTGCCTGACAGAGGAGGAGGCGTCAGGAGGATGCAGACAGCAGGACGCCCACACCTCCTATGTGCCTGAGAACTGGGGGAACAAAAGCAGCATCACACACCTAAAATCCCATCATTCAGGAGGCTGAGGCAGGAGGACTGCTGCAAGTTCAATCACATGGGCTCCATAGTGAGTTTAAGGCCAGCCTGGACTACATCATGAGACTCTGTCTCAAAAAACAAAAACAAACTAAATCTAGGGGCCCGGACTCCACATCTATCTGGGTGTGGAGGGGGTGAGCAGAGTCCCCCAGGATTCCCTGATGTCTGCAAGCCAAGCAAAGCTGAGAGCCCAGGGGCAAGAGAAAGGGCCAGGCCAGAAAGTGAGGGTGAGGGTGAGGGAGCGGGACCTGGGGAAGGGACAGGAGTGACAAGGGACTCCCAACCCAGGTACTGGAAGGTGATTCTGAGCCACAAGAGTTCTCCCTGAAAGATCTGGAAAAGCAGCACCAGATTCAGGGCGGACCCTATGTCTGAATTGAGTGGGTCACATGGTGTACTCAAGAAGTACAGGCGTTGCTTGAATTTCAAAGATTTATCACAGGAAAAGACACAGTGCCATGACTCCCTTCAAAATCCTCCCCTTGGTATCACACACGCTGGTCCCACCGTCCTGGTCACTTCCCGCAGCGGCTCTGGAGTCCTCTGTCCTGAGGGTCTGTAGTTGCGCTGTCCTGGCTGCCTCAGTGTCCTCAAGTGATTCGCATCATTTCTCTTGCTTGCACGGTCATTTTGACTTTGGGCGGGAGGTCACACGTGCCAGCCAGATCCAGACGAGGACACAGCATCGTGTTTTCATGAGCTGCTTGGATGGCACTCAGGAGCAGCAGTTACTGTACTTTTGATCACACCTCATAAAGACCTCAGGAAAGAGGACTCCAGAGCTGCTGCAGGCAGTGGCCAGATGGTGGGATGAGTGTGTGGGAAGCGAGGGGAGGGCATAGGAGCGTCACTGCAGTGTGCCGGTACTGTGCTAAGTGGTTTCATTGAATAAACTGTGTGCACGGGACCAGAGCAGTATCTGGCACCCGTTGGCCTGTCCTCCTGTAGACGCTTGAGCAGGTTCTCTGGGACGTGAGCTGAGGCACGTGCTTACTCTCTCTCTCTCTCTCTCTCTCAGTGCGAAGACCAGAAGGTGGAATACCTGTACGAGGCGCTGAAGAGGGCGGGGGACAGGGTCCTGGCGTCCTTCCCTGCCACCATCCCCCTGGTGCTCCACTCCTCCATCAGCTACCTTGGCTTCTTCATTAACGACGGCCCTGCAGACATCATCCGGGAGTTTGCCATGGCGTTCGCCACCGAGGCAGCGATCTTGGCAGGTAGGCAGCCCACGAGGCGGCAGCTGCAGGAGACCCCTGGCTGGGTGCCCCTGGGCTTGCCTAAGGCCTGGCGTGACTCCTGTCCTGAGGCCGGAAACTCCAGGCTCTTACTACTCTTCATGTCCCCGGGTGGGACGCCTCGGCCTCACCTTAAAATGGGGAGACTAGGCACAGGGGCTAAAGTACCTGCTCAAGTCACTGTGCTGGGGTCAGTGGTGTCCCCTAAGAAGCTGTGGGAACCTCGGAATGAGACCCTGTTGGAAATAGCCTCCCTGCAGATGGAATTAGTTAAGATGCAGCCATTGGCTGAGAGGGGCCCTAAACCCAGTGCCTGGTGTCCCCACAAGAGAGGACAGGACTCAGAGATGTAGACGAGGAAGCCGTGGACCACAGAGACAGAGGGTGGCCTGATGTCGCGCAGCCACCTGCTGGGCCACCGCAGCTGGGAGTCAAGGCAGCCCCGCCCCCAGCCGGCGGAGGGCTCTTGGCCTTGTCAACACCTTGAAGTTGGACTTCCGGCCTCCAAAACTGTGGAGAAAGCGTTTCTGCATTTTCTCACAGCAGGGCCAGGAATGCCAGGGCCAGGACTTGAACCCTGCGCTGCCTCCCCGCAGCTCCCAGGCCTCCTGCCATTGGCCGGCTTCCCAGGGCGGCGACTGTGATCTCACACGGGCCATGACCTCACACCGGCCCCTGGCCCCATGCGAGCTCACCCCACCCTCCGCAGCCTGCACCTCAGCCTGACCCCAAGCGGGCAGGGGGCCTCCTTGGTGATGAGCGGGCGGCCAGTCACAGCTCGGAGCTGTCCCCAGCCCCGGTCAGGCCAGTGCAGGAGGCACCAGCCACCCTGGCATCCCAGTGCAACAGGCCCCAGGTCTCAGACCTCAGAGTGAAGAGAAAGAGTCCTCTCAGAAGCCGGTGTGACTCCTCCGTGTCTTCTGACAACGGCCAGCCTGGCTCTCCCTGTCTTTTCCGAGGAGTATTGACACAGGGTCTCACTATGTAGTCCAGGCTGGCTTCAGAGTCCCAGCGATCCTCCTGCCTCAGCCTTCCTTGTGCTGGGGTTGCAGGCATATGTTGCCACACCCTGCAGGTAGTCTGGGTCTTTTCCGGGCCTGGTGACTTGGACCAAGCCCGCCCTCCCAGGGGCACTGCTAACCTAGGAACAGATTTCCCCCACCCACGCTTCCTGCCTAGGCTGCGTGCCTAGCCGCTCAGGCTGCGTGAGTGGGGCAGAGTCCACGGAACACAGGGTGGGACAGCCACAGGGTTCGCAGGACCGGCCTGCATCTCCCTGGAGTTTTTTAGGGCCAACAGCATGTTTGATCATAAGCAAATTTTGTGGCATGCGGGCAGCTACCCCCATGCCCTGCCAGCCTGCAGAACCCCATGGGAGACTCACTGTCCCTCGGTCCCTGCACCCAAGTCCTCCCAGCTGGAGCAAGCGGAGGCAGGCTGCCACCCCTGGCCACACCCACCCAGCTGGAAAGGGCAGAAGGGGCCAAAACCCCGTCCCCTCAAGAGCAAGGGCTGTGCTGTGCCCTCCATGACACCCAGGCTGTAAAGTGCTCCTGGCCTGGCCGACTTCAGGAACTGGCTGTTCTGGTGACACCGGCCACTCCACTCACTGACCTGAGAGCCTGCAAGGAGGACCAGACCCAGGGAGGACAGAGGCCACCTGCAAAGACCCGGTCCTCAGCCCGCTCACGCCTCCTGCGGGACCAAAGCAAAATGAGTAGCAGAGACGCTGTGTGCTTTTTTTTTTTCTGAGACGGGGTCTATATGCAGTTCAGGCTGGCCTTGAATTCACTCTGTAGCCCAGGCTGGCCTTAAACTTGGGCGATCCTCCTGCCTCAGCCTCCCAAGTGCTGGAATTAGGTGTGCACAACCATGCCTGGCTAGACCTGCTGTGTTTTACAGTCGGGAGCTTTCTCCCGAGACTCTCACAGTCCCGAGTACACCCCAAGAACGAGGATGCTGCACACTATGTTTCATCAAGTGTTTGTGACCAGCTCACCCACCGGGCCCTGAAGACCCTGAGCCACAGTTCTATGCCTCTCTCTCTCTCCTCCCTCCTGGAAAACTCCGCGGCATCCGGCCACATCTTGCAGCCAGGGAACCCTGGTGTCAGGGAGCGCTCTCCTGGCCCATGCAAGAAGAGCCCAGGAAGAAGAGGCGGGTGGGTGGAGGCGAGGCGCCGTGTGCCAAGCCTGTGCCAACCGCCCCGTGCTTTTCTGACCCCCAGACTGCAGCGTGAAACCGTGCACCAAGCAGCTGCATCTGACGCTGGCTCACAAGTTCTACCCCCACCACCAGAGGACACTGGAGCAGCTGGCCAGAGCCCTCCACCCCGGCCACCCCTGCCAGTGGACGGCGGCCCTGTTCTCCCGGGACATGCGCTTCGTGCACTACCAGGTGAGTGCCCCGCCTGCCCCAGAGTGCTGGGGGACAGCACAGGCCCCGGGGGAGAGGGGACTCCACCCTCCCCACACACTTCCTTCTGTGCAGCGGGGAGCTAGGGCTCCTTTGTGCCCGAGTTGCAGGTGCACCAAAATTTCAACAGAACAGAAGCGCTTCTGGTAGTGTCAGGGAAAAGCCTGCTGTAAAGCTCTCTGGCTCCACGGCTGCTTGCTACTTCCTTTTATGGGGTGATTTTGGTGTAGCTCCTTCCAGGGCTCCCTCTCCTGGGAACTGATTGGTGGAAAGAAAGCTTGGGGTGCTCCTTTCAGCCCCAGGGCAACTACAGTGGTCCCTCCGTGCACGGACTTAATTTGTTCCACCGTTTGGGAAAATGTGCTTGTTTGGATGGCAGAGATGGCCGCGGTCATGTTCATTGCTGGATGCAGTTTATAAACAAAAGCAACATTTTGCCAAACACTCCTGTTGGAGAACCAAATCGCTTGCAGATGAAAATGCAGACCGAGGCACTGCTGTATCTGCTCTGTCCCCCATGCTAACAGAAGCTATAGTCACCTCGGGCCAAGGAAGGCGTGTGTGAGCACGTGGTGACAGTGGAAGGTCTTCTGTAAGGAAGAAGTAAGGGTGGGTGTGTGGGCAGATGGGAGGGTGGATGAGTGGATGCGTGGTTGGAAGGAGGGAGGGAGGCAGGGAGAGGGTACATGGAGGGTGGAGGGGTAGAAAGATAAATGGATGGAGGAGTGGGTGGATGAGTGCATGTGTGGAAGGAAGGAAGGAGGGGTGGAAGACATAGATACCAAAATAGACCCCTAAGCCTACCCAGAGTTCTGTGCTGCGTTATGCTCTCCGCCGCCCGTCCCCTGGCGAAGGCACCCTGTGGTCTCCGTGCCTGAGAACACAAAGGAGCAGGAAGCACAGCCCCAAATGTGACACCCCGTCCCTGCTGCTGCTTCCCAGAGCAAACCCTTGAGGAGACACAAAAGCCCCTGTCTCCTTCCAGACCCTGCGGGCCCTGTTCCAGTACAAGCCCCAGAACGTGGACGAGCTGGTGCTCAGCCCCGGTGACTACGTCTTCGTGGACCCCACCGAGCAGGAGGAAGCCAGCGAGGGCTGGGTCCTCGGGACCTCGCAGCGTACGGGCTGCCGGGGCTTCCTGCCGGAGAACTACACGGAGCGGGCCAGTGAGGCGGACACCTGGGTCAAGCACAGGTGAGTGCGGCCCCCGCTGCCGTGCAGACGGCCCCTGGGCACTGCGCGCCCAGGACAGTGGGCACTGCGCCCCTGGGACAGCGGGCACTGCGAGGATCATGTCTAGACCCTTCCATCCCCGGAAAGACTATGCCCAGACTGGCAAACACGATCAAGTGAGTGTCTTGACCCACGCGTGGCTTCCGCTGACAACATTCAGGAAATATAGATTGCGTCATATTATTTTTCTGAGGTAGTAAAGCCCAACAATTATTGCAAAAGACTTCTTCTTTCTTACGAGCATCAGACATTTTCCTCCGAAGTCTTGAGCTTGGGCTCAGTGAATCTTTTGCTTGGGGCATAAACTGTCAAGCGCTAAGTGCACTGGTAGATTTCTATTCCTCTATGACACATTCCCACCAATCCAGCAGCTAAAACAAACTGCCCCTCAGAATTTTCAGGGGTCAGGAGCCGGATCCGGTTGAACCAGGTCCCCGAGGTAGGAGTCACAAGGCAGTCGCGGAGGTGTGGCCAGGGCAGGGGTCCCCTCTGAGGCCCGGGGCCCTCTCCTGAGCACACGCGGCCCCTGGCAGTTTCTGTTCTAGAAACTCTAGATTCTCCCATCAGCCTCTTCTTCCCGCTCGTCAGCAGCCTCTTAATTTTAGCATCTGTCAAGGCTGAGGATTTGTTTGCTCTTTGCCTCCTGGTCCCCCACCCCAACCTGTCCGTCTCCTGTGCTGTTCTCCCAGGAGCAACACGAGCAGACAAGGATGGCTTTCAACGCTTCGCTTAGACGCAGCCTCAGCTACTAGCCTCTCCGTTGCTTACAAGTTCTGGTCCCTACAGACACCTGCACAATTCTGTTTCTTGTTTCCACAGCATCCCCTTCCTCCCACTTCCTGCGAGGCCCCTCCCGCTCCTTTCTGAGCCCTCCCAGCGGCACCTTTCACATCCATACTTTTTTTCAGTACTTGAGGCTGAACCCAGGGACTTTGCACTGAGCTGCACACCCCGCCCTTTTCTCGTGTTTTTATTTTGAGTCTGGGTCTCTCTAAGTCTCTAAATTGCCCATGCTGGGCTCAAGTATGCAATCCTCCCAGCTCAGCCTCCCCGCGTGCTGGGATCACAGGGTCCCCGCCCCCAGCCTTCTGGGAGCTCTCTGCTCATGACGACGTGGGCTTTCCTTATCATACATCTAAAAATTCTTCCAGCCTCTGCTCACTGTCCAGACCCAAGCTGTCTGCACATTTTAAGTATTTGTTAGAGCAGCCCCATGATCCTGATACCAAGCTTAATAAAAGTTTAGTTAGAGAAGAACCGGCAGCTTTTATACTATACATATACATAATAGACACATGTAAAAATCACACATGTATAGCATTGCATGTATATACATACATGTACCTAATGTGAAATACATGTGAAGTAACATACATAACACACATGCAGGTTCATGTATATATCCACCTGTGTACTCACGAGGATTTATTTCAAGGAATTGCTTTATGCCTGACTGGGACGTCAGGTAGCAGAACTAAGAGGACTCAGGGGAAAGGAGGGGCCCCGGCAAGTTTTGACGATACAGGTAGTGGGGGGACAGTGGAGGAACAGTTGGGGGCATCCCAAGGGGTGGAAGGGCAGAACAGCCTTGCTACGTGCAAGGGTGTCTGGCCCCGTCAGAGCCGGCTGGCCAACGAGGGACACACTTGCCTCCAACAAGCATGCCCCACGCTGTCGTCCTGCTTCGTGTCTTTGCTTAATTCCAGCTTCCTCAAACCCTCCTCAGACTCCCTTAGAGTTTTCCCCTACAAATGAACGAACCATTAAGTTGAACATAGATATATTCTCAATCTACCCAGTCTAGAGGTGTCCAGAGCTACGTCCTGGACAATTTCTGTAGACAAATATCTTCCAGCGTCCATAAATGTGGGGAACTTTTTCCCATACCTTGTCCTGTGGAGGGTCATAGGCCAAAGCTTTGGGAACAATGCCATTTTATTTGAGGATTCCTCGGCAGCCACTGAAGTGTTCTTTGCTGGAGAATCTATGCCGTCACTAGACTGGTTCATAATTTGAGCAAATTATGAAACAGTGTATTTGGAAAAGCTGAAATAGATGTTTCTAGTCATTTTAACTCCCCCCCAAAAGAGGCGTGAACAGTGCCCGACAGAAGCTGTTGGGCCCAATGACCAAATTCTGCAGGAAATCATAGCTTAGAAAGCGGCAAGTCTGACCAGACTGAACTACAGCAGTCCTGCGCTGAACACCACAGAGTTTAGTAAAGGACAACAATAGAGCGGCACGAGGCACACCTCTCGTTTTTACACTCCGTTCCCTGTGCGCATTTTCCCCTGCTCTGCATCCCCAGCAGATGCTTTCTCTACCACAGGATGGAGACACCAAATAAAGCCAGTTAGATCTGAGACAGAAAAGCGAGGAAAGTGCTCACCGGCGGTATTTACAAAGGGAGGCCAGGTGACCGCAACTGCTTCTTCGCGTATCAGGCTCCATCCTGCCCATCATGCACACATTGGGGGCTGCATGCAGGGGCAGAGCAGGGGCCATGGGCTGCACACCGAGTGGGGGACCCCGCTCACACCACAGACTCCAGCCTGAGCAACAGCTCTGCAGGCACGCAGGGGCATCTAACTTCCTGTCCGGACCACAAAGCAAACCCAGGTAGGAACTGGACAGCGACAGTCCCAAGACTTGCAGCGAGGCGCTGCCTTAGAATGCGCTCAGTTCCAACAGCTTTAAATGCTTTCAGAATGTGCACAGTCCCGTAAAACATAGCGCCCGGACCTGGGCCGGGTGCTGGGCCCTGCCTTTGCCCCGAGCGGTTCATTGCTCTTTGCAGCAGCCCCAAAGCAGGCAGTGTTATCTCTGTCTTTGACAGCTGAGGAAACTGAGGCACATGAACAACTGGCCCACCTTCCCACAGGACTTGATTCTGCGCTATCCTAATCCCCAACTCACTACCCAAAGCAAACATTCCACTAAAACATATGTCAGTGAGCCAGGCATGGTGATGCACACCTGTAATTCCAGCTCTGGGAAGGCTGAGTCAGAAGGATTGCTGAGAGTTCAAGGCCAGCCTAAACTACAAAGTGTGACCCTGTCTCTAAAGCAAAATTAGTGAAATAAGGTGTTCCACATCCGTATAATAAAATACTTGCAGCTTTAATATAACCATGAAGAAATACTTTATATCCTGTTAGGAAAAAAATATCCAAGATAGGGATGCAGCTGAGTGGTTCCAGCCCAGCACCAGGAAAGAAAAAGGGAAAAATCCAAAATTTATGGACAAATGACAAAAACAACTTGCAGAATGATGTGTGTGGCTCGACACTATTTGTGAGGACAGCAAAGGAAAGGAAGTTGCCAGCACACACACACGCACAGTGTGTGTGTGTGTGCCCACCCGCCCTGAGGTACCCAGTGGATTGGGGTCTACAGGGTGCTGGCGGGGTGACTCGAGGCTGGGGTGGGGAGCGGGTAGCTTCCGGTGGCAGAGGAATTCGAGGAAACTTCACTGTCTCCAATTTGAAGTCTCTTGAAGATGCATTGCTTCTTCCAAGTATGACTGAATCCATCATAAATTGAAAGAAAAAAATATATGGAAATTGTGTCCAAAAAAAAGTAAAGAAGTCAGATAAAACCAGGGCAGAAGTTTGTCCACACCTGGCTGCTAGGAGGTCTGGACTCGGAGTTCCCACCCCCAGCAGGAAAAGGGACACGGCTCCGACACAAATATCCTGGCTGCACATACACAGATGCCTGCAGACTGGGGCCTGGGAGAAGCAGACGCAGCCCTGGGGCCAGGGGCTGCTTCAGAGTCACCAGCTGCTGGTGTCTAGGGCCGCTTTTCAGGCGCCGTCCATCCCCCGCCCACTAACTGCTAAGGAACCGCAGGAGAGGGGCCTGGTGATTCTCCACCTGACCATGTAGATCCAGGCAACCTGGGTGCCCTGGTGGGCTGCCATCCGTCACCCAGCAAGACCCTGCGCAAGATGCACGTATGGCTGTCACCATCGCCAGCTTGTATAACCATCCACCTCCTATGCCTGACGTCTCTGGGACTCCTCTCTCTGGAGACAAGTTCCTCTCAGGAATTAATAGATGTTAACAGAAATGGAAGCAAAAGGAAAAAATAAAGGCCAGCTGGGCACCCTGGGATGTCTGAGGAGCACCCAGCCCCGCTGGGGAGCAGTAAGGCATCCTGGCAGAGGTGATTTGTGGCGCAGGTTTTTGACGAGGCCACAGGGCACCCCCTGGGCATATGCAGCCCAAGCTCGGCCAGAGGGACATCCTGCCCTGATGCCCAAGAAGAGAGTGCCAGGACCGTAGCCTGCCCCCAGCCTGATCACTGCCACGCTGCAGGGAGACCCCGCACCGGCCAGTGATCCCCAAGGAGCAGCACGGGGAGCCACGTGGGATCTGAGCTCCGTGCAGGAGGCTGGGCAGGAGGGACACAGAGCCCGGCAGAGGGCGAGGCCGGAGTCCCAGGAAGACCAGGCCCAGCACCGCCCACGGACATGCACAGCGACTTCCAAAACACAGAGCAGGTTGGTCACAAGTAACTCAGACATAAAAAAAAAAAAAGGCAGAGCCGTGGGTTGCGCTGGGTCCCCGCAAAATTCACAGTTTGAAGTCCTGCCCCGAAGCACGCAATGCGACCTTCCTTGGAGACGGGCTTCGTTACTAGGTAACTGGAGTAGAACGAGGTCACCAGGCGAGGCCTGATCCAACCCATGTCCTTGCTCTGGTGTGCATCGAGGCCCAGGTGTACACAGGGGCACCGCGGGAGGGACCTCACCGGGAGAAGACGCCGCCCAAAGCCAAGGACCCCAGATGACTCGAGAGAGAAGAGCAGAAATGCCACACGCTGGCACCACTCCGCTCTCCCCACGGCCGCAGTCCTGTCTCTTCCCGACCGCACTGCATCTCCCAGCCCAGCGATGCCTTCGGTTTGCTGCTGACAGTAAACCTCACAGATGTCACTTGCCGATAGCAGGGTAGAGGTGCCCCCACCCTGCCCTCCGGAAGAGGAACCAGACTGCCATTTCCTGTGTCAACACGAGGCCCTGCAGGCGAGGGCCCCGCCCTTAGTCTGCTCTCCGGGCCGGAATGTCGGGGCCACAGCGAACACTGGAGTCCCGGGGCGGCTGTGACCCTCTCCCGCATCTGACAGTGGGAGATGTGGGAGCAAGGTCTCAACACTGGGGAAGGACTCGGGGTTGCTCAGTGGAGGAGGGCTTCCTCGTGTGCCAGGGGCCGAGTTCAATCTCCAGTGCCGCAGAAACCGTGCGTGCAAGTGAAACAAAATGAAAACCACAGTTAGACTGCGAATGGCCCAGGCCTGGTCGCAGGAACCCGACAGCCCCGGAGCAGGCTGAGGACAAAGCCAGTGCAGCTTTGCCAGCGTAAGACAATTCAGGGGCTGGAGAGAGATCACACATGCGCACAGGGGCGGATAGATAAAAACGGGCCACGTCTGCAGCTGACAGCAGGGAGCGTGGCGATGCACCCACTCCTTTCACAGCCATTCCCAGGTTTTACGCAATTCCAGGCCAAATCCCAACGGAGTCATCTGCTAGAACTTCCCTGGATGAAGGCAGAGCTCATGTGGAAGAATAAATAGAAGAGATGAGAAAATGCCGGACAATAAAAACAAGGAGAGGAGATATTTACCCCTCCAGGAAAGTATATTCCATGCCCCATCCCCTCAGATCAGACCAGTTTTTAAGTTTTATTTATTTATTTATTTATTGGTGTTGAGTCAGGGTCTCGCTATGTAGTGCAGGCTGGCCCTAGACTCACAGAAATCCTCCTGCCTCAGCTTCCTGAGTGCTGGGATTACAGCTCTGTGCTACCACACCCAGCTTGTTTTTTGTGTGTTTTAAGTTTACAAACAGTGTTCATGCTGGTGAGCACTTAGTGGGTCAGGTGCACTCGGACAAAGCAAGAGGGAGAGATAGGCCATTTGTAGAAAGCAAAGGAGCAGTATGTCAGAAACCTTAGAAATGCCCTCAGCCTCAGACCCTGTGACCCCGTCCCAAGAGAAGAAGAGCTTGGGAAGGATGCAGAGGCTCTGTCTCCCTGGATGAGGTCCTGGGGGAGGATGGGGGCAACCATTACCACTGAGGCGTAAGGAAACTGCTTCAAAGTACACCCCATGCAGCTGGCACTGACCCTGCAGCCATGCACGCCATCTCGAGGGGTCCTGTGCGGGATCACCGCAGACCTGCATTCGTGGGCATTCTGCCTACACAGGTAGACAGACATGAGGACGTGTGTCCCCTCTTGGCCGCGTGACTCCAGCTCTGCATTCCAGTCCTTCCCGGCTCCCTCTGCTGCCCGAGCCCACCTGGCAAAGCCCTGCCTGGTTAAACTCATCCCTGGAAAGTGGCCCTGCCTGTGGGTGTCCCTTGTGGGTGCCCTGCAACCCTTACCATGGATGTCCTGATGAACTTTGCACCCCACCCCCCCCATGACATCGGCACCCTCCACCACGCTGCCCGCCCACCTGCCCGGCCGCTGCTCCTCTCCCTGTGATCAGTGATGCCCAGTCCAAACGCCCACCTCACCACGGCCACCATTCCGTGCCCTCCGGTCCTCAGTCCCCCTTGGTCCTCCCCAGAGGCTGCCATCGTAACACCAAAGGCAAACCCTGCTTCAGGCTCCTGCCCGTTCTCTCTGCTCCCCTGTGCAGCAAATCCCCTTCAAAGCGTGGCCCGCACTCCCGCCTCTGCATTCCCCTCGGAAAGCCGACTCCAGCCTCTCTTTCTCCGCTGACCCCAGAAAACCCCTCTGGCAGAGGCGGCCGGAGACCCACACACTCGCAGTGCGCAGGCCCTGTGTCTGCAGCCCTGGGCACCGGCCGTGCTCCCGCACAGTCCTCCATGGGGTCCTCCGGTCCGAAGCCGTCTCTCCCTCCCCGGGGCTGGTGTCCCCTGCCCTGCCTTGCCACTGTGGCTGGTGGCTCAGCCTGGCAGGTGCGCCTGTCCCCCGTGATCCCCAGGTCCCACGGCTCTCGCAGCCAGGGATTCTTCCCCGGTCGACCTCCAGACTTGTGACGCATAAACTGAACTCCAGCTGTTTCCCAACCCGGCCAGCGCTGTCTTCCCGTCCCATGCAGGGCCAGCTCTGTCCTTCCCGGTGCTCAGATCAAAAGCCCAGGGTCGGGCCAGGGTGTGGCTTAGTGGGAGGACGCTAGACCTGGTTGCAGGAGGCTCAGGCTCCATCCCCAGCACTGGGAAGACATTAATGAGTTCATTAATCCAGAGCCCTGGACTCCTCCCACCTCTCCGCTGCAGCCAGCTCTCAGAAGCAGCGCTGGAACTGCACTCAGAACCCGCCCGCTCCCCGTGCCCACCTGGTCCCTCCGCTGTCCGCTCCGCCCACCGCCAAGCCTCATCTGGGAGGCCAAAGTGGCCCTCGAAGGTGGCGGGTTTCACACTCCCCCGCTGTCCACCTCGCGCCTATAGGAGTGAGCCCGCAGCAGGCAGGGCCGCACCCACAAGCCCGCCCCTCTAGCCTCGGTCCCTCCCTGCACTCACTCAGTTCCAGCTGCTCTTCCACCCCCAGAGCTGGGCCCCTGCCGCTGTCTCCCTCCCACACACACCTCACGCCCACCTGCAGGCACCCACAGCACCCTAGGGCAGCCTGGGTGCCCCGCAGCCTGCCCGACCGGTTACACAGTGACACTCCCCGCCCCCTCTCAGCTTTGCCACCCGCCTTTCCTGAGAGTGACTCTGGTTTTAAAAGGTCAAAATGTGGGCACATGAGGAAACGGGGGAAGTTCGGTGTTTACCTGACCTGGTAAATGGGGTGCTTGCTCTTCTTTTTTGATTTGTTGTATTTTCCTTGCTGCTTGTGTTAATCAGAGCCCAAAATATCTGCGTCCGCGTGGAATTGGAAGCGACGACGCAGGGGCCAGCGGGAACCCAGAGAAAACGCACGTGGAAACTCTTGGGGTGGTGCTCAGCACTGCTCACACCCCGCACAACCCGGGAGCACTCCGGGACCCTGCGGGAGGAAGGCAGGGATGCCCTCGGATGGTGGGCGTAGGTGGTTTTAAAGAGGTCACGCAGACCTGGCCCTGTGTTAAGTGATCCCCCGTCCCCCACTGCTCCCGGGGATCCCTGTGACCGCCGCCGTGTTCCTTTCTCACTCTTCCCTGGCCACCCTGCTGGTCCCTCCCGTGCACGCTCTCCTCAGGGACCTCTTCCTTCTCCTAAGCCTGGACTTTTCACCCATGACTCCCCCGCACCCTGCCTGGCCAGGGAGCTCCTGAGGGACAGTCTGCCCTGTGACACTTTGCCAGATCATTGGAACAGTGGTGACTCCGTCGTCACCTGGCCTGCTCGGGTACTGTCCAAAGATGACCAGGCGCAGACGTCCTCGTACCTTGGGGACTTCAGTCTGTTTTCCACTAAGAACTTGGACTGATAGGACACGGCCTCCCTGCATCACAGAGGGCTGTCTGCCTTACTCAGTCTACTGATCTAAATGTTAATCTCATCTAAAAAACATCCTCGCTGTGCCACGTGGAATAGCATTACAGCTGGGCATGGTGGTGCACACCTGTAGTCCCAGCACCTGGTAGGCCGAGGCAGGAGGATTCAGAGTTCAAACCCAGCCTGGGTGAGTTAGTGACTTAGCAAACACCTATCTCATAATAAAAACTTAAAGTAGTGCTGGGGATATAGGTCAGTGCGAAGACCTGGGGTTCCATCTCCAGGACTTACGTAAGATAAATGTTTGCCCAGTTACCAGGAACTGTGTCTTGACCAGGCGGACCAGGAAATTAAGCATCACAGGAGGTGCTGGAAGTAATGAAACGTGCCTGTGATCCCATTTCGAGTCCCGAGAACTTTGGCCCTGGGTCATCTTGTCCGCAGAGGTGATCCGGGACCTTCTCAAGCACCCCCAGGACTGCATGCTGTGTTTCCATGGCAACAGCGTGTGCAGCTCTATCCACAGTGCCGGCTTCTCTTCCCCCTGCAGGACGTACACCTTCAGTCTAGCCATGGACACCAACTCCAGGAAGGACACCGAAGCTAGTGGCAGGCGGAATGGCGAACCCCGCTCTCCAGCACCCAGGAGTATTAGCAGCATACAGGACTTGCAGGTAACAGAATCCCGCTTCTTAAGGACAATAAGTAAAACTGCATCTTCTGGGAACCCTATTGTAGGCAGGGATGCCTGGATTTGGCTTTTGGTCTACAGACAACCCTTCCTATTGCTTATGGTAGACTCAGGTGGGGACCAGCCTGGGTGCTTCCCAGCAGGGCCAAGGCCTGGGGGCTACGCCTGGTCTGTCCTCCCCTGCAGAGGGGACCTCCTTGCACCCTGTAGTTGACACAATCGTGGTGCTAGGACCCCACACAGGGAGGAGAAGGGACAACAATGCCCAGATTCCTGCATTAGGGACTGAGCCGAAAGAAGGCTCCTGCAGGCAGGGAGGGAAGAGATAAGGAGCCCCTGCTAGAGGCTGGAGAAGCCGGGCTCCAAGGCACAGCAGGGACATGTGAGCCTGGCCACCCACAAGGACACATCCAGGAGAACAGGGTGCAGGGGGACCGCGAGCAATGCCGCATGGTCCCCGAGGCCATCGGGCATCTGGCTGGGGAAGGGTCACCCTCTGACTGGAAGTTTGACCTTCTTTAGAAGTAGCCCCTGGGGTCAGCACCCATGGCTGGCCCTTGGGCACCTGTCACATGTGTGGAAAGACCCCTCTGACCCCTCTGTTTCCAAATCAATCCCTCTGTACCCTGCTGTGTGGCAGACATTAGGGTAGGATCTCTCCTCCCAGCAACCCCAATCAATGCAGGCAGCATTCCCACCTCTCATTTCCCAAGTCTGCAAGCTGGGCTTGGTGGGGGGTGGGGAGCTGGTGTTGGGAGCTTTGGAGGAGGGACCTGGCTGAGCCTTGGGGACCACGAGGCTGTCACCGCCAGAGGGCAGGGCTGTGGTGTGGCCCATCCCTCAGCCCCAGAGCCAGGTCCACATCTGGCCCACTAATCCCATTTGATGAACAGCACAATGACCAGCCGAAAGCTCCCCCACTGGGACGGGCTGAATTGTATCCCCAGAGTCCATATGTGGAAGCTCTTCACCCCAACCCCTCCAAATGTGACAGTATCTGCAGACCCAGCTTTTAGGGAAGTGACTGAGGTGAAGTAAGCTCGTTCACATGGCCTTGATCCACCTGGCCTGCGTCCTTAGAAGAAGAGCAGGGGACAAAGCACACACAGGCCGTGACCATGACACAGGGAGAAGACACCATCTGCCGGCCAAGGAAGAAGGCCTCGGGGAAGCCGCGCTGCTGACAGCTTGGCCTGGACTTGTGGGCTCCACTTAAAACAAATGTGTGCTGTTGTAGCCCTGGCCGTGGGACTGCTCCTGCTGCCCTAGCCACTCCCCCAGCATCCTCTCTGAGAACCGGTCCTCACCACTAGAGACCCATTCAGGAGCTGAGAGTGGGACACCAGGCACGGGGAGGTGACGCGGGTCCGCTCCAGCCAGGCCTTCAGCCAGAGAGGAGGCCCAGGCCCAGGAGCCACTGACAAGGGAGCCAGGCGCCTGCCAGCCACCAGCATACAGGAAGGAGCCCCTGTATGCCCAGGCTGCCCAGCGCCAGTGTTACCGTGTTGGGGTCCTGTCCAGGCTCCTGCTGTCCTAAAGACAAAACCGAGCAGGACACCCAAGAGCAGCAGCAGGGTCCATGGTTCATTTGGAAAAGACAGGATCCACTGCAGGGGTCAGCGCAGGCCAGCGGGAGGAGCTTAGAGAGCTGCAGGGGCTTGGTGCTGAGGGTCTCAAGCCTTCGGGTTTGGGGCGGGACTGAGGGTCTGGTCGGAGGTGTGACTCCTGCCGTGAGCAGCCTGACTCAGCCCCTCCATCGGGCAGTGGAGTGTTTGACCTTGTGGGGCCCTTAGAGGAGCTGTCATGGTGTCCACAGTCCGCAGGGCTCAAGTTTGCATGACCAGTGATATGGTGATTAAGTTTGGGGTCGCCAAGAGTTGCAGAAGACCGCTGTGCGCATGTGTGGGACCTACTGTGTATGAGCTGAGCTACCCGGTTACCTCGTCCCATTGTATTCAGACCTGGGCCTCCTGGGCCTGGGCTAGCGTTTAACCCAGAAGATGGGTCCAGCCCAGAAAGTGGGCTCCAGGGTGGACCCTCCTTTATTTCCCAACTGTTTCTTTGGTCACTGGATGCCCAGAAAGTGGGCTCCAAGGCCAACTCATCTTCCCTTCTTTCCCAGCCTTCTCCTTGGCTTCCTCTTGCCTTACCAGGTGACAGTGCAGGCTGGACATGTCATTGTCCTCAGGGAGTAAGAGCAGACCCCACAGGACTCTCTGTGCATGTGTCCTTCCAGGAACAGAAGTCCCTCGAGCTCGGCCTATGCTACATCCACTGCTTCTTTAAATGGATGAACGTGGCACACACACCTCCCCACAAACTGGACCCCTCCCTCGGTCTGCTTCGCCTCTTTTGTGCAGCAGGCAGACTGTGGCGGAAATGATGGACCCACAGACAGGAGGCTGTGAGCCCTGGAGCCCACAGATGTGCCCCGATAAGGACAAGGCCCTTTGCAGAAGCCCTGGAGTTAAGGACCTGGAGAGAGATGATCACAGGTGGTCAGAAGTGCCTTAGAGGCCATCACAATGGTCCTACAAGAGGGAGGCCGGAAAGACACCCAGAGGAGGTGGCCACGTGGGAACGGACTGGCATGCGGCAGCCGTGGGTGGAGGGACACCTGCAGGAGGAGAAGATTCTCCCTTTGAGCCTGTGCCACCCAGCACTGTGATGAAATAGCTTGGAGAATCAGCTTCAGGGAGAACCGGTTTACTGTGGAGTCTGATGCAGCTCTCGAGAAACTCCCAGGGGGAGGACTGTGAAGAGATGAAGGCAGAGTAAAAATGCAGAGAGCTGAGGTCAGGTGGAGCCCTGTCTCTTGGTAGGAGAAAAGAGCCACCCAACAACTGCAGTGCATTTATTTATACACTTGGCAGGTCGATGTCAGGTGAAACCCCTCTGCCTAACAACTAGCTCACCTCTCACACCTCGTGTTCTTGGGACTGGCTCACCAAGCTTGCCTTGGGCACTTTGCACTCTCAGAGCTGAAATAGCTTGTTCACACAGCTCACCTCGGGCACTCTGTGTTCTCGGGCTGGGCTTGCTCTAGCCCTGAACATGTGATCAATCTCCAGCTTCAGCCACTCTCTGCAATTTCTATCTTGACTCATGGCTTCAGAGGTTCAGTCCATGGTCTGATGGTTCCATGGCTCTGGACCTTTCATGAGGAAGAACAACGTGGAAGAGGCTATAAGGGGGAAAGTTGCTCCCCTCATAGCAGCCAGGAAACAGAGAGGATGAGAAGGCCATACAGGAAGGAGCCAGGGACCAGATATAGCCCCCAAGGTCACACCCCCATGACACCCACTCCCTTCAGCTAGGCCCCACCTCTTGTTTGTACCAACTCCCCAAAATACCATCAAATTAAGCTCTTCCTGCCTCCAGTAATGAAGACTGAACCCAGGGCCTTTGCCCTGAACTACATTTCCAGCCCTTTATTTTTTGTTTTGAGTCAGGGTCTCCTTCAGTCACTAAGTTGCCCAGAGTGAGCTTGAATTTACAATCCTCCTGCCTCATCCTCCCAGAGCACTGGAATTACAGGCATGCTGCTATATCCAGCTTCAAATTATGGTCTCCTCAGTAGACTAAGCCACGGATTAAATTACAGCTTTCATGATCCAACCAGCTCCCCCAAGCCTGTCAGCAACCATACCTGTAACACAGGAGCATTTGTGGAAGATGTATTAAATCCCCACCTTCACCCAACCTTCACCCCACCTTCACCCACCTTCACCAACTAGGTGGGGCCTAGTTGAAGGGAGTGGGTGAGTCTCTGCGGGGCCCCAGCCTTGCAGCCTTGACTTTGGACTTTTGGCCTCCAGAACTGTGGAAGGATGCATTCCTGTTATTTTGTGGCCCCCAGTTTGGGGTGCCTTGTTATGGAACACAGCCCTTTCTGCCTAGAGAGCTGGTTGGGCCCCACCTCACTCCACAGACTCTGCATCGGTAATGGCAAACCTTTTAGAACTTTCAGTGACACAGCCAGCCTGCTGTGGTACGTGTGCCATAGGTTCATCACCCCTGCCATAGGGGCTGGTCCATCCCGTTCCCCAGGACCCTCCTCTTTCATATCATCACCCTGTTTCTCTCACATTCAAAGTTCAAGTGCTCTGGAGTCACCCAGGGGAGAAAATGCCCCAAATGCAAAACCTCAGCCCAAAACACTACCAACCCTTAGGATGGCAGCTGGGCAGGCTGAGTTCTGGGTACACGAGGGTCATGCCATCTCCTTGCAGGCAGAGGAGGTGCTAGTGCACCTTCTCAAGGGTGATGTGTCAGGATAGGTGATCCCTGCATGGCCACGCCTTAGAATGGGAAGACAGCAAGGCAAAGCTCCCCTCAGAGCTGTACCCTGGAGCTGGGAGCTCTTCCTTACATGAAGCACCCACAATATTCGCCATCCCTGCTCAAGAAGCCAGCCCTCCGAAACTGCACGCATGCAGACTCAAAGCGTCCTCTGTGCTCACAGACTGCGTGGCTCCTGCACCTGCCACAGGTAGTGGAATCACCTAGAACATCCGGTCCACGGAGCAGCTGGAATGGCTTTTGTCCCCGTCAGCCTGGGCAGCGGATGGTGCCGGGAGCTGTCCTTGGTGCTGACCCCACGAGCTCCAGGGAGGCGATACAGCCTCTCTTTGCTCTACTCTTGGGGGCTTTGCAACAGCGGGGAAACTGGGAGGTGGGGACCTGCCTGCTGGCTCCATCGATGTCCACAGAAACAAGCGTGGCCTGGTGTGATGTGCATGTGTTAAAGGCCCTGCATTTTCCTCTCTAGGACGTAGGGGAAGTCAGGAAGCAGTGGGAGGCCGCTGCATGGGTTAGGCTGTGGAACCTCACCTCAGCAAAAAGATGCCTCAAGCTCTAGCTCTTGGGTTTGTCTCTGAGTGTGTTGCTGCAGCGGGAGCAAAGGCAGGGAAAGGACACTTGGCTGCCCCTGCCACGCCACCCTGCCCTGCTCTCACATTCAAAGTTCAAGTGCTCTGGAGTCACCCAGGGGAGAAAATGCCCCAAATGCAAAACCTCAGCCCAAAGCACTACCAACCCTTAGGGTGGCAGCTGGGCAGGCTGAGTTCTGGGTACCTGCAGGTCATGCAATCTCCTTGCAGAGAGAGGAGGTGCTAGTGCATCCCGACAACCTCAGCTGGAGCACAGCTGAGTCCTGTCCACCCCACAAGCTCCCCAATCCCCCCAGTGGTGGCCACTGTCCACTCTGTCCTTGTCCTCTCTACAAAACATTTTTCTATGTTTGCTCCTCGGCTCCAAGGAGATCCACGGCTCCTGGGGGAGGGGCATGGGCTGCGGCTCAGCCCCACATCTGCCAGCTCTCTCCTGGAGCTGTGTCACAGGGACAGCAATGGCTCGAGTCCTCGGGGTCATGGGCAGCACTAAGGGCTGTGTGGAGGTGGGGGATCCCCACCTGGCTCTAGAACAGTCCCCAGATGTCTGGGCCTGGGGCTGGGCAGCACCTCTGGGGCAAGGAGGTCAGTGTGGGTGATGTGAGCTGGCTCGTGTTGCCCTCCAGGTTGACATGGGCCTCTGCACCTGCCCTGAGGATCCCAGCTTATACATAAGGCTCTGCAGCAAACAGCTGTCCTGGTGTCCCCTGGCTGTCTCAGTCTCCAGCACTCCTGTTCCTGACACACCCACCCTTGCACCAAGAAGAAATGGATAGTCAGCCCTCCTGTCCACAGCTTCTATAGCCCTGAGTCAGACAAGCGTGGATCGAAAGTACTCAAAAATTTCCACTTGTGGCAGCTATCTTTCCACCACTGTGACAAAACACCTCAGATAATCAACTTTAAGAGACAAAAATGTGGTCCGGGTCATGGTTTTAGAGGTTTGAGTCCAACAAGTTTCTTGGCCATTTCTCCAGGTCTATGGTGGCACAGGACACCATGGTGACAGCTGGAAGCACAGCAAGGGAAAGATGTGGAGGAGGAGAGGAGAGGGAGAGACAGGAGGAGGGCTGGGCTCCTCACATCCCCTTTGAAGCCACACCCCCCATGACCTCACTTCCTCCCACCAGGCTCCTCCCTCTTAAAGGAGGGAGCACCTTCCATCCCTCCCAGGAGCACCCCAGGCTGGGACCAAGCCTTCAATCCATGACCTTTGGGACATTCAAGATCTAAACTCTAGCACATCTACACTGGGCATGTACAGACTTTGTTCTTCTCACTGTTCCACAGACAATGCAGGGTAACAACTATTTACAGAGAATATATGTTGCGTTAGGTGTAATAAGTCAGCTAGAGATGGTCTAAAGTCTAAGAGAGTGTATGTCAGTTCTATGCAGAGCTGCTCTATACAGGGGGCAGCCCTGGAGGGCTTCTCAGAAGAGGAAGACTGCCTATAAAAGAGACAATGGATGTTATATAAATAGATGGACAGATAGGTATGAAGACAGATAGGTAGACGGGAAATATATAGCGATACTATAAGGACGGGTGGAGATGGTGTTCTGAGGTAGCTCTGCAGAGGTACACAGACTTGGGAGAGAGAGAGCAGCTGCTAGGTGATGGTGTCAGCCAACCCTCACTTTCATTTCTGAGATTCTCTCCTGCCCTGGAAATAAGAAGTTGAGGGCAACTAATGTGGTTCCGGGTCCCTGTCACTGTAGTGACGGGTCACGTGGAAGGCCGGGTCTCCAGGCCAGCGGACGGTGACTGGGAGGGCAGGTGCCACTGGAGTGAGGCTGATTCATCTACAGGCGGCTCCCGCTTCCCCCACAGGCCACAATCGCGAGGAGGAGCGTGCTGGTGGTGCGCCACGGGGAAAGAGTGGACCAAGTCTTCGGGAAGTGCTGGCTGCGGCAGTGCTCCACGCCGGATGGTAGGCGGGGCGGGCAAGCTCAGGTCCCGCCCCAGCCCCGGCCCCACCCAAGAATGGCTGCGTTTCTGTGGCCACCAGGCCACAAGAGCCGCAGGCTCGCTCGGGAGCTCTGAGTGAAGCTAGAGTACACAGGGCTCGTGGTGTGCTGGTGTCTACCTCTAAGATGACAGGGGCTACTGATCAGGAAGCAGACCTATCACTTTTATTTTTGGTACTGGGGATTGAATCTCAGAACCTTCACACTAAGTTACACACTCAGCTTTTTTTTTTTTTTTTTTTGAGACAAGGTTAAGTCAGTAAGCTGCCCAGCCTGGCTTAAACTTGCAATCCTCCTGGCTCAGCCTCCCAGAGTGCTGGCATGATGCCATCATGCTCAGCTCAGCTTACTGTGGTTTATTCACGGGCCACCTACCTGAGCCGGGTGCTGGGCTCTGGGCGTTAATTCAGTGACCCATGGCAGCAATTCTTGTTTTCTCTTTTGCTCCTAAGAGTGGTGAAGCCTTTGTCACCAGTCACTGCTGCTGGCCACCAGTGCCAGGGTTTGGGCCGAGACTAACAGGTCTCAGCACTCAGGGTCAAACACAAAGCCAAAGGTGCTGTGTCTCAGTCTGACTTTGAGCCACAGATGAATCACACACCATGCAGAGATGCCTCTGGGACACCTCTGGCCGTCTGCATGCTGTCCCTGCAGGCAGCAAGGCACGCTCTGGTCAGAGGGATGGCCCAGCGTCCCCCTGGGAGTGGACACCAACCTGAGGCTCCCACCCCCTGCCCTGAATCAGCCATGGAGACTCTTGGTTTCCGTCAGGCTCCTTGCTGTGGGGTGACTGTCACAGGGGCGGCAGGACGAAGCAGGCGCTGATCCTGGGGCTCTGTCTGAGCAGCTGCTTCACCCATGGCAAAGCTGCCGTAGGCCTTGGAGTCCAGTGCCCATCACACGGCACATCCGTGAGCACACACGGTCGCGACAGCTGCCACCCTAACTGGCTCGAGGTGGAATCTCACTGCGGGGAGTTTGGGGAGACCCATGTGCACTGGCGTGGTCAGCCAGGACGTCTGATGCCCACCTCTGCTTTAGGGAAATACTACAGGCCGGATCTGAACTTCCCGCGCTGTCTGCCCAGACGGAACCGCGGACTCAGGGACTTTGAACACGATCCGCCGCTGTCGTCCTGCGGAGCGTTCCAGGCCAGACTCGCAGGTATGCGGGGCCGTCTGGCGGGAGGCGGCAATAATCATGGCTCTATAGGGCGCCCGCGCCACTCGTCCTTTGCCATCAGTGGGAGCACGCTCTCCACTCTGCCGATGAGGAAGCCCGGGCACAGAGAGGTCACCCAGGGTCACACAGGCGGGGAACGGAAGTGCGGAGGTCTGCTCCCGGGACGGGTGGTTGGGAAAGAGGAAACACAGACAGGAGAAGAGAGGAGAGGAAAATTCAGCAGCCCCTCCACGCACCAGCGTGTGATTTAAGAACTATAAACCCATCCCCTCAGTGACTCCGTCGCTACGGGCTTCTGTCCTGTGTGGGGCCTCTCACACCCTGTGGCCTAACTTTTGGAACGGATGAGATCATAGAATCCACCTGGCCCTCCCTTGATAAATCCCCCAAGTGGAATCCAAAGGGGTGCACGACGTCAGCGTCGCACCGCGAGTTCCCCAAGGCACACCACAGCCGCGCCTAGCAGGGAGCTCCTCAGTTGAGCCTCTCACTCCCTGGAGGGAAGGAAGCCCTGGTGTGCAGCCCCCGCCAGTCTCAGTGGTGAGAGCACAGTGCTGACTCCACAGCTAGCCAGGCTCCCAGGGTGACATGGCTGGGTGTCGGCTGCGGGGTCGGTGCAAGTTCTGTGCATGTGTGTCTGGATGCATGCATGGGTGTGTGTGTGTGTATGGGTGTATGCACGTGTTGTGTGCATGTGTGTACACACATAGTGCATGCTGCAGGGGGCTGCATGCATGTGTCTGGATGCATGCATGGGTGTGTGTGTGTGTATGGGTGTATGCACGTGTTGTGTGCATGTGTGTACACACATAGTGCATGCTGCAGGGGGCTGCATGCATGTCCTCCCCGTATGAACCTCCACAGCCCGTCTCTGGGCCTCAGTCCTAAGATGCTCGCACCCCTCCCAATGGAGTCTTTAGGAGCATCTGGGTGTTCGTGGTCCATCACTGGCCGGCGGCTGCCATAACAGAGAGTGTAGAATGGGTGATAATGACCTTCACTACCTGGCAGTTCTGGAGGCTGGCGGCCCCTGGGCAGGGTGCTGCAGGGCTGGTTCCTCCAGGGGCTGTGAGGGAGAATTGGGCCCGGCCCCTCTGCTTGGCGTGGAGACAGGGTCTTCTCCCTGCACTGTCACATTTCTTCTGTGTCTGTCTCTGTATGGAAATTCACCCTTTTTAAAAGCCTCCAGTTACATGAAAGCCCACCCTTACTTTAATTTGATTGCAGCCATCCCTTGCTATCCTTGATGGACCGAACACCCAACTCCTCAGAGGCTTAGGAGCCCTCAGGAGAATGGCATCGCGTTTGCCTAGGTTATAAGCACAGCCTCTGTACACACCTGTCACGTCTAGCTGGTTACAGCCTTGTCACATGTGATACAGTTGAAATGCCGTGTTGAGGACTTGCTACACTGTATTGCTTAGGGATTATTGTATCAGACATTTTTGACCCACAGTTGAATTCTTGGATGCAGCATCCACAGACCAGGAGGGCCACTTGTACTCTAAAATTCCGTTTCCAAATTAGATCACACCCGGAGGTACCAGCGGTTAGGACTCCAGCAGATCTTGTGTTAGGATTGGGGACAAAATTCAGCCCACAGCAGGCTCCCTGAACCCTGCTAGCTTCAGTGTGACACGTTCTCATGCTGTAGAGAGACCCTCTTTCCCACCAGCAAGGCTCCAAGGTGCAAGAAAAGCGCTCAGGTCACAGCTCAGCCCTCCATGAGCTGCAGCTGGCTTTGAGTTTTCTGTCACCGCCAACCAATTCCCACACACATAAAGCAGCGCCCCCAAGCTCAGCCTTGAGCGAGGCAAGGCGGGGTCTCCGCCCAGGGTTTCAAGGCCACAGATGAGAGGGCCAGCCGAGGGGGCCCCCTCAGGAGAGCTCAGGACCACGGTGCCCTCAGACACTCAGGGTCTGACAACGGGGTGGTCCCTCACCAGTGTTGGCTGGGCCGCTCTGCTCCTGGAGTACCCACATCCCTAGCACGTGGGCCCCTCCATCCTTTTAGATAGTAATGGAGATTTCTCACACGCCAAATGCCTCTGGCTTCAAATCCCTCCAACTCCTTTTCTGGAGGAAATCTCTGCTCTTTGTGGGCCCACTTGGCTGAGCCAGGGCCCCCGGTGGTCTCCTTGTACCCTGTAATATCGTAGAGTCAGGGAAGTGACAGGTGGTCTGGGGAGCAGGTTCTGCCTGCCCCGAGGCGGAAGTCGGGGAACCTCTTAGCCCCGTTCTCATGGGGTAGGATTTCGAGTGTGTTTCCCACCTGCCGTTTCGCAGGAGGTTCGCTCCTGGACAGTGGCGTCAGAATCACTGCTGTCTTCTCCTCGCCGGCCCTCCGCTGTGTGCAGACTGCTAACCACATCCTGGAAGGTGGGTGAGACTCCAGTGGCCTCTGCCTGTGGCCGTGACCTCTGGGCCGTTCTCCCTGGCGAGAGGGGAGGAGAAGGGGGACCTGACAGTGCACGGTGAGTGGCCACCAGCTGGCCACAGCCAGCAAGGAGCCAGCCTGCAGGAGATGCTGGCAGGAGCGCGCCTGCTGCTGTTTCTGACACACCAGGGTTGCTGGAGCAGCAGAAGCTGGTGGCCCGGGGTCAGCACCTTTATTAGACTGCTCACCTGTGGCTCCTCGGCCAGATGTATAAACACCTGGAAAGGGGCCTTTAAAACCCAAGAGAGCTAGGAACTCTTGGGTCCTGCCTAGACCCGAAGGCACGACTCTCCCCGGGACCGCCTGCTGCCAGGAGCTGTGCAGCATCCTCCAGGCTGGGGCGTGGCAGGAAGCTGGGGCGCTTCTGAACATCCACCCGTGGGAAGGGGGACCCCATCAGCCTGGTAAGCCAGGTCACCGGCAGACGGGAGCAAGGGGAAGTTGCTGGACGTTGCAGAGCTCAGAGCAGGTGACGCAGGGGTCGGGAAGAGGACCCAGGAAATGGACCAGGATGGGGAATGCCCAGCAGGGGGCCCTAGGAGCCCACCGCTGGGTGCTGAGCAGGTGTTTAAACGGAGACGCAGGGCCTGAGCTCCAGGTGCCCTGCAGGCAGCATGGACAGGAGCAGATGGGGAACGGATCTAACAGAGGCCGGGCAAGGGGCAAGTGCTGGAAAGTGAGAGAGGGCTCTGGGGACGGAGGGTGTGTGCAGCAAGTGACAAGGAAAGTGACCCCAGGTGCTAAGCAGGGACAGGCAGGGTCTCTATGAGAGGTCAAAGCAGGAGGGTCACGAGTTCAAGCCCAGCCCGGGCAACTTAGCAAGACCCTGTCTCAAAATTTAAAAAAAAAAGAAAACCCAGTCTGGTGAGGTAGCTCAGTTCAGAGGCTCTGGGTTCAATCCCCGGTACCGCACATGGAAGAGGAAAAGTAAAAGAACGTCAGCTTTTAAAGGCAACCAGGTGAGGCCCAGTGAGCCCCAGCCACACAATGTCTGGCACAGCCTGATGGCCGATGTGGCCTGGCCCCGTGATGAAGCAGGCTTGCAAGCACACCTCATCACCTCCCTGCACACACATGTGCAAGCTCACACACACACACACACACACACACTCCTGGGGCTTTGATCGACTGCTAAGTCGCAGACTGTAGTATCAGGGCCCAGGCTGAGAGAAGGGGACCATGACCCTAAGCCAGTAACAAGGTCCCATGACGTCCTGCTCTCTCCATGTTGCTATGGAGAGCCACAGGTCCCGCCTCTCCCTTAACTCAGGGAGGAGAGAGCAGCGGCCACTCAGGTGTGCCCTAGGCCAGAGGGGACAAGTACAGCAAAATTAGAAACCCAAGGGGCAGATTTGACATCTGCACGATCCCTTCCTGGCTGTTTGTTCAGAGGCTTTGGCCTGAGGACAACTCTTACACACAGAGTTGGAACAACACACACTGTACAGGAAGTAGCTTTACCCCTGGAACTTTAGGGTCAGTATATTCACAGATACCCCAACAACTGTAGTAATAAGCTCTGAGCAAAGCAAAACCATACACAAGTATAGAAGAAAGACCCATGCCTTGATGTCCTGTCTTCTCTCTTGGGCCTTGGCCCTGGCCTCGTATACCCTGCAATGTGTTGAATTTTTGCATTTTTTAGGTACTGGGGATCGAACCCAGGGCCTTCACAAGTTACACTCTCTGCCCGTGTGTACATTTTGTCTTGAGACAAAGACCCACTAAGTCATCCAGGCTGGGCTCAGACTTGTAATCCTCCTGCCTCAGCCTCCCAAAGTGCTAGCATTAAAGGCGTGGGCTACCACGCCCAGCTTATTGAGCACTTTTCCTGGTTTTATAAGATGTGGTTTTCTACCCCCTCCAAAACTAGTTTAATTCTGTCTCAGCTGGCTGCGCACTGCTGAGCTGGTGCGGACTGTCCCAGGTGACACTTGTCTGGCCACGTGCATACCAGCGACCTCTTCTTACCGGGGCCTTCACTGTCCCACACCGCTGGGCTCTTTTCCTGTGACGGCCGTGACTGTCTTCCTCACCATAACAATGTGCATGAAAGATAAAGACTACTCCTTGGCCCGGCCCATGTGATCAAAACAAATACACGCAAGTGAGGGCTTTGAAAACATTGTTCATGACTTCCCCATCTCAGGCATCGTTCCTGCTTCCTCATTACTAACACACGTATGCCAGTTTGGGGACTTTTTTTAACTTGTATTACTTGGGCCTCTTGCATCCAAAATAAAAAGTTCTCAAAAAATGTTTTCACCACACTAACACCGGCGTGTTTTACACGATCTCTTACCGGATTTGCTTTATACACGAGCGCCATTATCGTTATGCCTGAGGAAGGGCACAGATTTCTAAATCCTGCATTAACTCAGGATACCCGGGCTTCCCCCCAAATCCTCCCACGAGATCAGCCGTTTCTCAGATGTGCCTGACATGCCGTCCTGCCTGAGCTCTCTGTGGATTCAGTGCGTGGACCATTCACCAGGGTCTCACGGGACGGTGGCCTTCAAGGTGTCCTACCCAGGAGAGCCGAGCCACACACCCTGCAGCCCCCCGGCCCTCTGTGTCATCTGTGTAGGCGGGCAAGGCCCCTGCACACGTTGGAGTAAGGAGCCTCATCGAGTCGACCCCTCTTTTCCAAATATGCTCCAGGCAGGAACCCGCTCCACTGACTTAGCACACGTGGGGAGCTCATCTTATTTCCAACGGTTACATTTAATGCCATTATCTCTATTTCAAATCAAAACATGAAGGTCTTTTTTTTCAACTCAAACAAAGATGGCCTTGCTTGGCAGGTCCTGCGGACAAGATAGAAAATGCTTGGGGCTGTTGTGGACGGTGATGGTTCCTTCCTCCGCCACCACCTGCTGAGCTGGGCCAAGGCCTTGGGGTGGGGTTCTGGGTCCCCGACATCCCGTGTCGGACTGGACCCTCAAGGGTGGGGCCCACGGTGACAGTCTAGCTGTGGACTTGTAGTAGGGGTCGGGTGAGCCCCAGGGTGGCCTACGACACCTCCCTAGCCCAGGCAGACATCGCTCCTGGACAGGAAGAATGACCTGTGTCTAACTGCACAGCAGTGCTGACCTCAGAAATGCCACAGCTATAATACCAGGACAGCATTATTACTTTTTTATTCTAAAGAGAGTAGTAAATGAGAAACAAACAAAAAAATAGAAGAGCAGCAGCGTACCAGTATCACAAACATAAACAAATCAAAGCAAGAACATTCAGTGATACAGAGGCTCAAGACAAAATAATACAAATCAACAGTGGTTGTTACATTGCATATCGCTATCCTCAACTATAATGGTCAGATTACCAGAGGTAAGAATGAAAGATTGCTCAAACCATTAAGGGAATAAGGAAATAATTATTCAATAAAACATGAGATCATACAGCGTTTCACTAGACAAGATGGTAGGAGTTCACCCTTGTAATTCCATTGCATATTGTTACCTTCAGATCAGTTGCTCAGACCACCAGACACAAGCATGCACAATCGATCAGAACATGAAAATTGTGAGCATTGACTGTTCATTTCAATACACCCAGGACAGGATTCAGTGAGAAAAAAACTACATTTTTGAAAGATATTATTTAGATTTGCATGTAAGTCAGAGCTAGCTGGGAAGAGACGTATTTACGTGGCCGTGATAAACACTTGTGTTCTGTTGAATCCAGAACTCAAACTGGAGAAAACAATGAAGATAAGAATAGAGCCCGGGATCTTCGAGTGGACAAAGTGGGAAGCGGGCAGAGCCGGCCCGAGCTTCATGACGCAGGCAGAGCTGAGAGAGGCGGGCTTCACCGTGGAACCCGACTACAGGTAGAGCCTCTGCGGGCTCCACGCTAGCGATTTTCTATTTCTCGATCCAGAAAATGTGTGACACTTGTGAAAGATGGGAGGGAGAGGGGATGAGAGGCAAGGGACAGGCGGGCAGGAGTGGAATGTCCAGGAGGGTGGAGATTCGCTATGCCTGTCAGGGGTGCTGATGACAGCAGCTGATGATCAGACGTCACCTGGGGGGCAGTGTTAAAGCTGACTTGCGGGGCACCGCAGACCCCAGGCCAGCCCTGGCGAGGTGTAGCTGGGAGCACATCAGGGTCCTCCTCTAGCCAGTCCTGCTGGGGCAGAAGCAGGCCCATCCCATCCAGAAGGAGCTTCTCCTCCCGGCCGCCCCAGCCCACAGCCCTGCTCCCATCAAGGAGCCAGGGCACAGCCACCTCTCCTCCTTCCAGGCCTGCGTTCCCGCTCGCCTCCCTCCTGCCAGCCGAGAGCTACACTCAGTACACGGACCGCTGTGCGCGCAGCATGGAGCGGATCCTGGGCTCCTGCCCAGAGGAGCGTGAGTGCCCGCTGCCCTCGGGCGGGAGCAGCCTGGGCCTGGGGTCACCTCCAGGGCGGGAGTTGGCCCATTGTCCCCAGCCCCACTCTCTGACAAACCGAGGGTCCTATCTCTGAGGCTGCAGCAGCGGGAGTGCAATTCTGGGGTGGGAGGTATGGGATTGGCCTAGGCAACAGTCACGCCGCACCCCCATCTCGGGCTGACAGCACCCAGGCAGGGCCAGCAAGGGAGTGGTGGCTCAGATCGCCCCTTACTCCATCCCTGGGCTGGAGGTCAGAGGCTGCACCCCAACACCCTGCATGGAGATAGGGTGCACTCTGAAAATTAATGCACAAAGCCAGGGGAGGGAAGCACTGCGGCCGAGCACACCTGCTTCCAGCTATGCGGTGCCACCAGGCAGCTCCATCCCAGCAATTTGGGGGACCCCCGGACTAATAAGAGGTGAGCTCTAGCTTGTAATCCCAGCACTTTGGGAAGCTGAGCCAGGAGGATTTTGAGTTCAAGCCCAGCCGGGGTAATTTAATGACTGTAGCTAGACTCCGTCTTAAGATAAAAGAGCCGGGGATGTAGCTCACACAGAGGCCCTGGGGCTCCAGGCACTCTCTGTGGCCGCTTTGACCTTGAAGTGTTTTGTCCACAGCGGGCGCCATCCTCATCGTGAGCCACGGCTCGGCCCTGGACTCCTGCACCCGGCCTCTCCTCGGGCTCCCGCCCCGGGACTGCGAGGACTTCGTCCAGCTGGTGAGAAAGGTGCGTTCGTCCTCGAATCTCTGGCGTCCACCGTCAACCACCTCGAAGGCACAGGCTGCCACACTCCCTTCTCGGAATGCAGACGGGTGTCCAGCACCCCAGGGCCAGCAAGACCCCCTTCCCCTGACGGTGTGCAGCCCTGCTGCTGTGCAGAGCGCAGCCTTGGTAGGCGCCAGGGGGCCAGGGACACTGTGACGGACAAGGGGCAGGAAGTCTTAAAATTCCAGCTCGGGTTATAATTCCTTGCTGCCTGAGAGGCAGGACAAACTGTCCAGGAAGAAGTGAGCAATTTGGGTGAGGCGAGAACAGGCTTAGCGCTTCCTGGGGGACGAGAGGGGGACAGATGGGTGGGACCAGGTCCCCGCCTGCTGTGTCACAGGAAGCTGGTGGCGCTGTGGGGCGCCTGGGTGCTGGTGACAGTGGACAGGTGACAGTGGCGTAGCCCGGGAGGGTCTCAGCTTGCGCGGCCTGGAAACTCGTGCCGCTGGCTTCGCTCTCCCTGGTCCCGAACCGAGCGGTGGGCTGAGCCGGGAGACACTGCTGAGGGACTTTGTGCTCTCTTGCAGACCCCCGCCCTGGGCATGTGCTTCTGCGAAGAAAACAGGGAGGAGGGGAGGTGGGAGTTGGCCAGCCCGCCCGCGAGGACGCTCACCCATGGGGCCAACGCGGCGTTCAACTGGAGGAACTGGGTCCCGGGCAGCTGAGCCACCTCCCCAGAGCGGCCCTGCCCCCGCCAAGTGACGGAAGCACAGCACACTGTGGCACCCGGACCCCTGCCGCTGGCTTCGGCCTCTGCCGCTGCCATCTGCGGCTCTGCCGGGCGGCCAGCTGAGCTGCGGGGATGCAGAGCCGGCCAGGGCCCGGCATCACACGGCAACGGCTAAGACCTGTGACGGGGAAGATAAGAACCCAGGCCCGGGTCTCTTGGAGCTGCCCTGCTGTGTGCAAGCCCAGGAGAAGGGTCTGTTCCCCTCCCCTGTGCCGAATGTGGGCTCCGGTCCTCCGTCCCTTTTCCAGCTGGATCAGCAGGGGTGATGGGAGGTGAGGTCTCCAATAAGGCAGCCCCGGAAGCCGTGGCTGATGAGAGCCGAGCCGCCCGCCTTCGGGGCTCACGTTTGCCTTCACGTCCTCAGCACGACGGCAGCAGCTCAGTGCCTTCACCACCCGCAGACTCACTCCCCTGCGCCTCAGCCAGGACCCCTAGAACAGGGGCAGGGGGCCCCCTCAGGCTCCAGGCAGAGCCATCTCCCGGCTGCTTCAGCTCCAAGAGGCGCCTGCACACTCTGGCTCACAGTCCCTCCTCCAACCCAGGCCAGCAGCGCAGAGCCTCGACCTCGCTGTTCTCTCCCAAGGACCCTCCTGGTGACCTGGGGCCCTGGAACCCAGGGTCCTCAAGACCCTCAACAGCACGGGAAAATCCCTTTCATGTCATGGCACACACCTGTCATTGCAGTACTCTGGGAGGCTGAGGCAGGAGGATCGAAAGTTTGATCCCGCCTGGGCAGCTTAGTGACTTAATGAGATCTTGTCTCAAAAAATTAAAAGATCTTTTAAAAAGGGCTGAGGGTGTAGCTGAGTGTGAAAGCCCTGGTTTCAATCCTCAGTGCTGAAAAAAAAAAAAAAGGAAAAAGGAAAAGAAAATCGTTTTGCCGTGGAAGTCCCAGGTCACAGTTTTAGGACTGGGATTGCCCGGAGTGCCCACCACGCCTCCTTCCATCTCTGCGCCCCACCCCCGGGCACTGAGTGTGAGGACTGCAGATGTGCCCGCCTTGCACACCTCCTTTTGGGCTCCCATGCTTCCAGTGGCAGGGCCCGGAGACTGCAGACCGGAGCAAAGGCCCCGCAACATGCGGACGAAAGGGAAGGGAAGCGTGTGCAGCTGTGACCCCAAGCGCGGCTCTGGCTTGGGAGAAGCTGGTTCAGCCATGGGTGGGGCTCCCCATGGCGTCCTCCCACCCCCAGAGGCCTCTCCCCTCCCCACGGCCACATGCGGGCCTCCATCCGGTCACAGGGCAGACAGCAGAGGTGAGCGTCACCCGTCCGTGTGTGTTCCCTGGCACAGGAGGGCGGCCACGGCTATGGGAGGTGACTCTGCACATGCCCAGCCTGGAAAACCCTGGGCCTCAGGCCTGGCGGGTGGGCAGCCCCTGCTGGGTGCTCGTGCCCACCGGAGCCCCAGGACAGCCCTGCTCTGTGCTTTCCTCAGACTAAGGTTCCACGGTCCAAGTCCAGCTGCTCTTCCCTGCGGCCCCCTGTCCCCAGAGACCCTGTGTGCCCAAGGCACCTTCTGTTCTGCGCTTGTAGGTCGGCCGGCTGCAGGTCTGAGCCACTTGTCACCGGGGGCTGCCTGGCTCCTTCTCGGGGTGCTGGGAGGCTTGGGGGGGCGGGGTGCAGCGAGGGCTCTGCCCGGCCTCTGCTGCTCTCCCCTTCCCTCCCCCTCCACCACAGCCGAGGCCCAGCCAGGGGCCATCTCAGGCCCATCTTGGACTGCGCTGCCCACGTCTCGGGCAAGTAAGATCATCCTGAGCCCACCTCATGCGGTCTCCAGATGAGGTCACCACGCACAGGCGGGGCACACGCCCATGAGAACCATCCGCGTTCTCGCCAGCCCTGCACCAGGAAACAGCGGGAAGACAAAGCAGAAACAAGCAGGACCGGGGCTGGGGATTTAGCTCAGCGGCAAAAGCGCCTGCCTGGCAAGCGCAAGGTCGTGAGTTCGGTTGCCGGTACCGGAGAAAAAAACCAAAAAAAAAAAGAAAAAAAAAGAAACAAGCAGGACCAGGCCCCACAGGGGAGGGAGGACACAGGGACAGGGATTACCTGTCCTTTCACAGAGTTTACCTTTCACCACACAAACTTAAATTCAGAAAACAAACTAAAATAAAATAAAATAAATAAAGCCAGCCACAGCCGCCCCTATGCAGACAGAATCACTCCCAGGCACGCACACAATCCCAGAGGCTATGATGCTGACCGCTCACAGCAGCTGCTGGTCAGTGTTCAACCATGGAGGATGCGGGCTTGATTAGCAATGTCTGCAGTGGGCACAAGGGACCAGGCGAGCACCTTCACCCTGCGTGCTTCAGTTTCCCCGCCCATCAGGACTGCTCCTGCCTCCCAGGGCAGTGGTGAGAGCGGGTGACTCGGTGATGTGAAGCGCCCAGCTCCTGCCCAGCAGGTAGAGCACAGGAATTCCCAGCTGCTCCGACCCCCACCTGCCCTGGGCTCTTCCAACAGTCCCTGTGCTGAAGCTCAGAGGCTTCTGGGAAACCACAGGGCTGTAGTCAGGAAACCCACTTATTCCTTCATAGGATGTACTCCTGTATTCATTCAACAAACCCCCAATGACATTTTTTCCAGTGTAGTCCACTTTGAGGGGCAAGGTGGGGGTGAGGCTGGGACACAGGCCTCACACTGGTGGAGTCATGTCTTTAGAGCCACCACAGTCCCTAACATGTAGGTGTGTGACGATGCAACACATACAGTTGAGGCCAGGACCGGGACCCTGTGTCAACAGGACCTGCCGGGCTCTTGCCCCAGCCATGGGCGAGGCTGTGGCCACAGTGCCCCCTGGTGGCTAGAGGCAGCATTGCCCCGTCGGCGCTGCAGTCCTGATCTCCACAGCTGCTGTGGGCAGGACAGGGCTGTGAGCCGGAGCCTGCACAGAGAAGGAGCGGGTCGGTGGTCCTGGGAGTCTGGGCTGCTGTCCCAGAGGTCCCTCCACGTGTCCCCAGCCTCCCAGGGGGTGAGGGAGATCGCACAGGCTGTGAGCATGATTACCCAGCAAGGGACAGCGGGCGGCTGCAGACCCTGTGGGCGCTGGCTGGGGAGGCCGGCGAGGCCGGGAGCCGGGTCCAGCCTGAGAGCCCCGCAGGGCCGCCCAGCTTCTGTGCCAAGGGCGGCGCGGGAATTCCTTCTTCTGTCTGGGGGCTGAAGGCGGTGGGCAGAGCACACACACAGTGCCCACAGCACTGCCCTACACTTCGGGGGACTCCCAATGTCACTCTCCCCAGGGCTCTGGTCACAGGAGGCCCTCCGTGTGTGTGACTCGTGTCCAACGACCCAGGCCCACTGTACGGGCTACGTTTGTGAGGAAACCAAAGACAGCCGCGACTGTGTCCTCACCCCTGCTCCAGCTGTCTCCCTGAGACGCAAGCGCCACGGCCTCTGCTGGAGCCCCGCACCCGAGTGCTGGCACCCAGACAGAAGCTCTTTGGAAACCCAGAGGCCGAGTTCTCAGGCCCCAAAGCTGGAGTCTCTTCTGTGGGTGTCCTCGAGGGGCAGGGGAGCCGCTCCACCCCACCTGGGGACCCCAGTGGGACCAGAGCCAGGAGCGCGGGGGATCCTACCCTTCCCCCGGCCACGCTGAGAAAGGGAAAAAGAAACTGAAGATTAACTTCAGGAACGCATTTTTCCTGAACTGGATGTGCTCATACCCATATCATGTCAACACGTAACAGTGTAAAAATTTAATGAGACATCTGACACCCTCTGCGGGGCCTTCAGCCTTTGAGAGCCGGGCGCTCCTTGGCCAAGCCGGCCACGAAATGCAGCCGCATCCTGCCCAGAAGCTACTCTACCGCGGCACAGAGCAGGACAGCATACCGCAGAGAAAGAAGCGACCTCCGCTCAGACCTCAGACCAGGACTCTGGATACAACGCACACCTCAGGAGAGCCCCTCCTGTGGGCCTCGACATCGCGCACATGAACTTCCTCGCTGCCGTCCGGTGTGCTCTGTGGCTCTTCTTTGATACGCGAGTGGTGTTTCATCCTTTCCTCCCCCTCTCTGGTATTTTTAAATGCTTTTACAAAGCTATACAAACACAAACATTGTGGACTCCCATAGTTCAGACAGCCAGGAGCTCAGCGTGGACAGCATCCGTGTGCGACCGCTGCTTTTAGACACAGTCTGATGGCTGCAAGCGTGCTTTTTAAAGACAAGGGCCTTGCTTTTCCAAGTCTTAATTTCCTTTGTCAATAAGATGTATGTAGTGTGCAGATGTTACACGATGTCAGGGAGCGTGTGGGTGCATATACACTACCTATGTGTGCGCACACACACACACACACACACATCTCTACACAAACCCCTAAAGATCCCCACATTCTCCCTCCGATGTAAAGGCCGCCCCCCTTGACAGTCACATTCAACCCCACTTTACTTCCCTTCTGCTCTCGGGAACTTTGGCTACATTTGGGCACAGGAGATGTTATGAAAATCAAAAATTAACACATTATGTAGTAATTCCCAACTCCAAGCCAATGAGGTAATCCAAGGGGACAGACCCCTGAAAACTATAATAGTCCCCGTGTGGGAGAAAAACAGAAAATTTGGGGAGATTTTCCAGGGTTTTTTTCTTTCATTCCCTATTGAGTGTTTAGGTAAAAATACATTATACAGGTGAAGAATAAAAATCAACTAGATAAAGTGTATCTATTCAGCCAATACTGAATTGGCCATTTCAAATGTCTTGATTTAGTACCATCTTTTTGTTCTAACAACTAACTATTGGTCAGTGTTGAATGAATTCTGATTTTCAAACAAGCTATAGTATGTCATTCACTCTCCTAATAAAAAAAAACTTCCATCCAGGTGCCAGGTGCACACCTGTAATCCCAGCACTTGGGAGGCTGAGGTAGGAAGATTACCACAAGTCTGAGGCCAGCCCAGGCTACACAGTGAGTGCAAGGTCGGCCTGAAAGGCACAGTAACACCCTGTCTCAAAAGGCCAAAAACAAACAAGTGAAAACACTGCCTGCTGAAATGAATACAGCAGACAAATTTGCGGCATTCATTTAAAGGCTGAGCAAAGCCTTTGAGATATGAAAAGGGTATAGGGGATGGACAAAGTTGATCCTTTGATAAATTCAACTTTAAAATGAATCTGAGCCAACCCTGAAGGAATAATTACAGCCTCACACCCTATGGTCGCCCAGGCCACAGTGGAATGTGCCCGTGCATTTGACCCGAGAGCCGGGAGACGGGGTGGAGGAACAACTGACCCACTGTCCCCCAAAAAACGGCCCCAGCCATAGAGGAAAGCGAGTTCTCACCCAAGTGTGGAGAGAAACCCAGAACCAGGACAAATCCTGATGGATGAAGCTCAGGCGAGATCTCGAAGCTGGGCTGGGCCTGCCTGGCCCTAGACCAGTGTGCAGGGCCCAGCAGTAGCCACTGCCCGCTATGAGGCCCAGGGCCCGCGTGTGGACTGCGTGTTTCCAGAACCATCTTCCCCACCCACCTGCTCCCATCACGGCCCCAAAGCACCAAAACTTCGGATGAAATATGACTCAGGGAAAACCTGCTGGAGCAGGAAGCAGCCTGGGGCTCCTCTCCGCGCCCACCCCAGTGAGGTTCTCACCAGGGCCCGTCAGAACTGCACCGCGCCGGCCACGAGGGGGCACAGGAGATGCGACCTCGGACGCGGACGGCGTGCAGGGAGGCGTAGCGGGACACCTGCTCATGGGCCGTGACCGCGGTGTCTGCGCCGTGGACCGCGGTGTCTGCGTGTGATGCGTCATGCCCCTCCACTATCAATAACTAATAAAAACCACACTGAGGACACATGAGAACTTTGTAATATCCCCAGAGTAAACGTCAGGAAATTATCACCACAAGAAGCATTCACTGGCCGAAAAAATATAAGCAGAAGGACTGAAGGGTTCCTACACCAGGCAGCACCACTCCGCCATAAAGGATGCGCTGAGTCATCCGCGGGGAAAATGGACGTGCCTTGAGCCCACAGCGCTGAGTGAGATAAATCAGACACAGAAGGTTAAACGTCACACACTCAAAGATTAAACACAGAGCAAAGAGAGGCAGATAGCGGGAAAGAAGACAGAGCTTTGGCACGTGGGGAGGGACAAAGACGGAGCGGGGAGCGGGAGGGAGCAGCAGCTGCGTGTCGCACGCCCCGCGGTGGATCTGTCAGCACGGGGCGAGGATGGGCGCTAACACAGATCTTAGAAATAGAAAAAACGTTCAAATGGAACAGGACACGCAGCGGCAGTTACTCCAGAAACGAGGGACTCGGGGGGTGTTTATTTGCAGTCCTACCCCGACCTAACGAGGGAGGAGGACTCATGCTGCCGCCGGCTCCTAGTCCTGCAGCTCCTGTCTGCCGTCATCTTCCTCCACGACGGAGTTCGCTGCAGAGACGGGACGGAGGCCGCCTCGCATCACCCTGCTCTGATTCCAGACGCCCCGCGCTCAGCCCCCCAGGCCAGGCCCTCAGCAGGCCACGCTGGACAGCTCGTCTGCACCGGGGTGGGCTCCCGCGGGCTCCCAAAGCCCCTCGGGTCCTGGGCTGGCCGGGCAGCACGGGAGGAAGGAGGGGAGCCCAGTCCTCCCAGCCTGCGGAGCCCACGCCCGCTCTCGGGGCCACGGGCCATGGTCCTCACCCTGGTCCACGTCATAATTGTACTCCCAGGCGTCCGCGTCCTCCTCTCCCGGCCGCAGGTCCAGCTCGCCCTCAAAGCCTCCTTCGGACAGAGCCTGGGCTTCCTCCTCCATCTCCGCGGCACCTGGGAGCAGCACAGAGAGGGTGCTGTGAGGCGCCCTGGCCCCGGTCCACCCAGCACCGCTCCCCTCCTCCTGAGAGCGGGGACCCCAGCCCAGGCCCAGCCCCGGCATCCCCACCCTGTTACAGTGACCAGCTGGTGACCGGCAGTGACCATGGGGAGGCTGTGCAAGAGATAGTGAGGGCGGCCAGGCCTGCACTGTGGGTCCTGCACCCACCAGTGTAGAAATCACCCAGGTGGAGGAGAAGGAACATCACTCCTCACAGGCCAACTTGCTTTGGCTTTTGACTGATTTCAGTGCAAGAATGTCACCCGGTGGCACCTGCTTCAACTTTCTGGGGCATGTCACCAGCCTCTGGGGAGGGCTCAGTGGCAGATGGGAAGAGCCCAGCCCGAGTCCCCATACGGGACACAGCGAGCTCGAGCTCACCAAGGTCACTGAGGCCCGCTTCAGGCTGGGCTTTCCTCTGCCAGCCGCTCCTGACTTTCCGAGAGCCAGAGGCAGCTGACCTCTCATAGCAGCACTGCCCAGAGAACCCTCCCCAGAGTGCACCAAAGAGACTGGACAAGCACACGCGCGGCTGTGACGGCCGGGGGCACCCCGTACCCTCCGCTCCGAGCGTCTCTTCCTGGCCAGGCCCCTCCGAGGGGGGCCGCTGCTCTGGGAGGGTCGGGGTCCACAGAGTCAGATCTGTGATCTGGGTAGCTTTCCATTTTGGAATGACGTTTACCGTGGCCTCCTCCTCCTCCTCCTCTTCTCCCCTTTCCTATTTTAAGTGTAAGAAATATAAATTTACCAACAGCTGCATACCCTGGGTCTGGAACTCTGGAAGCAAAGGAAAGGGCCAGACCGGTCAGCATGGGAGCGTTTTATAACACTGCTGGGCGATCCAAGTGATACCCGGCATCCAGGCACCCACTAAGCGCTGGGAACAGAGCTCAAAAGACCCAGATGGGAACGGAGCCCACGGAGCAGGTGCTGCTGGACCTTTCTAACAGACACTGCTGCGGGCTTCAAGGGTTGAGCCACACGCTGTGCTTCTCGGCTGCTGGCCACGTCTCCCAGCTCCGAGGTTGTGTCCGTGAGCAGAACAACCACCTCTGCACCCGGAAAGGCCCAAGTTGAAGACGTCCACAGAACGACACAGGTGCATGAACACGGGAGGCCTCATCTCCGAGAAGCAGAACAGGGCCTCACTACTTCTCAGCATGGTGTGGGAATGTGCAACCGCCCCCCACAGTGGGCAGCGGCCAGCACCAGCCCATGCCACCCGCGCCGGGCCCCTCTCGGCTTTGTGCCTAACACAGGCTTCTGCGGCTCTGAGCACCAACGCTATAGAAGGGAGGGAGACTGTCGCACGTAACAGGCTCTGTGGTGTCCATGGCCTCCGGCTCACAGACCTCACTTATGCTATTTGTTCGTTTCTGTTTTCTCAATACCAGGTACCAAACTCAGGAGCCCGCACTTGCCAGGCAGGCGCTGTGCCGCTGAGCTGTATCCCCGGGCCTTCACCTACTCTGTTCGATCCCCAAGTGTCTGAGCTCTGTCCCCGAGGGACGCGACACAGTGCTCCAGCTGTGGCATGCAGGGTTGGCAGCAACAACTCCAAACTGAGTCCCTTCCCAAGAATCTGTCCCCGCTGAGAACCTCAGCGTCCCAGGGCCCTGCTCAGCCACCAGCGAGCACACCCACTTCCGGTCCTCGCTCCTGCAGAACACCGAGGGCTCGGGTCACACCACCGTTTCTGCCGGTCTCACCGCAGGGGACCCCGAAGCCTTGTGCGTCCAGCGCAGGGTCTGTTTGAACATTGTTGGCTGAATTGTGTCCTCTACCACCTCCGCACTTAGAAAAGATATTTTGGCTTTGGAGTCCTAACCCCCACTACCTTCTAATATGACCTTCTTTGGAGATGGGGTCTTTCTTTGTTTTTTGAGACAGGTTCTTGCTTCATAGTTCGGGCTGGATTTGAACTCACTATGTAGCCCAGGCTGGCCTGAAATTTGTGGCAATCCTCCCGCCTCAGCCTCCTGAGTGCTGGGATTACAGGCATGTGCCACCACACCCAGCCAAAAGTACAAACTTCTTACAGTGAGAATGACATTGGTTAACAAATAAGTTAAAGGTTCAAAATTAGTATAATATCAAGATATTTTACTAAGTTGCTACTTATCTTCAGGGGAAGGTAATTCAAACCAGGAATCCAAACACAGACCTCTCTCGCCAACACACACCCCAGCTTTATGTGGGTGCCCAATAATGGTGACACTAGCCAGCTAGCTCTTAATATGAATTCAGTATTAATACTAAATATTGGAAAGGGGAAAAAAAGAAAATGATGTATCAAACAGGCTGCAAGAGGGGCAGGCCATACCTGACACACACACATCTTACAGTCACGGTGACAAGTCACAGGTTTCTGTTGTCCTTTCTGACCTACCACTGCCTGGACCTGCTACCTCAGGACTAGCCGTTCTATGGGCAGGAGCTGGGTCCAGACCTCGGCAGTGACCGTGACATGGCACCCGTTCCTTCTGATGGTGTAGTTTTACACAGGTACACAAGAATATAAAAGGGAAGTAACAATGGGAAAGGTGCCGAGGGACAGCATGACTTGCAGACAGAAAGCCTAGAATCCTGCAGAGCCCAAACGCCAAAGCCTGACTTTTTGTCTGTGAGTACAGAAGACAGCGTCCTCTCTACAACTTACCACATCCGTCAGTCGATACTCGCCGTGCTGCTCACATCCGATGTCAAATATGTACTTTCCAGGCCCGAAGGGCTACAGGCAAGGAGGGGCCGGGTCAGGTTCACACCAGGGCAAATACCACATGCTGCCTACGCACCCCCACCGCAGCCCACCCGAGCCACGGCACCGCGAAGGTCTGAGCAGGCTAAGGGGCGCTTTATGAACTAGCGGCTAACGGAACTGCAAACCGTACGTCCCACGTCACTTACGTTTGGGAGCTTCCGCCCCATCTTACTGCTTTCTGAAAGTGACACCATCACCATAAAACCCTCACCCGGTTTTTACCCACAGGCAGCCTAGCTAGACAGAGCTGCTACCAACATCTCGATGTGTTCTGCTGCTTTGTTTCTAGCAGGTAGGGTTTTTTAAAGCAAAAATTTGACCCTAATTACATAGTCACTATTTTCACTTATAGAGTATGAACCGTTCCCCACATCCACAGATGTCATTCTACAGCACCAGGTGCCACCCTGGTTTTAATTTCATCTATGCAATATAATCTACTTCACTCGCTTACTATTGTTGATACTTGCTGTGCCCCGTATTTTTGTTAGACAAGGCAAGCCTTACTAAACACATTCTGAATTGAGTCTTTCTGGATACACTTTCCTCGGTGGAGATTTCCAGAGAATTGCAGAACAGTATCTAGGTGTTCTTTCCAGAATAAAGCCGTCATGACCTTTTCCCACAACACTTCTGACCTTCCAAACCCTCAAATCCGCATTTTTTGGGGCATAAGCATCCTGCCCTCTCCTTACACGATCTTTATATAAAAAACGGGCATCATTTTAAGTTGCGCCTTTTAAGTTATTGGTAAGGCGGAATTTTTTTCAAGATTTTAAAATATTTTCAAAATTCAGTTTTAATTGTATAAATGTAAAGGATGTGGTGTGGTCATTTCACATATGTATGCACAGTATAATAATCAAAGCAGACCGATTAATATTTCCCTAAACTTTTTTATAAAAACTCTTGGTTAACATAACTGTACATATTTATGGGGATTATTTAAACCACACTGACGGTTATAAATGCTTTACATATTAAATGATACAAATATCCTAAGCTCCATTTGTCACTGACCTCTTAAATTTTCTTCTGTGTTTCCTAATCTATAAGGGATGACCTGAGTGTGTGTGTGTGTGTGTGTGTATCTCTGTGTGTGTCTGTGTGTATCTGTGTGTGTGTGTGTGTGAGACCAAGGATTGAACCCAAAGCCTTCATACTGAGCTCTATCCCCAGCGTTTTTTATTTCTGAGACAGCATCTCACTAAATTCTTAGATTCCCCAGGCTGGGCTCAAATTGGTGGTCTTCCTGCTTCAGCCTCCCAGATTGCCAGGATTATAGGTGCACAACACCACGCCTGCCTCTAAGAAAATCTCTTTCTGAAACTAGACCTATTGGGTTTCCCTTTATGAATCTGCCTAAGAAGTCCTCTTTCCTCCTTTCAAAGGTAATAAAATACAACTTATTTCTTCCCTATGGGATTATCTTGATTATATTTAAATTTGAGTTTAGGAAGTACTTTCCTATATGCTGAGGGACGGATTCTGATTTTATTCTTCCAAATGGTCACCCAGTTGTCCCAGGCCAGTGCCTGACTGGATCCCTCAGAAGTTCACCCCTTTGCAGTGCGTCCTTAGCACGCGTTTGATCGTTTGCTCTGCTTCCAGCCTGCTTCCCTCCTCTGTGTATCCCTCCTCGGAGCTGTCGTGGTAAGTCGCCAGCAAGGATGTGAATTTTCTGAGAAAGTGTGAAAGATGCTTAGCCTCCCTGGTCGCCAGGGAGATACACTTTCAAACAACGGGACATCTGTACCCATCAGATTTGAAAAAAAAAAAAATTAAAGGCCAATAATAGCAAGGTTGGTGAGAATATGCAATGGAGAGGTCAGATTCTGTGGCTGAGAATAGAAACCAGCAGGGCTGCGTAGGGCAGTCGGCGTTAGGAGCCGTAGTTTAAAATCTCAGCACTGGTACGTTTTGCAAGTCCTTTATCCTGCACAAACACTACTGTCAAAAGACAAAATTGGGATAAAATTAGCCTTGAAATCCCACTGGCTTTTATGTGCAATTCTAGATCTAGGCCACAATTCTCTAAAAATAGAGCATGTGTTCCAGTGAGCAGAGCAGGAGGCTGGTTTACAGGCAGAAGGACTGGTGAAGAACACAGTGATATTCCGGTCAGTCACTTCAAAGGCACTTTCCTTACAAAGGCTGCAGTAGTGGGGACTCCCTTCCCATGCCCACTGGCACAGCTTTGTCTCAGGGTGAGGCTATCGTCTCTGCTGCTGGCTGGGTAGTCAGGTCAACAACTTCGCTAAGCCTGGTGACACAAAACTTTGGTGTGAGTAGCTCTACTTGGTCTGGCACGCTGGGCCTACAGCAGGAGCTTAGTCCAAACCAGCACCTGCTTACATTTCCTTTTTTTTCTTTTTGAGGCAAGGTCTCACTATGTAGCCCAGGCTGGCCTGGAACCTGCTCATGTAGCCCAGGCTGCGCTCAAACTCACGGTGATCCTCCTGCATCAGCCTCCCAAGTGCTGGGATTTCAGGGGTGCACCACCACACCCGGCTACATTTCCTTTAACACCCCCCATGTGTGCAAAACGATGACAGATATGTCTTTGTGTCCTGATATAGCATGACCCTATTTGTGTGATTCAAAACTATGATTTTGCATGTGTATGTGTCTGTGTGTGTGAGAGAGACCGACAGAGACCAGAAGCAGTGAGAACACACTCTTGAGGAGGAAGTGGGTGGGGGCAGTGGGTAGGAAGAGCCCATCCCAGTACTGGGACACATTACAGTTAGATAATCCTGGAGGATTATGCATAGAACATAAATTTCTTACTAACTAGCAGAACTAAGCCTCCATTTCACCCTGTTTCAGGTCAGCCCTGACTTATTGAGTTTGCCAATTTAATGGGTAAGGCATGAACTACATGCAAATGAAAAGTGGGTCACCAGAGTTCAGACAGCCTCCACTAAAAGTGCTAAACGTTCCCTGTCCCCTCCGACACCACCACGTGCTCCACAATGCCTCTCCTCGGGGACAGTGTCCACCTGCACCCTGACCGAAGCCACCGCAAATGCCCATGTGGTAGGGTCTGAATTATTGAGGGTTCCTCTGCCTCCTGTGAGCCTCTGGTACAAGAAAAGCAAGCAAAGCCAGAGTCCTCCCAAGTGGTGGGACTGGGCACAGGAAGCCGCACACCGGGGCCAGGGCTCAAATCCCTCCAACTACACATGCTGGGCTGGCCAGCAGCAGAGGACAGAGCTTGGGATCTTTCTCCCAGCTCCAGCACCTCCCCTCAAGGGGGAAACAAAGCTAGAGTTGCAGGAAATAGAATTTGACCTCTGATTCACCCGTCAGGAGCACCGACCACCCTCGAGGCTGAGATGTCCCCTTGTGTCCTAAGAGGGACCAGCCGCAGGACCCCTGGCAGCTGCCGACGCTCAGGGAAATGGGCTCGGCCTCTATCTCCCACCTGCCCCACTCCGCCCTCTGAGGGCATCTGAGGGGCACAGCAGTCAGTGTTTGTGTCTGGAGGGGGTGGGGAGATTTCTCTGCGATTTCAACATATTCCCCAGCACACCACGGGGTGAGGGGAGAGCTACCGCACCTCTCCCCGCCAATGCCCCTCCCACAACTTACGTTTTTGTTCAGGAACTTGCCCTGGTACCTGTGGTTCAGGTGGATGAGCTCGGCCGCGCCCACCTGCTGGCCGTGCACCCAGGTGCCGACGTACTTACTGCCGGTCTCCGCGTAGAAGTAGGTGCCTTGCCCATGCCTGGAGAGACAAGGGCCACAGCGTGTTTTGTCTCCGCATCCGGAAAGTCCTTCCGGGTTTCTAGCACGGACAGTGGGGCTGTGGCTGCGGTGGAGGCCAGCTCCCAGCTCCGTTGCTAAGCTGGCTTCTGTGTCCGATCAAAGGACACCTGGCCTCCTGCCTGGTGCCCCGTGCACGCGACACTGGTGGGTGCACAGAGGCTGGCTGCCTGCCAGACTCAGGCAGAGGTGCTGGGAGCTGGCGCCTGGCACCGATTTGAGTCCTCTGTGCCCTCCACCCCCCAGGGCTCCTGGGTGAAGGGTCCGCATGCTCTGTCCACACGAGGGAGCGGCATCTGCCCCTGCGGCTGCACTGGCTCCGTGGCTTTGGAAGTGCCCCTAAATGGGGGAGTCCATAAGTGGGATTTGTCAGGATTCTGCTTTCTACAAGTGAAGCACACGGAGGGCGTCACCATTCTTATTCCACGAACACCGCGGCGCTGGGAGCTCAGAGCAAACCTTTGGTGAGCGAACCACTCCCCGGTGTAGGTGTCGTTGTTGACGTAGTAGTACACGCCGTGGCCGTGCCTCTGGTCGTCCGCCCACTCCCCTGCGAGGGACGACACGAGAGCCCCAGTGAGAAGAGAAGAGCAGGACCGGGCCGTGGGCCCTTTGGCGGCCCGGAGGGAAATTCTGCGGGACGGATTTGGAGCCACAACGGCTGGGGCACCTGTCACCTGGCTCTGTGACCTCCCCCCCTCTTCCTCTGGTGCCCACTAGCACAGCGGCTGAGCCACTCTGACAGCAGAAAGAGGGAGGGTGAGTGGGGCCTACGGGCACAGGCCGAGGGCAGTGTACAAGGGGGACCAACATTTACGGTATTTACATGTAAAAACTTCATTACAGAAAAAGACATCACCCTGATTCCCTCTCAAAATTCTCCCCTTTGCTTTAAGCACACGCATCCCATTGTTCTTGCTACTGTCTGAAGCAGCTCTGGCGTTCTCTTTTCTAAGCATCTTTACATGGTGTGATCAAAAATACAGTGAATGTGCCATCCAGCGGCAGCTCCTACAGACATCACAGTGCATCCTCATCAACCTCATTTACGAAACCCGGCACTGTGCCACTCCCGGCTCTTCCCCAAAGTCAAAACGACCAATGGCACCGTGTCACTTACACTAATACATTTTAAAAATTTAAACACTCACCGTATTTTTCTATCACATCATTTATGCATGTGTGGCTCTCACAGGCTGCTTGGGACACAGAGAGCATTCAAACCCAGCCTGCCCGCCACTGGAAAACTACAAAGTAAAACAGCACTGAGTTTCCATCCTACCCCGTCATCAGGAGTGGCCATAATCAAGAAATCAAGTAATAACAAATGCTGGCAGGGCTGGGGCGGTCAGTCTATACTGTTTGAGGGAACGGAAGCCAGTACAACCACTACGGAAATCAGAAGCTGAAACCAGGAAACTGAAACTAGAAATTCCACTTGACCCAGCTACTCCTCTAGCTGTCTACCCAAACAAGTTAAAGAGTCAGAACCACCATGTTACAGCAGTCCATGCACACCCATGTTTAGAGCAACACTTCTCGTAACAGCTAAACCTGGGAAGCAGCCTGTACATCCTTCAGCGGATGAATGGATAAAGTGTTGTACTTATACACCATGGAGTACTACTCTGCCATAAAGAAGGATACACTCGAGTCATTTGTAGAAAAACAGATGCACCTTGAGACCATAACGCTAAGTGAAATGAATCAGACACTCAGACTTAAGTATCACATGGTTTCTCTTTACTGAGAAACCTGGAGTGAAAATAAAGAGCAATTTTGGGAGGCGGGAGGATCACCGCAAGTTCCAGCCCAGCCTGGGCTACAGAGTGAGTTCCAGGCCAGCCTGAACTACGTACCAAGACCCTGTCTCAAAACAACAACAACAAAAAAGATCAAAATAAAAGACAGATAATAGGAAGTCGGGAGGTAAGGTTAGGAAAAGAGTGAGGGGACCAAGAGGCGAGGGAGGGAGGGGGAAGGGGTAAAGAAGGAACCGGGGTGTGTTACGCACAAGGACCAACTCCATACGCGAGTGTGACCGTGATGGTTTCTTTAAAGATAATTTAAAAGAAACCAACCAAGCCCACCCAGCCCCGTGCCGGTGATCTTAGTGCCGCACTGCTTGTGCTTGCTGAGTGTCCGTGGGTCCAGCAGCAGCTCTGAGCCTTCCGGGCCTCCCCAACAACCCCACTATTCCCCACCCCGCCCTGAGGCGAGCTCCGCACCTGATGCGTCCCCTTCCCCGGGTTCCTGCTGATTTCATGTAGATTTGATGGGAAATACTGAAATCAGCAAAGACACGAAACTCTCAAGTCACCTGGACCCTGAGGCCAGCAGCAAGCTGGACAGTCAGTTACAGGGTATTTCAGACCAATGTCCGCAAAGCCCATGGCTTCACTGACACAGCTCAGGTTCCAAAGGGTCTGGTCAGGCTTCCCAAAGCCTAGACGTATCTCTTACAGGTTCACACGCTGCCAGGAACAAACCGCTAGCTGAATAATTAGAAACTAATTAGATCAATGTGTTGGTTGGGCAGAACAGAAGGAACTAGCCTTCTATTCTCTCTGTAGAAAATCCTATAAAGCTGCCTTCTCACGCAGAGAGAGGTGCACAGAGGCAGCAAGCTGACAATGGTAGGGGAAGCTAGTCCACAAGTGTGCCAGGCATTAATTCAAAAATCCTCAGGGCACCTGGGGGATGCTGTGCTGCCTGTGGCCCTTTAAATTTTTAATTTGTTTTGATTTATCAGTCATAAAAATTCATGCACACACCAACTTTATATTCTTCTTCTGCAAGGGAGTCAAAGCTTACACAGCGTCTGCCTTACATAAAAACCGGTCCACCTCCACAACATGCTAAGGAAATTGCCCAAGCGGCACCTGTTCCTACGAATAAACCCCGAAGTTTATCTACACACGGAATTTCTGCATCTTTCTCCCCGCACTCCCGAGCTTTTCAGCACGTATGGCGTCCGGTGCCTCCAGGAGGATAGGGGTGTACACCTGCAAAGTCCGCACCCCGCCTGGTGACAGAGCTGCCAGCAGAGGGCGCCCGGAGAACCTACTGTAGGACCTCAACCGGGGATGACAGTTCAGGCAGCAAGGCAGCAATTGTAGCAAGTAAGAAAGAGGACTCGACCCCATGTTGTGATGAGCCTGTGACAGGGACAGCACGAGCAACAGAGATGGAAATTGAGAGGGACAGGTGTGGTGCACACCTGTCATCCCAGCACTCAGTAGGCTGAGGCAGGATGATCACTTCAAGTTAGAGGCCAGCCTGGGCTACACAGTGAGCTCAAGACCAGCCTGAACTACACAGCAGGACACTGTCTCAAAAAACCAACAACAAATTGGCTTCTTCGAGCTACGGCTGGGCACACCCCGGTGGTAAGGCGACCTCAGCTGGGACGGTGACATCTTTTGGTTTCTTCCCAACCAAAGACCATGACAAAACCTGTGTCCCTCTTCTCTTGACCCTGTGAGCTGACCTCCGTGGTAGTGGCGCAAAAAATATATATTATGTATTTTGTGGAAACTTTGCGAAAATGAAATAAATGAGTCACAAATAACACTGGGTTTCCTGGCAGTAACGCTGAGGAGGACGTGGCTTTGACGTCCCTCTCTGCCCGAAGAACTTGTGAGGCGCCGGCTGCCGGGGAACCCTGAGCCCGAGGAAGGCGGCTCAGAGGGGCCAGGCAGGATTGCGTTACTGTATTCTCTAAGTTTGCACGCAACTTTTAAAAAAGATTTTTATAGTCGCTCATCATTCTTGATTTTGTCACTGGAGGTTTTTGTTTGCGGGAGGCTTTTTGTTTGGCGGGTTTGGGGGCATTGTGTTGTTGCTGCTGTCGTTGTGGTTGTGGTCATTGTTGGCAGTACTTTTGGCAGTTGTTTTTGGATCCAACCCAAGGTTTTTGCAATGAGCCAAATCCCCAGCCCTAGGGATCTTGCTAAGTCATCAAGCTGCCCAGGCTGGGCTCAGACTTGCTGTCCTCCTGCCTCAGCCTCCCAGAGGGCTGGTGTAACAGGCAGAGGCCACCACACCTGGCTGGAAGTTTTAAAAAACGAGGCTTCCTCTCAGCAGGAATCCCTCCAGCTGGGTGGGTGGCTGTTGGACCTCCCTCTGAGAGAACACCGCGTTACCTCCAAGCTCCCCAGTTGTGCCCGGCCCTGATCACAGTGGCTCCCCGCCCAGCACTCGGGAATCGGAGACCATTTAAAACAGAAAGCTCCCGCAGGAGGTGCTCTTCCCCTCTAAGATGCAAGCCCTTGGTCCTGACAGCTGGCTCCCTACACTGGCGGCCAGCAGGCGGAGAGAACAGGCCAGTGTTTATGCAGAGGCCATGCCGGACCCTGGCCGGGCTCTGAGCGCTTGCTGCGCTGTTTGCGATGCGCCGCGACTGTCCTGTATCAAGTGCCCAGCCGAAGGCCAGACAGGTGGGAAGCAGCACGGCAGGCGCGTCTCATCCCCACGTCACCAGGCCTCAGCGCGCGTCCCGGAGCTCCTGGTCCCTTCCTCCTCCAGCTCCTGCCCTTGGCAAGCGTCCACACAAGCCAACTTCCTGTCACCATATCATTTTTACATCTTCATAAGTTTATTATTAAACTTTCCTGTTTTCATTAGTTCCGGTTGGCAGACTACAGACCAGCACTGAATAATGAAGCTCTTTCTCCTCTCCCACCTGGGAGACCTTGCATGGCCTCCACCCCACCTTAGTGCCCTGGCTTGTTGCTGAGACACAACACCGGACACCGGAAGCTTACAGGAGGAGAGGGTTACCTGGCTCACAGCAGTCTGTAGGCAGCTGGCTCCACAGCTGGGCAGCGTGGCAGAGGGGCCTGGCAGAAGAGAGCTGCTCCCAGCATGGGGCACAGGAAGCAGAGCGAGGAAGGAGGCAGGGAGGAAGACAACCCACTGGGAGGCAGTCTTGTGGGACTGTGGGGTCCACACCCGCTCTGCGTAGTTAGTACTAGGACTGAACAAAATCCTCGGGAACCCAGCGGTCCTCAGAGTTGGGGTTTGCTGGGCATGGAGAACCCCCTGCACAGTGTCAGAGGTCTCAGCAGTCAGAAACAGCCTTCCCTCCAGCTGGTTAGCCTCCACATTAGAATATTTTGAAAAACACTGTCTGCTTTGTTCCAATCATATCAACAGCTACACTAAAACTGGAAGCGCCCACAGTGTGAAGAGGCTCACAGAACTGGGAAAGAGTTTCATACAGGCCTCCAGGAAAACAGTCAAAGTCCATTCACCAAGCAGATGGTCCCCGCGGTGGTGCAGGGACCAGCACAGATGCCATCTCTCCCGCAGCATGCAGGAGCGCGGTCCACGCTGACTCCGCATCAGCATCCTCGCCCTGTGCTCTTTGCCATCTGTTGTTACTGGGGCTTGTACGGTCGGGGATCAGGGCAGACAAACCCTCTACTTTCGATACATGTCCCAAGGGGTCTCCAGCCCCTGATTACCTGAGGTGGAGGATCCTCAATGAGGCGGGGCCTTGTGGGAGGAGCTTTGCCCTGGGGTTGGGGCCCCTGGCCCTCCTCTCTCTCTTTACTTCCTAGCTGCCACTGGGTGAGCAGTTCAGCCTCCAGGAGCTGCCGCAAGGCGCTGCTGCCTCTGAAACCCTGAGCCAAAGTAAACCTTCCCCGCTTTAAGATGATGGTCGGTGATATGCGTCACCATGATGGAAAGAGGACACCAGAGCATAGCTTGCTGTTTAAGAATATGTCATCCTCATTAAGAAGTAGGTGGCAAGGGGCTGGGGATTTAGCTCAGCGGCAAAGTGCCTGCCTGGCAAGCGCAAGGTCGTGAGTTCGGTTCCCGGTACCGGAGAAAACCAAAACCAAAACCAAAAAAAAAGAAGTAGGTGGCAAACACTTGTAATCCAAGCTACTCAGGAGGCTGAGGCAGGAGGATTGCAAGTTTGAGGCCAGTCTGGGCAACTTAGCAAGATTTTGTCTCAAAGTGAAATAAAAAGGGCTGGGGCATAGCTTCGTGGCCCAGGGACTGCCTACATGTGCAGGGACCCTGGTCCTATAGCCAGTGTGGTGGATTGACAGCTGGTGGTCAACTTGAAACACCCAGCTGATCTGAACCAGCGTGGTGCTGGGTGTGGAAGGCCCACCTGAGGACTGCTGCAGGTAGCATAAGAGGCAGAAGAGCAGAAGCTGTTGGGTGCTGTTAGAAGCAGTAAGAAGCTGCTGATTCTCTTGGGCTATTCTGCTGGAGGAGCTTGTCATGCTGGCTTTCCAGATGAACTCGGCTGTTCTCATAGTCAAAGGAGCTTGGGACCTTCCTGTCACTGAGAATGGCTATGCTTCACTTTGGGGGAGCTCTGGTCCTCACTTTGAGCGTTGCTTCCTGGATCCGGAAGGGAAGATGGTTCACTGCCAGTCTCCTGGAGAAGCTTGTCGCGCTGGCTTTCCTGACGGAACTCAGCTGTTCTCATCATCAAAGGAGCTCAGGACCTCACTGTTGCTGAGGATGGCTGTGGTATCAGGGGAGTGCTGCTTCTTACTTTGAGCATCGCTTCCTGGCTCTAGTGCAGACCCCTCAGCCTGCTGGCACAGATCCTTCATCCCCGGGCACAGACTTTCTAGTTCTACCACTGACCTTTGGGCCTTCCCAGCACAGATCCATGAAACAGGCCTGCATGAGACACTGTCATGGGCTGTAGGTCTTAAGCTGGACTCATGCACGACATTAATGGGGGATCCAGGCCCTCAGCTGGGTTCTTTGGTCTTTAGTGTGTGAACAGGTTTCCTGCACTCTCTTTCTATGTATCATTTTTGGGTGACTATTATAAATAATCTTATAAAATATGTGTCCTGTATTGTACTGTCCCCCTTGCAAAACCCCCAACTACAGCACCCAGTATTACAGGAAAGCAAGCGGTGCTGTCACTCGTGAGATCTCAGGGTCCCACGGACACTCACTGAGCTCTTCCGGGAACCAGACCCCGACGCTCATCCTACACGACAGATGAGAAGGCCAAGACATGGGCAACAAAGTCACCCACACAAAGTCACAACTGCTGTCACCACAGTCCAAAGCTGGGGTCACAGGTCTTCTGGGAAGCAGACGGACATAAGATAGCGTTTCCCCAAGCGGGGACAGGAAACCCAGAACACACTGCCAGCTGTGGGGATGGACTGCCGTCCTCACAGCGGTTGCCCTGGTGCCAGGGAGGTGGGGAGGCCTCAGGAATAAAGTGAAAGAGTCTTCCCAGGACCTGACATCAGTGGTGGAACTGACAGAGACGGGAAAGTCAGCTGAGCAAAGGAAGGAGCCACTAGGTTCAAAGACACAGAGTGTCCATGTGAAGAGGACGTGGTCAGAAACGGGCAGGAAGGACCATCTGAGGCAAACAGAGCCACAGAGCCACGGGTGCCAGCCACAGCCCAAGTGTGGGCCCAGAAACAGGCTCCCAGGAGGGCAAGTGCTGGCCACAGGGACAGTGACATATTTCCCATGCTAGTTATCTAACCGGTTAGCTAGTTAACTACAAGGCTGTCTGGCTTTTATGTCAACCCTGTAAACACAGGCATACAATTTGGGTTTGTTGAGTGACTAATCAAGAGAAATTTAAGCTTTCTCAAATACTTCCTTGTCCGAAGACAAGCTCAGAGACAAAAACCTCTGCAACATGAAAAATAAAAACAACCCTTGGGGTAATATTTTACCTTCATATCTGGATCCATCCGGGTATATAAAAATGCCTTGACCGTGCTTTTTATTTTTAAGATATTGTCCAGTGTATCGGGCACCATTTTTAAATTTGTAGACCCCCTGAAATACATGGGTTACACCATTGAGATCATTCCCGGATTGCATGTTTGCTAAGAGAGAATAAAACAGGAAGGAAGCCACCCTCCGGGTTCTGACCTGGCCACTTCTCTGCCCGAACTCATAGCTGCCTTCGTACACGTCTCCATTGGGCAGCCGTGCTCTGCCGTGCCCGTGCCGCTCGCCGGCCTCGTTGCGCTCCCCCTCGTACTCCTGCGGAGAAGGGGTTAAGGCCCCCGTGGCCCGGTCACTCAGTGCAGACCACAGGCCGGGCAGCATCGTATTAAGTCGTCCCACTGTGCAGGTGAGGCAGGTAGCCTCGCCCGGGCCAAGGCCACAAGACTGGCATGTGTGTGACCTCTCCACACGCCTGCAGCCTCCAAGCCTATGTTGTATGATGTACAACCTCACACGAGAGCCAAGATCAGCCAGGTGTGAGGAACGTGGACAGCTATGCCAGAGGGCCACGCCTGACGGAGCCCACAGCAAGCAGGACAGACCGGGCGGCCCTGTGCCCTTCCTGCCAGAAGCAGGTCCTCCCCACAGGGACCCTGGGTGTCTGTTCCTGGGGAGACCTTTGTCCCGCAAGGAGCTCCAACGGGAGAGAGAGGATACAGGGGTTCTGGGCACACATGGGCTCCGCTGCCTCCTAGCTCAGCTCACTTTTTCTTATTTCAGACTCCCTATCAAGAAACACGGTTCAAACACTGCTATCCAGATCTGAAATGATTTTGTATCTCTCATGAAAGTCAGTCAGGCTGAGGGTGTAGCTCATTGGTAGAGTACTTATCTAGCATGCACTGGGGCCTGGATCTCAGCCCACTCCCCACCCGAAATAATGTCCTCTGACTACTAGCTCAGCTACATGGGAGAGGGGAGCATTACACAAGAAGATCACTTGAGCACAAGAGTTTGAGGCCAGTCTGGGCCAAACAGCAAGACCTCAGTGCAAATAAATAAAATTTTTTAAGTTAAATAAAAAATATAATCTAATACAAGTTTGCTTGCCATTTTCCAATCCTTAGCACCATGAGTATGGAATACACATAATGAATAATAAAGTGGGACAGGTGTGCTGCTGTACATCTGTCATCCCATCACTAGGGAGGCTGAGGCAGGAAAATTACTGAAAGTTTGAGGCTAGCCTAGGCTACATAGTGACTTCAAGGCCAGCCTGAACTACATTGGGAGACCATATCTCAAAAAACAAAAACCAACAAACAAAAGGGAACAAAATAGCCAAAGAATACAGTAATAACAACACAGGTAGTTTAAAGCATCATGCTGGATGCCTTAAACATAATAACATTTATTTTAAAAGTTACAACTGCAGCCACCATGGAATGGGACCTGTGTAGATTTCTTACAAGTATGTCTGTATTTCTATGCGTGATGGTGAAGGCCTCAGACAGAAACAGCCCTGCCTCTCCTGGAAATTCTTGCCTAGACTACAAAATTTGATTCAGGGCTGCTTCCTACCCAACTCAGAGCGGCCTCCAATGTGCTCAGTCCTGAGCTACTGGGGTAGCCTAAAAGAAAGAACTCCTTAGTCTAAGCGGCCCCGAACTTCAAGTTGTGGGCACTAAGTTATAAACCTGGTTGATCCTTTAAGGACACTAAGTAGAAAGCTGACCAGGCAGGGACTGTAGGCTGGATTCACCCAGAAGCAGACCCCGAAGAAGCCACTGTAAAAACGCAGCCAGCAAGGGTGCAGCCTGGGTGAAGCACAAGCCTCAGACTGACTGCAGAAGGGATCTGGGGCTGTGCTGATGCTGCGGTTTGGTTCGTCCTGGTCTTTGCGTTGACCGCTGGCTGTCAGGGAGGGGACAGGTGAGTCCAGGCACTTCCTGCTCTCCATACTGGCCAGGTCGTTCCCCTGGACACAGGTCAGGCAGAAGCTGAGAGACGGGGCCACAGAGCTGGCGAGAAGCTCTGGACAGGCACGAGGGACATTAGTGAAGAGGTGCCTAACTCTTCCATTGATTCTGAAACCATCCTAACTCCGTGCTTTCACAGGCATGAAGCCAGGGTTCCCAGCCCTTCAGCCTGGGCCCGTGGCCCTCTGGTTCCGGGAGAAACTGCTCTCAGGGTACACAAATGAGCACACACAGGGCCAAGTCACACTGCCCAGTGCGTCCCCTGCCTCCTCCCTGCTGACTCAACGAGGGAGTCACTCAGCGAGCCGGCCAGCGCGCACTGGTGGGTCCAGGCTTACAGGGTGACACCGAGGGGCCTCTACTGGGCCCAGGCCTCAGCGGGGCTTCCCATACTGCCCGGAAACAGTGTCCTCCATCCCAGAGGAGCAGGGCTCAAGTTACAGAAGTGATTTATTCAGCCGCCTGGGACGATCAGGTAAACTCCCTCCAAGGGAGTTCACACAGCGGGGAGGAAATGCCCAAGCCCGGGCCTGGAAATCTTTGCCTTTAAATGGGAGGCGGGAGGGCGGAAGCGAGCGCGAGGCGGGCGGTGGAACCAGACGTCACTGCAGTTCACCTTTCACCGTCCACTGCAGGACGCAGCGCCTCCGGGTGTGGCCAGCGCGGTTGCGTCCGGGCTGGGCCGCCGCTCGGTGCTCCGGTCCCCGCCTCCGCGCCCCCAGACCGACCTCCTCCGGAGCGCGCCCGCCGCCGCGCACCCCGGAAGCTCCCCCTGCCAGGAGCTCTCACCCCAATATTGTTCTCTCCCTCCTCCTCCAACTCCTCGGAGCCCAGGTCCGACATGGTTTCCTCTCAGCCTCGATCCTCGTCGCCACGTCCCTAGTAGGTAGGTACCGGCCACCTCCTCCGGCGCGTCCACCGTCGCCATGGAGATGTGGTCGGCCCCGCCTTCCTCGCGGCCGGGAAGGGGCGGGGCGAGAGGCGCGCGGAGGAGCCGGTGGTGGCGCTGGCGTGCTGCCCTAGCAACGGGGAGGGCGCGTCGACCAATCGCTGCCCCGAACGAGGGAGAGGCGGTGTCTGGGTGGAGCCAAAGTCTCGTTGCAGAGCGGGGGCTCAGCCCTGGGATATTGTTCTAGCAACGGAAAGGCCCCGTTAACCAATCACGTCCGGAAGGGGCGTGGCCGTGAGTGCAGGGAGGAGCCAGGGGCGGCCCTGGATGCTGTCCTACGAACCGCAGGGCAAGTTGACCAATCGCAGCTCCGCCTGCGGTCTACCCTGGACACCTCTGCTCCCTGACTCGCAAGCCAGGAGCTGCCCAGGAACTGGGGCTCCGGTCTGGAGAGCGGGAGGCCTTGCCCCATCACTCTTGCTGACCCCGCCTCGACCGCTGCGCGTCTCCCCTTCCCAGGCTCTGACGGCTCCCGGTGATCGTGTACCCAGAGCTGTGTCTCGGGTTGGTGGGTGAATGCCTCCTGCGCTCGGGCCTCTCAGGAGATGCACCCCACACTGACCTCCCTTCCCATCCCAAGCGAGTCCCAGCCTACTCCGCCTCGCACTCTGAGCGTCCCGGACCGAGCTCAGCTCGCGTCCTCCGGCTGCTGGAACGACTCCGCTCAAGCCCCCGCAGGGCCGCACGCGTGCACTCCTCCCGGCTCCCTCCGGCCACCGACACACTGCCCGTCCACGGCCCCTCTGTTCTCACCCACGCTCAGGCCTTCCTAACCCTACTGCACCAGCCTCCAGTCTCACCTTCGCATCCCGCCTCCTCCTCTGTCAGACCCCGGACACTGACAGCCTCAGTCCCGCGCACTGTGTCCCCGGAGGGTCGGCCTTTCCTTCCCCGCACTTCCACACTCAGCTGACAAACCAGCTCACTGGCAAGACGCCCAAACGTCTCACCTCCCCACCCGTGTGCACTGGCCGGTGCCCTACTCTCTCCTTGGAATGCGTGCCTTCCCCGCTCTGCCTACCAGAAATCGCCAGCTAAGAAGCTCCTTCCCCAAATAGCTCCAGAGTCATAAAAAGGACTGAAGGAGGGAGAGAGGAATGGGGTTTGGAGAGGGAGGAAAGATCTTCATCTTTATCCCATCGTAATGCTCTGAGTGTGGCAAAAGGTAAAATCTGAATGACAATTTTTTCAAGTATTTAATCAACGAGTTAAAATGCTACATACGCAAGATATACAATGGAATGACACATTTGCACATCCATCACCTCCCATAGTACTATTTGTGTGTATGAGTGTGTGTTCGTGGGGGGGGGGGGCCTGAGGACGCTTAAAAGCTCACCAAACTGCAAGTACACAAGATACCAGCATTCAGGACAGTCACCGTGCTACACACCCGATCCCCAGAGCTTACTCATTTTGTAACTAAAGCTTATACCCTTCAGCCGATGTGTTTCCCCCATGCCCCGGCCCTTGTAACAGCTGCTCCGCTCTGCTTCTCTAAGTGTGACTGGTGTGCGTTTTGCAGTGCTGTGGTTTGAATGTCTTCTCCCAGACCAGGTAGTACCAGTGTGACAGCCTGTTGGTCAGCTCTCTGTCACTGTGACAGAATACTGTAATTTTGAGGTACTGTAGTCAAACAGGGAGAACAGGGTTATTGTGGCCCACAGTTTCAGAGTTTTCTGCCCATAGCTGGTTGACTCCTTGCTTTTGGGCCTGTGGCAACACCGCACCTCATGGTGGACACATGGCACAGGAGACTGCTCACCTCATGGCAGCTGGGAGTGAAGAGAGAAAGGTGCTGGTGTCCCAATATCCCCTTCAAGTCCCTGCCCCATGACCTAACTTCCTCCCCCTAGGCTCCACCTTTTAAAGGTTCCACACACACCCCTAATAGTGCCCCTAACAGCAAGCAATGCTTCAACACACAGGCCTTCAGGCGAGACTTCCTCCCATAACACAGGTATTGGAGTGAAGGCTTTAAGGGGTGATTAGACCATCAGGGCTCTGCCCTGTGAATGGGATTCAGGTGGTTGTAAAGGAGACTGCACACAGCATCCTGCTGTCCTGCTTTTCTGCCGTGGAAGAGCACAGCACGTTTGTCCTCGCACTTTTTCCCACTCAAGGGCACGGCAAGGATCTTGTCTGTCTTGGGCTTCCTGGCCTTCGCGCTGATGAGAGACTAAGTTTCTGCTTTACACGTCACCCAGTATTTTGTTGTAGCAGCACAAGTGGGCTGACACGGGCATGTGGGTGAGACCACACACACTTGACTTTCTGGGTCTGGCCTATTTCACTGGCCTCTGGGTACATCCAGGGTATGACAAACGACAGGATTTCCTCTCCTTTTTTGACTGAATAGCATTCATCACTGGTTATCACTGGCTTTATCAGTTGATGGACACTTACAGTGTGTCTGCGTCTTGCGTTTTGAACACTGCTGCCTTGGACTCAGGGGCGCAGACATCTCTGCAGCACAGATTCCAGTTCCTGTGGATATATGCCCAGACGTGAGATTGCTGGGCTGGCTGATAATTCTACTTTTAAATGTATTTTTTTTTATTTTACTATTCTGGGGATTCAACCCAGGTCCCCACACATGCTAGGCATATGCTCTGCCACTGACTACTTTCCCGGCCCTTTATTCCTCTATTTTTAACTGCATTATTTTCCATGGTGAGTTTGTTGGATTTATGTGTACTGCCCAGATTCTGCTGTATTTGAAATTTTTTATTCTAAGCACTGGACACTTCCCTCCTGCCACTTCTGTGGATCCTTCAGATGTGTTCACTGTTAATGCCCATGGCATCTTGACCCATCATTCCTGCAGGCACCAAGTCCTGTCTCCCACAGTAGGTATCTGGGAGGTCATTTGGCTTCCAGACACCCAGGAGCCATGCCACCCTCGTCTGTCTCCCACACAGCACCTAGAAGAATGTCTTGCACATAGTAGGTGCTCAGTCAGAGGCACAAAACCCAGTTTGTTTGGGCTTTGAGGCTCCCGATAAGATGGCAATATTGAGAAAAAGATAACAATGTTGTAGGAGTCTTTCTTCCTTTATCACTTTTACTTAAACGAATCTATGTTTGTATGGGAAGACAGAGACCGTCCAAATGAAAACAAAGGTTGTTTATTCAGAGCTTTCAAGTGCAAGGGAGCCAGTGACCATTATTGCATCTTCGGGCAGATAAAGACAGAGGAGTGGGAAGGCTTGACAGTGAAAGAGGGGAGGCTTCAGAAGCCGTGCCCTAGGTAGGGTGCTGCCGGCAAGCTAACTAGGGGCACGGCACTTTATGCCCAGTAGGGGTGCCTGTGTGTCCCTCTGGTTAGCGCTGAGCTGGAGATGGGACAGAGATGAGGAAAATTGCCAGTTATTTAGGTCCTGGCCATTTTGGTTGTCACGAGGGTTATTGTCTGGCTTCCTGGCATTTGGGTAGAGGCATTTGGGTAGAGGCATTTGCTGCTCACTGACAGCAGGCTGGTCTGCAAGGCCCATGCTGAGGACAGGGCGAGTGTCCTGGTCTGTTTCTATGTCCGAGTTCTGCTTCGGTTCCTGGCCTGGCTTTGTTCATTTGTATGTTCAGCCACTTGCATTTTTATGCAAATTATACAAATAACTGTGCTTCATCTTAAAATATCGTACGGCTCTCTCTGTTGCTTTTGAAAGGTAATGTCTTTAATAATGATAACCCAACCATCTTATCCTATTAATTTAAATATTCCAAAAAATGTTCCGAATGGAGAGAAAATAGGTCTCCGAGACCATTGTCTGATGGAACCATTACTTGAGCAGAGCAACGATGCCTGTGTTCTGATGCTGGATTCCCATAGCTTTTGGACTCTGGTGACTTGTAGCAACTTACCTACCCTCTGAATCTGTTTTCTACTCTGTAAGTGAAGGAGAACAAGGTCTGAAAATCTCCAAAGAGCCGTTGTGGTGATCAAAGATGACATTTTGTCAGCATATTGTTATTTATTGTTCACAAGGAAATCACATATCGGCTATATAAAGCTCTCCCACCCCATGATGTGTTATTTGCTGCTGAGCTTTTAGTCTCACTAGCTTCACCACAGACGCTAATATCCATGGGGGAAGTGACCCCTAGGTCTCCCGGAACACACCTGGCCCACAGGCTTTTCTCTCAAAAAGCAATAGCACATAAAAGTTTGCAGTCTTACCCGAATCCTCAGGCCCAAATCATTACTTATAGAATCAATGAACAAGTTACAAGCAAACTGACAACAAGACCCTAAGGTTATATCATCTTTCGTTGCAAAGATGAAAACATAAACACCAAAATTTAACAGCTTTCCTCGTGGGAGAAAGTGAGGAGTTGGAGATGACAGATGATCATTATTTTCTACTTGTTGGCAGTTTCCGCATTTGCTACCATTAAGCCTGTCTTCTTTTTATAATAAAACGTCAACAGTGTTTTAAATGTTAGAAATCTGAAACGGTAATATAATCAAATATATGCAAATAAAGGTTAGCTTCTGGCACATCAAAATAAACGTCAGAAATTCAACTTTCCAGTTGGCTCTGACAATGACAGGAACTAACGTCTGCCAAGTTCTGACCCTGCGCACGCAGTGTTAAGGGTTTTCTATGCGTTGTGTTAGTAAATCCTCGCCATCTTGTTAGGGCCTCATTGTACAGCTGAGGAAGGGAGGCTGAGAGGTAAGATCATTGCCAAGACCAGGGCTGGATTGAGACGGAGTTGCCTCCATTCAGGAGCCATTGCTGCTCACCCTAGACCTCTGATGTAAAGCGGTAAATGTGGCTTTCTGGGGGTAACTTCTACCAAGCCAAGAGCCACTGGCTCAATCAGCCTTCCCCTGAGAACTCTAAACATGCCTTAAGCAATCTGTGATTAAGGAAACCCTGCTGTGGGTCATACTGTAAGAACAGCTAGCTCCCAGCCATGGTGCCATTGAATGCTAAGCATTACTATTTGATTTAGGTCCCATACAAATCAGTCAGAGCCCCCACCCCCTCAATCTTTCAAGCTACTGCAGTTTCACCATAGTGCTGATTAGCAATTATCAAAATAATTGACAGGAAAGGCAAGTCGACCATAGGCCTGGCCTCCTATCCTTGCAGCAGCAACTGGACTCCCAAGCCCTTCCAGAAAGGAAATGCTCCCCAGCTGGGCGCCACCCCATGGCACCTGCAGAGCTGGGGTAAGGCTTGGCTAAGGCCTTCTCAGTGCCTCTGGCTCCACACCCTAACTGGGAAATAACTGGTGATCACAGGAGCCTTGGGACACTAATCACCCTGCACCAGCTCAATCCCATCATCCCGGGGTCCTTCCTATCATCTCATGGGCCCTTCCCATCATTCCACAGGCCCAGCCCATCTTGCCCCAGTGGGCCTTCTTCCCATCATCCCATTGGGCCTTCCCATAATCCCCCAGCAGGCCTTCCCATCATCCCATTGGGCCTTCCCATAATCCCCCAGCAGGCCTTCCCATCATCCCATTGGGCCCTCCCATAATCCCCCAGCAGGAGGGAGAAGCTACTTGACAGACCTTCCAGAGTAGGGTAGATAGAAAGTGTGCTCACGGTTCTGATCCATTTCCCCAGTAAGAAGGCATTTCTTTTTACTTTTCCCTCCAAGAGGATGGGTAGGAAGTGCAAGGCAGGGAGGGAGGCTCTGTGAGCCTGGCGGTTGCAACAGCGCCTGACCAAGTCCTTGCGCAGTCCCCTCCAGGCTCTGCAGGACAACTGGAGAGAAGGCCTGGAGACCTGAGGAGTGTCAGACAAAAGCCAGAACAGATTTCCTGCTTAAGTTGGTGGCATCTGCCCAGATAAAATGCAGTAAAATAAATGCAGATCCCTCTGGAAGCATGAAGTTGTTTAAGATCTTTGTCCTCTTGT